TCCAGCAAGGTATTTCAAAATGATTTGGTAGTTTTATTTTTTGATGTTTGCAAATGTTGTATTTTCCCTTTAACGACAACAAGCCAGACGTAATAATTTCACAGGGTGGTTTTCTACATAATCCAAGTAGATTTTTTGATAATACTTCGGTACTACTACTAGTTACTTTCGGGATAAATGCAAATTGTTATGCCTCAGCATCAGCAAGATAGATAAACATAATAATTTCACAGGGTGTTTAGTAAGCTTTTCTTACAATATAATTCGGTTTGCTACTTTAGGGATAAAAGCAAATGATCCTATGTGCTTTTAATATTGATGATGTCAGTGAAACCTATTGCATCGTCTCCTTTTGTACGTGAAGGAGCAACGCATGAATACTCGTGTGATCTCCGGTACGTGTATCGATTAAGCTGAAAATTAAAAAAAAGTATATCTCGGGACCCAATCATTTATTGCCATTGTTATTGCCCTATTAAAATCACCGCACAAAAGTGCAATCGCACCGGACAAGTGGCCATCGGCTGATGGGGGAAAACAACAGCACAGCCGGTCATCTATCACGCGGTCGGCCCGGTGCACCTGCAGTTCGTCGTAATCTCTTCCCCGTAAGATAAGCAGCAATTACGGTAGATTAGGGGCCTTGGCAGTGGAGGCACAAAGGATTATCATACGATAACATACACATCCCGCCTACCGCTGGACTTCCCACACTGATTGTCAACAAGTGGTCCCATGCCATAGGGTAATTTATAAGCTAGATATGGGTGTCTTAATAACTGCGCTGTTCATCAACAACGTGTCAGAGTGTTTGGGTTGCATTAAAATCCACTCGTTGGAGGTTTTTATGACACGTGTCGAATCTTTTAAATTACTGTTGTCTATTTTCCCATCCTTATAGCTGAACCTGAAAGTTGAATGGGGCTGCCCGTATTAAAAAGGTCAATACATTCCATTGTAGATAGTATTTTAACTAGACGCTGCATTTCCCGAGCTCTCTAGAAATAGGTTAAAAGGGTGTCAATTTATCATGTCAAGAAGTTTTAGAATTTCTGGTTTGATATGTTGAACAGCATTAGACATCGCACACACAAATCAAAGGAAATGATACTTTGTAAACCACGACTATTTGGCCTCTGGCTCACAATTTGTGGCAAATATATAACATGGATGAGACTGTCGTTTAAAAAAAAAAAAATCTGAAAGAAAGATGTGTTGCTTTCTGTACTGGTAATGGCTTTCTCTCAAATTCGAAACGTCTGAATTGACACAAAAAATCTGAAATACATGTATATCATGCCTAAAATAAACCATTCATTCCATTCTTGACCATTCCTCTCCGATATAGAAATAAAAATATCTGCTAATTATGCCCCTCTTCATTGCATCTGGTGAAGAAGTTGTTGCTTCGAAAGCTTACGAAAACTTGAACATTCTTCTTTGGATTTTGAGTGGTGTTATTATTGGAAACAAACAAAATGCATAAAAAAGCAAATGATGCTATATGACTATAAGGAAATTAGGAGTACGAACACGAACATGTTATCGAGGACAAATAAGTACAAGTGCTACAACCCAAGTCGGGATTGAGAAAACACCAACTCGATGCCCCATATAGCAGATGAACCCTGGAATATCGATTGGTGCATTTCCCATCTAAAACAAAAAGAAAGTCCGCTGACCCCTTAGTGGAATACTGACTTCAAATGATGTACGAGGAATGTACCCTGGAATGTATACCCCTGGAATATATGCCCCTGGAATACATACCCCCCCCTCCCATATACCCTGGAATACCCCTGGAATATCGATTGGTACATTTCCCATCTATACAAAAAATCTGCTGACCCCACGTATGGAATACTAGCTTCTTTCTAAGGATTTACGAGGAATATACCCTGGAATATATACCCCTCGAAAATATATCCCTCGAATATATACCCCTCGAGGATACCCTGGAAATATACCTCTGGAATATCGATTGGTACATTTCTCATCTTAAAACAAGTCCGCTGACCCCACGTGTGGAATACTGGCTTCAAAGGATCATGAAAAGGATCATTGACGAGGAATATACCCTGTAATATATACCCCTTGAATTATACCCCTCGAAAATATACCCCTCAAATATATGCCCCTCGAATATTCCCTGGAATATACCCCTGGAATATCGATTGGTACACTTCCCATTTAAAAAAAAAAGTCCACTGACCCGATTCACCTCGAAACGGAAAAGTAGAGTGGGGGAAAAAATATATGAAAGTCCACCTGTTTCTGAAAGAGCGGAATGTTGATGTCAATACCACGCTCACACGGCTAGCTGTACGGGTCTCCATCGTTCCCATGCATGGCTTTATACAGAGCGCGAGATTCGATCCAAGGTCACCAGTGTTGTTCTTTTGTGGATTTCAGGAATTTTTACTGCGTTATCCACGTGTGGAACACTGGCTTCACAGGATTTACGAGGAAGCAATGAATTATGGTGGCACTAAATCCTTGCCCTCTGTTGTAAAGTTTATATTGATTTTGTGCTTCCTCTCCTGCAGATGGTATTTGGTGTCGCTTTTAAATAATTGTACATCTCTCGACAACATTTTCAAATGAGTAAATTAAAGTGGGGTTTCCACTGCGTCCTCGGAACTACGCACACGAATGTAGCAACCATAAGGTTGGTTTAAATCGAATTCTTGCCAGGTAGGTTTTGATAACTACAAAACCATGGAGTCAATTTTGAGAAGTTTTGATTGTGCAGATAGTTTTATCCGTGGCCTAAACCCCTCTGCGTTTCATTTACTTTTTCAGCCAAGTATCGTTTTACATTGTCACTTGTCAGTTGATCACAACAACAGTTTCGGATGCTGTCACCAGGCCAAGTTCCTTGCCTTAATGAATTTCAGTGCTGTGTTATGTAAGCTGTGTAAAATCCTGCATGTTGCAAAAAGGGCTGCATGCAGTTGGGATTGGCATCGTTTGCCTGGCTATCAGTCATCATGTCAATACCTCAGTTTAATGCTTAAGGGCAAAATTCCAATCCCAAACCACATCAGCCTTGTTTTTTCTTCACATGCAGGATTGTACGCAGCTTGCGTAAAACAGCACTGAAGGCAAGGAACTTGGTCACAGTGTCCAAAAATGTTGTTGTGATCAATGGACAATTGTGTACTAGTGATGCGCGACTGAAATTAAATCATATGGGTAGGCATATTGGCCAAGCATAAGGAGTATCTGCACAATCTACAAAAATATGAAAGTGACTTCAAGTTTTGTATTTATGTCAAAAATATTTGGACGGACACTTTCTTGGGACATACTGTAGTCCTCGTGGTACCTGACCAACTGAGTGACAGACTTGTGACTTAGCCAGGTGGTTGGCTGGTGAGGAGACCCGGGCAGTGCTCTTGTATAGGATCACCCAGTTAGGGGCTTAATCCGGCCCATATTGTGGAACACCGAATGCATGGAAAGACTTGCAGTAAATAGCCATTCCGAATCGGTTGAATATAATTGTGTGCGCTCTGGTCTCGGCTCTACCACGCCTACCTTGTCTTGTACGTGGTCTAATATAGGCTTTATTCACGAGTAAGCCATATTCAGTTGAAAGCGAGGTAAAGTATTATTTTTTTTGGAACTTACGAATACAAATGAAAGCTTTGAACTTAAGTTAATTACAAATTAATACCAGTCTGCGCTGATAAATAATTTAACATTTTGTGAAGAAAGTTTACCGTAATGTTTTAAGCCACATACAAAAAAAATGAAAGTGAGGCTCAGAAAGCATAGATACATAGTCTGGCACCATCCCATTCAACAGTTTACAATGTGTAAACTACATTCAGGGAACACGATCAAAATGGCTTCCTCGCGAATAGGGTGTATTCCAATCATGGAGGAATAATTCCTCCATGTTTCATTATTCCACATACCACATTATAAACCACGAGAACATGGTCAATAAATTCACGAGTCCATGAAGTAACCAAGATATATAGCCCAGTACAATGTATATCATCCATGGTATATTTATTTTACAATATCCCACGGGGGATCTAACCTTGATTTTATAATGCATGGTTATATTCCGTGCTCTCTCAAGGTAACGACATTGTACACTTATTTTTTTCTCGGTAGAATGGTTAATTAGAGGTCAAGGTTATTTGCCCTCAGGCGGTTCTTCAAAAAGCAAATCTGACCGAGCAGCATACCGCCTAGAATCTTGAAAATCGTTTATTTTCCGGTTGACTCATTTTACTGATTACACCCTCAGAACAAGCTGCATGGCCGGAGAAAGATCGTAACTTGAAAAGGGACTAAATTTTAGTGAAATCTCATCTTAGGAATATCAATTTAAGTGAGCGGAAGTCCGTCATGGCAAAACTCGTGCATACCCACGATGATAATTTAAAGTTACTTTAAGAAGTGGGACCGTTTTGTCTATACCTATATTGCATCCTTAAAAAAATCATGCAAAAGCCACACATCTTTCCACCATGGAGGAAGGAATAAAGTATAGTCTTTCCTCCATCCTTCCATAATGTCAATAATACTCACGATCTGACGATGATATAATTATTTTTTTAAAAGTTAGCCGTACTTGTACTGCATCATTTTAAACTAGAGGTAGAAGGTTGTTGGGCCAATGTATGTTACAAGTTTCATGTTCAGTCAAAATAAACAGCGAAGAATGACTGAATGACCACGTCATACAGCCAGCAAAAAATAAATGTAACAACAGTAATGACAGCGACATGAAATGTTATGTTTCCAAGATAATGTGAAAGATCATACAACACATTCAGCTTCGAGTCATCATTCTAAACCAAAAAAATATCCGCAGACCTGGCGTGCAAAGGCTAAAGGGTTAATTAACTTAGCAAAACTAACCTTTTCCTTGATCCACTAATATTGTTGTATTGCAATACTCGACCGTCATAAAACACACTCTGATTGTAACAATGCTAAGTTGTAATTTAAATATAAACGGAAGAATTGTGCGAACATACCTGTACATCTTTCTCGCCAAAGATGTAGACAGTTGTGTCCTTCTTCTCGGGCACTTCTGGAACTGTTCTCTTAGGAAACATCTTGTTTCACCTACACCGATTAATCCTTAGCAGGTTGGAAGATAATAGACCAAGTATCCACTGAAAATGTTTCGTGTGTGTTCGTAGCTTGTAGATAACAACCTGGGCTTGCTGTATATCCCTTTCTGAAACTTGGGAGATATTGTAAACCGGATACAACTTCGTCCGTTTCAAGGAATCCTGCAGCCAAGGGAAACTTATATGTCTGTGACAACCTGCTTTCTCGGTACTTAATGCTGACTGCTTTCCAGGAAAAATCGCGATGTAAAGACGGCAGGAGCCCTGTTTAAGTTTCGTCTTCAAGCCTTTGAGCCTCGCACGCGGTTAAAGACGTACAGTGATACCAACCATGGACCAATGGATCAACAAGCCACGCAACTCGGTATCGGTTCAAAAGATCATCCAAGTTTGCATAAATCGACTCCCCTTCGGTGATTTCCACGTAGCTGTTTTAGGAGGCGACTCAAGAGGTTTAGACTGTGTTTGCACGATCGGATTTCCAAGCTAAATTCCTTTATGCCCCTTTCCACTAGCACTCGAGAGGTAATCATGCAAACACAGCGCCGCCGAAATGTTTCCGTTGTGTACCTTTCGGCAGACCGCGAGCCACTGGCTGCTTGCGTGAAGCGTGCACCATCGGTTGAGAGCAGCAGGAGTCGTGATAAACCCGTATGACGTCACCAGGGGCACTGAATGGGCCAGGGTTGGTGACGCTGTTGATTGTAATCGGCTCAAGGTCTGGACGGTCCCTGGCCAGTGTGGTAGGCGCCGTAGTGTTGGCTCCTGTCACTTGCTATCAGCAAAACTCTTGTGTGTGCTTTAATTCCAAACAGTGGAAAATTTGCACAAGAGGTTTGGAGTGAAATTGATTCCATATGGACCCGATCAATTTCCCGCTCCAGGAATGTCTTTTCCGAACTCTTCTAATCTAAGATGCGTTCCAAGATTAGACCATAAGATTAGACCTAAATCTTGGAAAGGGGAGGAGGGGAGGGTGAACAAATCCCCCCACCCATCCCCGGTCAAAAAGTGGGATATATCCGCCTGTCTCCTTCCCCAGATTGACGCCCGTGTCATGGTCCAATTTAAAGTAAAATTTGACAGAAATAGCCAGTTACAATCAGCCTTGCTTTGTGCTAACAGCGAGGACGGTAAGTTCACGAGTCGGCCATATTAAATTGCAGGGAGGTAAACTCTTCATTTTTGGAACTTGCGACGGTAGAAATGAAAACGATGAAATAAACATTCATAACAACTTAATTGGCCTGCCGTTCTGCTGATGAATAAGTAAACTTACGGTGATTAAACATACCCTATAGCGTCTCCGAGTAAAACAAAAGGACAGGAATGTCCGGAGAACTTGCTGCCAAAAAGTTACACCACCAGCTGTCTCTATCACAGATGATGATGGTCGACCGAGATCGAAATGATGATGATACCCTATAGTGTTTAAGCCACATTAAAAAAAAATACCTACAAAATCGGAACTTGGAACGCACTTCAATCATGAAATGGTCTGGCACCATCACATTCAACAGTTCACAATTCATAAAATAGATACGGGGAACACGATCGAAAATGGCTTCTTCGTAATAAGGAATAGGCCTATGTCCCAGTATCGCGATGAATGATAGACTAGAAATAAATCGAACAGGACCAAACATTTCTCCACGGACTCAACCGACAATCGAATGATTCAATATCCTTGCCTGAATCCCCCCCTCCATTTTTAAGGCGTACTTCTCAGGCTTTTCACCTTTCCTTCTTTGCTTTTAGGGTTGGTCTCTCACATGTATCACTCCGGTGTATAGCTCCATGGGTAGACCATGGAGGTAGAATAGCAAAGACGAAAAAAATGAACACTTGTTGCTTTCGCGCAACGCGTTACCGTACATTTTCTTCGTTGGTTCAATGGCGACAGCGCCCTCTTGTCACCTTCTTCTTAACTAAGGGCCTTTCGAAATACTGGCTTCGTTTCGACCGTGGCTTAGGGAGATTTTTAGGCTCTCATATCAACTTCGGTGAATTGTGGACTGCTGTGCTTCAGAAACAAAAACATTAAATCGTGTGATATAATTTATGGCAAAATGTCAGCCTATTGTCATGTGGTCTGCTTCCCAGTGATTCATAATTAAACCAAGTCCGAACACGAATTTTCCTGAAAACACAATTTTCTTTTCTGGTTTGGGTGAGGGATAACAACAGAGGGCGGTAGGCAACGATTTCATTGCAATCCGCACAGGATTTTTAAGATTTGCCTATTTATGTCAATCCAGCAGCATTCTAAGTTATCGTCTGGAAACCGAATGTGTTGTTTCTGTTCTATGAACTTTTTTTTTTATCCGTGTTAACACAGTACATTATCTTGGTTGTATTTGTTATATTGTTTGATGATTTATGTCGATATTCAACATAATTGTGTCATATATCATGCGGAATAGACGAACTTGAAATGTCAGTTTAATGCGACAGGTATTTTTGAGTTATATCATTTCCGGAAATCGAGTGTAATTTTTTGTGTCTTGAAAGTTGACTTAAAATCGGCTGGTATTTTACGCGCTGAGCACACTCCGCATAATTTGAATGATTCTTGTACTAAAAGAAAGCTTACTGACTGGGCTTTCTCATCCTAGACTTTACTCACCCTGTATAATGATCTTCGAAAGATTTTTTAGTGGCATTTGTGAAATGGTGTCTACAGATAAACGTACTATTATATATCTGTTGCTATATTTTTTCCAATGCACAAAACTTTAGGAGAGGCAAGCATGATATAATTGAAAGCATGCTCTTTGTAAACCAACCTGCCAAATAATTTAATGTTTAATTTCACTGTTGTAACCCTTCCCCAGGGTTACGGGGTTTGTTCCTATTTTGGGGAATAAACCATAACATAACATAACATAACATAACATAACATAACATAACATAACATAACATAACATAACATAACATAACATAACATAACATAACATAACATAACATAACATAACATTATCTTGGTTACCAATTTTTTTTTTTTTTTTTTTTACCTGTTTGACGATAATCTCAATATTTAACAAAATTGTGTTATGATATCACGTTAATTAGCATACAACAATTACATCTTCCACACGCCGCCTCATCCACAATGCATTATACAGTGCAGTTTTAGATTCACATCATCTTGAAATCACTGAGGCCTAAAGTGCTTTCCTTATATATTGTAGAATTTTGTTTTCAACCATTTTGTCCAGCTCAAACTTTAAGCGTTGTTAATTTCATCTCCAATCTACATGCTAAGTGTATACAAAACAAATATCGCCCAGTCAGCTGAAATGAAAATGGTTTGTAACACTTTTTTCACAAAATTCCCAGTTTCTTTCCATCCAATGTATTGGTGCTGAGCGTCTCTTACGTAACTATACAAGAGTTTGCCCCGAATCACGTGATTGCACGGCAACAGTGTCTGTGGTGAGGGTCAGGAGAACTCAAAGTTAAAATGTGCCAAGTATTCTGAGCAAGTCAGTGTACCAGATGTTTTTCAAATTTAAATCCCAAATGGTATAGCACTCCCAAATGGCTTATAACTATATAGGACAAATTACATACTGATTGTTATAATCGTCAGTTCATATATTTTGCAGTTGGGTATGGAGCATTTAAAGCGGGGAGTCCTCACACTCTCGACACAAAAAAGAAACGAAATTAAAAAAAACCCTTTCTTTCCATCCGTCCTCGGCTGACTTAAAAGTGTAAAAGTATTGTCCCATTGAAAGAAAAAGGCCACGTGCTGAGGCCTACTAAAGAAGCATCTCTGTTGATATTTGGTTGAGTTCAGTCTTAATGAAAAATTAGCCACTGTCGTAGTACATATCTGAAAAGTATCCAAAACCTGGGTCTGATTCTGAGGAGTAGGAGGAGGATTGCATGTGTGAGCCAGAGAGATTCTCCTTGTGCCCCTCGTGTTGATCAGCAACCTCATTGTCTCCAGAAGAATTCCCGGATGCTTGCTCATCGAGCTCTGGAGGGCGTCCTACTTCATCGCTGTTCAGGGATACGAGGTCAGGGGTCATGGGCCCCGGGGGCCAGAGCCCCCCGTCGTCGATCATGAGGCGCGGTGACGCTTCGGGAATCTCGGTAAACGAATTCCCGTCGGGGTGAAGGGGCTCACGCAAAGGCTCCACGTCGCTGGTGACCCGGCTACTGTGCGACAGGACAATAGTAACGATTCCCAGGGTACCGGCGACAAGGATAAGTGACGTCAGCACCACTGCGCATGCGCAGTATGCTGCTCGCCGGTTTCGCCCATGGTCGTGATCAACCGAGACCTGAAATTTAAAATGGAAGGTAATCTTTAATCCAAGTTTTTAGACCATTATGAGGTTGCAACCATTTGATATTTTCCCGGCATTCAAACCACAATGTAACCAAAGCGAGGCTGGAAGGAAAAATAGTCTGGTTCCTTTTCGCACAAAGACATTATCATTCAGTACTTATTGGATACAGGGAACATGACTGAAATGGTGGCAGCATGATAAAGGTCTATACCTCCTCGTTTCGAATTATATGCAGGCCTTCTTATTCATTAACCGGTCACCAAAGTTCGTGAGGAGATTAAAGAATTGGCTCCAAAACAAATACATTGGCAGCACGCCAGAAGTGGAATTCTTCCAGGAAGTTGGTACACTCTGTAGTAGGAGTGATATACAGTCTAGTCTGGTTTCCTGACCTGACAATTTCCCCCGACACCCAGTACGTCTAAACTGAAGGTCAGGCAGCCTCAGTGGCTAAAAATAAACATGACGATCTGGACGGCCCTTTTTCAAAGCTCGGCTTCGGTTCCGAATTCACTTTATCACTTAATATAACTTTTAGTTCCGATCAAATTTTTCAAAAGACATTACCTGTTCCACATATCATACAGTTTGATATTTCTGTCAGAAAACATTGACGAATGCTAAACGGTCGTCAAATTCAAAATAGTACATGACGCAGCAAAGCTCGCCCCTCGTACGATCTGAGTACATACTATGCACAAAATCGTCATTGAATTTTTAAAGTTTTCTAAGAGCGCGGATCTTCCTACACGATGTTTGACTAAATGGAGAGCCGCCAACACAGGGCTGGATAGCTCAGTTGGTAAAGTACCGAAACGGCAATCCGGAGGTCGGAAGTTCAAACCCCACTCCAGTAAATGTCTCTGTTCAACGTAACAAAAATAGTCAACGTAAAGAAATAACAATAGACCATTATCATGTTGCGGCCATCTTGATTTTTTTTCCCATTCAAATCAACGTAACCAAATCGAGGCTGTGAGGAAAATAGTCTGCCGGTTCCTATTTGAACACACACAAAAATATCTCCAGTATTGTTATTGGATACAAGGAACATGACTGAAATGGTGGCAGCATGATAAAGGTCCATATACTTTTGGGAATGGTAGTAGACTCACTTGCAGATGTTTATCCTCGATCATGTACACAACCGCAACATCTTTCTTGTCAGAGATCGGAGCGTTCTTCTCCGGTAGCATTGCCACAGCTGTTGACATGGTGTTCCTTGGTAATATACCTGGACTGGGTTGTCGTTCCTCACCAACTTTAACCAGCACTTTTAATAACAGTTGAGAAGATAAATCGACCGACATACAACCAAGGTTTATGTTCTGCTAGAGTTTGACGAAGCTGTATGCTGCTATTGGACCCGAATGCAAAAGACCAGGCTGGTGGCCCTGTGACCAAGTCATGCACTGACTACTGACTGCCTAGACGCCGATGGCCTTGACGGAAACTTTTCATGTTTTGGTTCAGCTAGACTACGTCAGGCAGGCCTAGTATTGTTTGTCTATAAGCATAATGATTGTCTCGTGCATGACCAGTTAATTAAAGGGAATATACATCATTTGCTTTTGCTGTAATTTTCAGAAATGGATGGAATTGGGGGGTTGGAAATATAAAGCAAATATAGTTACACTGACTTTTTTGAGGTTTTGGGTTCGAAAATGCTATAAAAACCAAGAAAAACGATCATTTTCCTGTAGTCTGGATCCCTGACTCCATATAAGAAGAAACAGAGCAGTTTACATACATTGGGGAATTGTAAGGTCAGGGAACCAGTCTAGCTGGCTCGTATCCGTTCATAGGTTTGTAATCGATTGCAAACAAGTGCAATGGTCAATTGGGGCCAGTATTTGAAAAAAAGCCAGTTGTTTCCAACGCTGATCGGCCGATCAGCGTTGGAAATTGATACAAAAATACCACTTTTCTTGAAAATGACAGTATACCAGGTGCCATAATTTTACAGGATGCTTTTGACTGTCATTTACCAACATCCTGTTAAGGTATTTCCCAAAAACTTGATAGTTTTATTTTTCGATGTTTGCAAATGTTGTATATTCCCTTTAAGCTGCAGACTGGTACAGACCCGAACAATAACAAGTGTGCGTTTCCGGATCCATGTCCTGTTTTTCTTGTTGTGCAAAGTTCCTTCCTATTATGCGGGGTCAGAAACTCTGCTCAGAATCACATTTCACACTGTAGCCTACGTTGAATTTGTAATATTTTCTTCTCTTATTTTATCTTCCAATCCCAGCGAGGTTGTTAAAATGTAGACCATCAGCTTAAAATGTGAAACAAAATTTGAATTTTAAAGGATGATAACTTTTACTTTGTGTGAAACACCGGGGACTTTTTTGACCAAATTATCAACTTGGAGGGCAAGGGCGTCAATCGCTTCTCAAAAGTTCGGGGCCATAACTTGATGAGCACTAATGCGAGCGCGTAACGCGAAGCCCTCGGTGTGGGGTTCTAGGTGCTCTGTTTTGGATTCTAGATGCTCTGTGGTGCGATCTGAGGCAATTTCTGACAACTAAACCCCCCTTTTTTTTTGCAAAAGATCATCTTATAATCATCGTTTTCTAGTTTAATTGGAGTCATCGAATCAGCTATTCTGAGCTATAGAATCACTAATTAAGTAGGCTACAATTTTGATTCCAGGACGAAAAAAGTGCAGGGTGGGGCGAAGGATATGATACATCCCCCAACTTTAAAAAGTGTGTGGGGGAAGGGGAACCTGTGTCCCCCCGGCCCCCAGCCGCCCCCGGCCCCCACCGATTGACGCCGATGTTGGAGGCCGAGGGTGTTTGACAGGAACGTGCAGCCGTTTATATAGACCTTCCTTTCCCGACACATAATTATGGTTGACTTTTTTTTAAACTGTGGAAGGTCAACGTCGCAAAAAATAAAAGAACGGTTATTAATGTTTCCAAACATTTCACTGTACTGTTCACAACTTACCAACAAATGCTACCAATTCGACGTAAAACAATGCAAGTGCACAATAAGCTGGCCGTTTAGCATGAAATTTGGTCGTGAGTTTCAATTGAAATAAATGATTTCCCGTTTGTTGAACGTCACAGTGCAAACTTAGTGACCTTGATAATGTAACTCCGTCCTTTCTCGCTGGAGACCCATACCAGTGACATAGGTACTCAGGTAGGATATAGCTAGCATAGGCGAAGCCAGCGGGGCGGGGGGGGGGGGGATATTTACCCCCCAATATTTTCAAAAGACTGCCTTTTTTCACCAACACTTAACCCCCCCCCCCCAATATTTTGTAAAGAGTGCCCTTTTTTAACAAGTGCCTTTTTTTCTGAAAAAAAGTGCACTTTTTAAGAAGTCGTCGTGCCCCTTTTTTTGCCCCATCTGCCGTTCCAGGTGCCTTGGGTTAATTTTGCGCATGAATCGCCCTGAAAAGCACTATTTATTGTCCATTAGTATACACAATCAGCGGTTTTGAACAGCACCCCCATTGACAGATGGTACTAGCCCCCCCCCCCCCCCCCCTATTTTTTGATTTTACGGAGGCCAAGTGTCTGGAGAAAAAAAACATGTCCACATTTCAACATGAAATGTGCAAGTGCCCTTTTCAAGAAATTTGTACCCCCCCCCAATAAAAATGACCGTGGATTTTAAGGTCTGTTACGAACGAACAAACAAAGAAGCAGTTTGCAACGCGATACATACCACGTGACTATACAATTTCTGCACATTATGTTGCCTCCGCCGGTGACTGCTCTATGTTCCGACACCCTATATGTTCCGACAACTCAACCTATGTTCGACACCCCTATATGTTCCGACACCCCTATGCTCCGACGCCCTATTACGTTCCGACAACCTGCACATAAGATTGTGTTACTCCCCGTGAGGGTTCGGGTTAGGGTTAGGATAAGAATATGTGCAGTCGGAACATATGGGGTGTCGGAACATAGGGTTGCACACCTGTAAATAGGCCTAAACCCATCCGCCAAGCTCATGAATAAAAGTTATACCCTCAAAATATCCTATATTAGCGAGTTCTAAGAGCCATAACATTGGGGTATTGAAGAAATATGGCAATGAACCTCTGGCCCAGACTCGGCCGGGCTTCCAATTCTGAGCATTTTGGATACAATTGGGCTCGAAAGTGGCGCTATTTTGCCATTTTGTGGAGGGATCGTTTTTCAAGATGGCTACCGTTCCGCTTTGGGGAAAATAGGGGTCGTCTTCTTTGGGCGAGAATTTCTCGAAAAGTCAATGGTCCACCCACCAAAGAATAAAAAGAAATTGAAAGATGACATATCGATCATCATTTTTCTGTGCAGCTTAAATACCTGTGAGAGTTCTGAGTATTTTTAAAAGAATTTTTAAGTATGGGCATTTAGCACTAGTGGCCATGGGAACTTTTTGCACTGTTCCATAGAGGCGTAACCGTTGCCTCCATTCACAAAATGTTCATAATGCCAACCCCCACCCCCCAAAAAAAATCTGTGTTCTTTCTCTAGCATTTCCTCAATGCATCATTTTTTTCGAGGTTGGACATTTGCCCACTTTACCCCACTGCAGACGCCCATTTTGTTAAATGTGTTTTAAATAATTAGCAAATATGACTTCACACCTTTTTTTCTCCCTTATTTTTTTTATATCAAAGACCCCCTTTCTTGAAAGCTAGATCCGCCCCTGCCTTGTGCCGTTAAATTCAGGAAAATTTAATTTGGTTTATTTGTTTTTAATTTAAATTCTTATTACAGCCATTCAAAAGACATCCACTACAAAAGCAAAATTCTAGGCACTAATAATAGCATTCAGTGCATTTTTGGCTCCTGCTGTTGCATGTGTTCGAGTTTACGACTGCTTGAGTGAAATCAACCTGCTTTGTGCATATAGCGCCCTCATGTGATTCCTCCCTGCAGAATTAAAAACACAAACAGACGTACCTCGACAAAATATTGCTGTGTCATGTGGGTTAATCGTATTCTGTTTTGCTTCGCTGCAGTTTTCGTTGTCATTTCGCTGATCATCGGATACGTAGCTCAGCTTCCGATTGAAAACGAGGAAATCATAAACAGGTAACGTTTGGCATGTTTAGATTTAGGCTGCTATATCATGTGGATGTGTGGACCCACACGGGAACCAGTTTTGATTTTGGAATGAGTTCTGAAAAAAAGGAGTGGTGGCTAACGCACTTTTTTAATGCTGACAGAGGGGGCGTGCTTTTCAGGCATTTTTTTTTTGGGGGGGGGGAGGGTGATGCAAAATGATTATTGTGAAGGATTGCTTCTAGAATTAGAAGGCATACGTGTGCCTTCAAGTTCTAGAAGTAATGAAGGATGTTTTGAGAAGATTAAGCCTTAAGTTTCTAATAGTTATAGTAATACTATACCTCCATGATAAAACATAAAGATAGTGGATATTTTGCCGGAGGTAATGACGGCAAACTAACGATTACTAAAGGTTTGCCGGCGGCAATCCATATCAACAGAGGGCGCTGTACTCTTTAAAATGGGTCTGAATTATAACATGTATTAAATTCCCACTAAAAGTTGTGTAGCACGTTTGGTGTAATGGTTAAGCAAAGGCTCTAATAAGCGGGATGACTCGCGTTCGATTCCGACCGCACCACATTTTTAAGTTTTTTTTTCTCATCCCCAAATAAATAAGAATATTCTTCTTTTATTATTTTAACATGTCTCAAACATTTTTTGCAGAGTATTACATTTGGGTAATTCCACAAAGTTGGGTACAGAATGTGTGACATGAGGGTGAGTTTTTCAAAATAATGTGAAGAGCACTAAAATAACTTTTTTAGGTGCTGACATATATGTAGTGTCTAAAATAATAAACCATTTTGAGACATCTTGTCAAACGTTTTATTTTTAACAGTGTTGTTTATTAACAGATGCAAAGCAAGTTTCACATGTAACATGGACACCAAACATGAGGAATCACCTTTCCCATTGTTATTTTATAGAATTGATATGCTCCAAGTATAGAATGTATTTAAAAGGGCTTGATAAGTACATTAATTAAATTCATACATTTTTTGGCTAATCGTTATGAGATTATTGAAATCAGCTGTTGTTCACTCACATGAAATGGGCAAATTATATAAATTTGGCCCTTCATACATATTTTTTCTTGTATTGTCTGTTCCAAAAATGTTTGTCTACACCAAACGTGTAAAACACAAGGAAGCAAACCCACACGTTCAACTTATTTTGCCATGTTACCATTTCTTTTACACAAGACAGTATCCATGCAAAATAATTTTGTGGTTTCACATGTAACAATGACACCAAAATATTGGTGTCCTGTTACACGTGAAACTGATATATGGATTATAAGGTAATAAGCTTTAAACTTGATAAAAAATGAGTAAAACTTCATTTATATTAGTTAAAAATGAACAAATTTGAAACATCAGCTGAAGATGTGAGTGTGTTTAGCTTTGAGACTCCCATATTGGACAGGGTTGGGTTTCACATGTAACATGGATGCCAAATTATTGAACGTTCTGATTACATCTCAAGATGTGATGCCTAAACCATTTTGCCGTCCCCATCCTTCCCGTATCCCGTCCCTCCCCTCCCCTACCCCACCCCACCCTCCCCCACTCCATTCCCACCCTTCTAGTACCCATAACATATTGGACAGGGTTGGGTTTCACATGTAACATGGATGCCAAATTATCGAAAGTTCCGATTACATCTCAAGATGTGATGCCTAAAATATTTTGCGGTCCCCATCCTTCTCGTATCCCGTCCCTACCCTCCTCTACCCCACCCCACCCTCCCCCACTCCATTCCCATCCTTCTAGTACCCATTACATAACAGTGTTGTAGTCGAGTCCATCACAAGTCCCTGCAAGTCCATCATAAGTCCATCACAAACAATTCAGTCTTAATCAGGTAATAAACTTTAAACTTGATAAAAAAATGAGTAAAACTTCATTTACCGGTATATTAATTAAAAATGAACAAATTTGAAACATCCGCTAAAGATGTGAGAGAGTTTAGCTTCGAGACTCCCATTATTGGACAGGGTTGGGTTTCACATGTAACATGGATGCCAAATTATCGAACGTTCTGATTACATCTCCAGATGTGATGCCTAAACCATTTTGCCGTCCCCATCCTTCCCGTATCCCGTCCCTACCCCACCCCTCCCCCTCCCCACTCTACCCTCCCCTTCCCCACTCCATTCCCACCCTCTAGTACCCATTACATAACAGTGTTGTTGGATGCATTGTTCCTTGGATTAACCATTCCCAAATGGATGAATTTACTGAACATGCTGAAGCCTAAATCAATGCAAATTATGAATTTATTTCTTAGGGGAAGATTTTTTTTTAGTTTTGTACTATTCATTCTTATGTGTTTTGTTTCTTTTGTTTGAAAAAAATGTTGAAATATCTTAATTCAAACCAGAAAAAGAAAATCACATGATGCTCCACCCCCATTATGAGAATGGAATGGTCTGGCGGTATCCTGGCCTGTGACCAATCAATGTTGACACTTCCCCTCTTATTTTAGACTAACTTCAGTAAAAATCACCAACTTTCGAACCCCCTTCAAACAGATAAATGAAAAGGACCCCATTTTTAATAGATCAGACGTTGACCATCCAACGCAGGCAAAAGCACAGGCCAAAACACAAAATCGTACCACACCGTCGCATGGAAACCACGTCGTGATATTTCCTTTACGATGTGCAATTTCAGTTAGGGTTTCGGGACACATATTTAGCGTCATTTGTGAAAGCTTAGCCTCTTCTAGTCCGAGTAACTTGGACCCAACTTATCGCCTTTTTTAACATTTTGGACATGGTCTGGCGATAGTGGGGTCCAAGCTAATACCGCGACCTGGACAACATCATCCTGTCACTGTCCCAAACCAACATTTTCCAACAAAAAACATCAGATTTCACCTTCAAAACGGCCTCCAAATTACTAGATATGCCACCTGAAGTACAAGTAGACATCGATGATTAAGATGGTTGTACTTAAGTTTACTTACGATCCGGAAGAAAAGTGAAATTTTCCGTTCATTTCGGAGAGCTCCCCTCGCGATCTTGAACACGTTAAATTTCCGATCGTGTTTAATGTTTGAACGACGCGATTTCTTCTACATGCCCAGTGTACATTCAATGGTCCCCGTATCCCGTGTGCGATTCCGTTACCGAGCGCGCGCGATGCACGATTATGATAATGAGTCACGTTTGTAAACACATACATGTGCATTTTGAACTGTAAAAGGGAATCGGGAACCAGCTTGAACTGGTACCCGCCATAAAAGCTGCGCTAGTTCCCGACTCCCTATTATCGTTTGAAATGCACATGTGTTTACAAACGTGATCCAGTCTACTCATTATCATAATCGATGCATCGCGCGCGCTCGGTAACGGAATCGCACTCGGGATACGGGGACCATCGAATGTACGCTGGGCATGTAGAAGAAATCGCGTCGTTCAAACATTAAACACGATCGGAAATTTAACGTGTTCAAGATCGCGAGGGGAGCTCTCCGAAATGAACGGAAAATTTCACTTTTCTTCCGGATCGTAAGTAAACTTAAGTACAACCATCTTAATCATCGATGTCTACTTGTACTTCAGGTGGCATATCTAGTAATTTGGAGGCCGTTTGACCGTGCATGAACATGTTTTATGCCAAATCACGGAAATGGAATATCACGTCGTCACGCGGTTACCATTTTGTTTCGTATCCATTCCGTAGCTGAAGTGCAGGTTTTAGCGTGTCAACTATACTGCAACAATTGTTTGAGATGTTATTCATGTTTCAGCATACACAGGGAGTAGTTCTTCGGGATTACCAGGCACCGTGTTGATAAATCTGTAATCTAACCCTTGTTTGTCCTCCCCGAATGTGGTATACCTCGTAACTGACATCACACCGTAAAAAAATGACACCAAAACTATTGGCACCCACGATGGAAAAGTTGCCGAAAGCACGCGGGTTTCTTCTTGCAACAAAGCAAGGGTTGCATCCGGGTACTTTGATCGCAAGACGTTCATCCAGAAAATCTATAGAGGGCGCACGCGCGATCGCATTTAATTATCACGTCGTCACGTTTTTTAGTGGATGCGAAGTCAACTACCAGTGAGTAACCACGGTTTTTTTTTAAAAATCGTGTAGTTTTTTTCATGATTTCTGGTTGGATACGAATGGAATGCTACTGTTTCTCGTGGAAATCGTTATTTGGGTCTTCTAAATGACTCTGACATTTTACAATATGTCGGTAAATTTCGGTTTCACCTCGCAACATTGCTGACACGAAATGTTACGATGGGCGCTGAGACTTCCGTGATCGATACTTCAGAAATGCAAGACGCATGGAATAAATAACAATCAGGGAATCGTAAACGGTCTATTGGTTCAACTTTATTTGCAAAACATTATTTAAAATATACTCTTGGGAACACAGAATCGTACATTGAAGACCGAGTATGTTTCATGTCACAAAATATTCTTAAAATAAACATGGATACCATGATATTTTGGTGACGTAGTTTGGGTTTCGACCAATTGGAGGTCCCAAAAAAAAATTTTTTCTTGTTCGCCCATTCATCCTCAATAAATCGGGATCGATAAAAAATGTGATTAATTTGTCAAAAAAAAAAATAACAGCACTTTGTTTTCACTGGACCACTGTCACTGATGCATTGATTGTGTACCCAACTTCATGGAATGACCTATTTTCTTTTTCAGATTTGTGGCTCTGGAGGATTTTTTTTTAAAAGGGAAATAGGCCTAAAGTCCGAAATTATAAAATGGTCTGAATCCCATCTTGTGAATACGAGGTAACAACGATAATTTTGGCATGGAGCCAGACTAAAACTTGTCACCGGAAAATGTTTAAGTACAAAAAAACAGTAACTGCATATCCGTGCATATCCGGCAAACTAACGTTTACTAAAGGTTTGCCGTCTCCGGCAAAATATACACTGCCAAACATAAACACCATCGACATCGTCTTCGAAATGCGAGGCTGTTGCCGAATATAGCACATGTACTATGAGAGAGATCCCTGGGGCCTAGTTCAACTCCAGGTTAGCGATATTTCGATTTTAGTTTCATTCCCAAAAATAAGGATGTTCTTCTTAATTTAAATTTTAATTCGACTCCAACATTTAAACATGTAATTACAGAGTATTTAAATACATTTCTTTTTGTGGCTCAATTCGTGGTTCTAGTCTAGGATTTGTCTAAAAAAGGGATCTACATGTATAGTCCGAAATTATACAATGGTCTGATTCCCATCTCGCGAATACGGAGTCACAACAACAATGTTGCCATGGAACCAGACTAAACAATTACTGCGCGTGTTCAGTGCCTACATGTGTATCTCTTATCTGGCACAATACTGAGTCTTATATAGGGCACGTACCGGGGTATCTACCAACAATTAGGGGAAACAGGTCAACTCGTACGCGAGACAACTCGTACGCGGATTGGTCAACTCGTACGCGAGACAACTCGTACGCCAGCCAAATCGTACGCAGGACAACTCGTCGCGGACCAACTCGTACGCGAACCAACTCGTACGCCAGGCAACTCGTACACGGACCGAAATAAGCAAATTTAAATTGAACGATGTTTACGATCGCCAAAAGTTTACCCCAAAATACACGCCAAAGTTATCGATTTATCACAGTACACAGTACGATTGTATGACTGCATAACTATGATTGTAGCCATATGTATTTTCAACAGTTTAAATTCCATAAATGCAACGATGTCAAGTTCAAAAGTTTCAATGATACCAAAAAACATGATCCATTTTAATTGCGACCGATGTGTAGTGCAGTGCTGCGGCATGCGCTTCCAACCACGCAGCTAGTGTGGAGAATTTGTCAAGACGTACAACGATTTGATTAACACATATCGCGGGGCCACTATAGCAATGTATTGTTGGAAGTCTACAAATGCAGCGGACATTATACGATTTAAATTCTCACTACGTGGCAATATCTTGTCGTATAGCCTACATTGTACGGTGTGAGCCAGGATCAGACATCGACAGTGTGCGAGTGGTCCGGGAAAACAAATCATAACTTTTTTGTTATGAGTCAAAAAAGCTGATTTAAAACTGAACTAATTGGGACCACTCAGTAACACAAAATTATCCCCTTAACTTTAGAAAAAAAGAATGTGCCGGACAACTGACTGACCCTAATTTCCTACACGCCCGAACCAACGGTTTCAGTCTAGTCTATACTCACGCGTACGAGTTGGCTCGCGTACGAGTAGGTCCGCGTACGAGTTATCACGCGTACGAGTTGGTCCGCGTACGAGTTTGTCCGTGTACGAGTTGTCCTGCGTACGAGTTGGTCGCGTACGAGTTGGCTCGCGTACGAGCTGACCTGTATTCCAATTAGGTACTCAAGGCGCTGGAAATTATGTCAATTATTAAAGAAAGGTAAATAAAGTTTATGAGAAATATGAGACCCATTATAAATATTGTAGCACCTTTTTAAGGGTTTACAAGGTACTGCGGTGCATATTGCAGCCACTGCCAGAAACACCGGGGCAAACCCCTTCTCTTAGCGACAAGTGTTACTGGGATCTTTAACGTGCATTACACAACACACGGGATCTTCAGCTTTACGTCCCATCGGAAGGACGAAGCAATAAGGGTAAAGTGCCTTGCTCAAGAGCACAAGCACCATGTTCCCGTCAGGATTCGAACCCATGTACCATGGCACACGAGTCGAACACTGTAACATTAAACCACAGCACCCCACACAATATTGTTTACTAAGTAAAAGAAAGCCGGATCCGGCTAAGGCCGAATAAAAAAACAAACATGTTTCTCGTTCGGGTTTTCGAAAAAAAGGAGGAAGCGGGGCTTTTTATTTTTTATTTTTTATTGTTTCAAGATAGCCGCCATTTAAAAATTTCCTGCAATTGTTGGTGTTTCCACTGTTCAAAGACACTTTTAAAATGAAAGATAAGTTGGACAAGAGAACTGAACATATTTACAGTGTCATTTAGACTTGTATTAATTGGTCTACAATTTATTTTCCGATTAATTTGTGGACTTTTTCTGTGTTTTTTTACTGCATTTTTCAAAAATAAAAAATAATAAAAAAATCCAGGTGGCCTCTAAAAAGGAAGCGGGCGGGGACGAGAAACATGTTTTTTTTAAAACTTTGCCTAACTATCCACTGACTTTTAAAATTGTACATATTTAATGAGGTTCGACTTATCAATAAAACAAATTTCAACTTTTTTTCGGATTAAGGCCTATGGCTCATGAGCATGTTTTTAAAGGAAAATGACGTCCCAAGTACTTAGTGTGATCATCCCAACTGTTCATGTAGTTGAGATCCACAGCACTGAAACCGCAACATACATTTACTACTCAAAACATTCACTGTTTTTTTGTTTTAACTCCAATAGTATGGCCTGCAACGTAGATGAGAAGATGGATGCATACCGAGCCAAGAACCAGACGGCGTTTGTTGTCGGTTACACCGGGGAGATCGGCAAGGAAGTAGTCAAGGAGCTGGCTAAGACGAAGATCTTCAGCAATGTGTTCTTGGTCGGAAGGAGAGAAGTGAAATTTGAGGATGAACTCTTCAAAGATTTTAAGATGGTAAATATTCCCTTAAGGGAAATAAAGTCCGAGAATCGTTCGGTTGATAGTCTGGTTCCAGCAGCCAAAAGTCCCGACTTTGAATGCTATTAGGTCAGGGAACCAGACGGTTCTGTAAAGATACAGTAGCTGTGGAAAATCGTGTTACGGCTGCTGTAATGATAGCCACAGCATTTCTGAAAAGATTTTGAAACTGCGTAAATTTCACAAACTTATAGGGTAGTCTTGGGTTCGAGTCCCAACCAAGTAAGCTTACTTTTCTCTCAAGCTCTTGGATAGCAGAGTGTGGGTTCGAGTCCTGGTCTTGACACTTGTGTCCTTAAGCAAGACACTTAATCATTATTGCTTCATCCTTCGGATGGGACGTAAAGCCATAGGTCCCGTTTGTTGTGTAATGCCAGTGTTGTTGTCGAGTACTTTTTTCCGAGTACCGAGTACTGCCGAGTACTTAGGTTGCCGAGTACGAGTATGAGTACTTGTACCTCCGAGTACAAGAACAGGTCTCCGAGTACGAGTACTGGAACTTCTGAGTACGAGTTTCCGAGTACGAGTACGAGTACTTATATTTCCTAATACAGCCATACAGCAAATGGTTCATTGTGCGTAATTGGCCCAGGCCCAGTCAGACCGATATACATACCCACTCATGGCTAGCTGTTCAATGTGTTTGTCCGGGCGTGCACAGAGGAAAAATCGGGAAACTTCGATTTCTCCACAAGCCAATCGACCATTTCAAACTGAAAGTATCTATAAAATAAGAACATTTTCCTCCCGAGGACTGCTATTTGAGTATGAGTTCTTTGATGATCGAGTACAATTTCGACATGTCGAGTACGAGTACCGTCATTTCGAGTACGAGTACCTTGACATTCAAGTCCGAGTACGAGTACTCCAAAAAAAGTACTTGAGAAGTACTCGAGTACGAGTACCGATTACGAGTACTACAACACTGTGTAATGCACGTAAAAGAACCCAGTAACACTTATCGCTAACTTTGGTGTCATCGTTTATTGATGGCCAAAGAGTTTTCTCACAGCATGGCCAAGCTTTCGTTGATACCCTTTGGCAGTTTTTTGGAGTGTACTGTAGGTCACCCCTAAAGTACAATGGGATATATTGGAGGGCTGTGCAAAAAAAAAGGGGGGGGGGGTGTCACTTTTTTTAAATACTGTGCTTAAGAGGATCAGGTAGAGCAAGCGTTAAACTGTCTGACATGTACGTCCGAATTCACCGAATTGCCCTGAATTCAATTATGGAGTCGATCAAGTCTCTTTGCGTAGGCTTTAATGCTTGTTTTTTTCCCCCATTTATTTGTAATCAGGAGCAGAAAGTTGTTGATTTTGACAAGCTGGACGACAGCGCTGATGTGTTTAAGGGCCACAGTGTCGGCATCTGTCTGATGGGCACAACTAGAGGCAAAGCTGGAAAGGTAAATAATATGCAAACAGACTACTTACAACCCTAGCACTGCTGAATCCAACAGGATCCAGTTTACATGTTATATACAGGGTGAGTAGAATATAAAAAAAAGGCGGAACCCAAAGCCAAAACATATTTCATTAAAAAAAACTGCAAAGCCAATTTCATAAACAACTTTTAGATGAAGAGATTACTTACCAAATTCGTTCAAAGAATAGAAAAACCGAGTTGCGCTTTATATGAATGACTGTTTCGTGTTTGGAGCTGTATCATAAGTCCGACGCCTCATAGGTCCGATGCCTCATAAGTCCGAAATTTCAGACTTATGAGGCATTAGACTGAGGCATAAAATTTATTTATTCCGCCTCATAGGTCTGACGCCTCATAGGTCCGACGCCTCATAAGTCTGACATCGGAAACACAAGGCGTTTCATTTGTGGGACTTATGAGGCGTCGGAGCTGTGAGGCGTCGGACCTATGAGGCGTCGGACTTATGGGCCTTTATTTGGTTAGGGGATGCGATTTTGTCAGACTTATGACGCTCAAGACCTATGAGGCGATTTATTCAGGTGTTGTAGAAAACAAATTATGAATGTTTCACATTCGTGCAATGGTAAGGCCCAAAAAAAAAAATCCGGTTCAGATTACATGGCATTTGAAAATAGGTAGGGAAATATTTTTTTTTTGTGTACGATTATATGGAGGCGTCTGCGTGTTGTCAAAGGTAAAAGATAGAAATTGATGGTTTTGGGTGTTTTTTTCTCATTTTTCCCATAAAAAAAATTAGGGTAGGGGCTGTCAGAATAAGATACCGTTAGGTAGGGAAACCAGAAGCAGAACTATTATTTTTTTTGGCCTAAGAATAGTTTCATTCGGTGACGGATGAAATAGTCCATTCCACTCGGCTTCGCCTCTAGAAATGGAATATTTCATCTGTCACCTCATGAAATTATTCTTACCATTGCACTCATAAACAGATCGAGATTTTTATTTTTGATCATTTCTTGCAAGCTGGATTCATCCCCCACTGAAATTTTAGTCAACACCATCGATCTTAATTAAACACAAATGGTACATGGACCCTGCTATGTAACCATGGTAACAACTGGCAGTTCCTCCTTGAAGAGATGGATCACATTACAACTACAGGCAGAAAATGCATCATTAGGCCCAAAAAAAAAGTGTCTGGTTTCTGGTATGGAGCTTGCCCAAAAAGTGGTGCCGCGACGCGGCTTTTTTTTTTTTTTACCGGATTGTTTTGCTTCAAATGTCAGCTGATGACTGCAAATGGTGCCTGACTAAACTTAGTGCAAATATATGGGAGTCCAGAGAGGCCACATAAAGCTTATTCTTGACCACAACCCAATCTAAAAACACGTTAAAATTGTGCAGCAGCAGGATTCCAGTCAAACCAGTGAGTTTGACGGTTTTGAGACATCATCTTTCATTGAAAAAAAAAAGTTTTCCTTTTGCCGACGCGCATGGCTACGGCGACACGCGCGCATACCAGAAACCGGAGACTTTTTTGTTTGGCCTTAGTAACTATGAGTTAATGAGTTGCTGCATGTACATGTAACTGCAATACAATATGCCCCTGTATGTTTTAATGTTGTCAGAGTGTATTTGACTTGTGCACTAACTGGTTGCTAGGTTACTAATGGCCAACAGTTGTGCACAGCATATTCTAGAAAGTCAGTATTGGCTTTGTCCAGAAAAACAGATGACCTTTATGTGTGCACTATATGTAGTATGATACTCTATATCTATCCGCTCCGTTCACAAGCACCCCCTCACTGGCAACGAAAGTACAGTTGAGGGTGACCGACTGACGCCATCTTGCCTGACTGCAAGTTTGCCGCGACGCGCGGCTGTACCACTGCGTGTACATAGTACAAATCCCCTGGTGTACGCGCGTCACACACAAGGAACAATGCGCGTCAACTAGCAAAATGTCCCGCCCATGGGACGTCGATTCTAGGTAAAAGGGCGCCCTCTTTTGTTGGCGCACGGAGCCCATTGATGTATAGAAGGCGATTTTTGTGGGCGTGGTAGCCATTTAAAAATAGTTATGCCCACCTTGGGAAAAAATTGTGCCCATATTTCATAAATGAATGAAACTTCCCACAGACATTTATATTCATGAGAATAAAATTCAGATGTGGAGCCATCTCGAACACTCCTTTTTAGGGGCGTGGCAACCATATTACAAAAAGGGGGCAGGTTCTTCATTATGCCCACCATGGAAACATTGTTCCCACATTCATAAAGAAATGAAACTTCCCACAGACATTTAAAATGTAGGGGGGGGGGGGTACCCAATGTGCCCACCCTGAAAAATATGGACAACCTTCGTATAGTAAAGTCCACCTTTGATAGCCCTTCGAACTTATTTTGAGGAGGGCCGCCTTTATAGGTAAAAGTGACTGTTGTTCCAACAAGTTCGTGGGTGATGTCATATTGAGTTGGAGTGCTGGGGCCTCGTGGTTAACAGCACTGGATTCGTGGCCTGTGGGTAAAGCTGCGGGTTGTGGGTTCGAGTCCAGCCGGGGCCATGGTGCGTGTGCCCTTGAGCAAGGCACTTTGTCACTCATTGCTTCTCTCCACCCAGGAATAAATGGGTACCTGCGAGGGCAGAGATGGTTATTGTGATTGAATTAGCTTCCTTGCTCCTAACAGGCAGCATCGAGTTGTATACTCCCCAGGGAGCTGAGATGGTATTTGGAATGTTTCATTGGCCCAATGAGCAGGGGTGATAATAATACTGTAAGCGCTGTGATTAGTGTACTTATTAGAGCGTTCTTAAAGATATAGTCTGTCATTTGTAATTTGTGCATTTTGTTCATTTGAAGCAACAAAAGTGTTCAAAATCTAATGAAGGATACTGAACAACTAACCTGATGAAGGTTCAGCTCAGCTTCAGCTGTATATAGAAAAACAACATTCTAGGATCTCAATTTCAAATCAAAAGTTGCTGAATCATGTTTTGAATTGTTTTGAATTGCAGCTATACGCGATGTCGCGCACTGATCCGACGAATTATAGCAACCGCGCGCGCCTGTACGTCGTGCCAATGCTTTGCGCGCGCTGTGCCGAATAACAAAACGAACTACTATTTTAAAATGTTCCAACGGTGCATCTTAAGACACACCGTTGGAAAGGCCTTCTTTCGTTGATTACTTCAAAATGATAGCTTGCCAGAAAGAATAATTTCACAGGGAGTTTAGTCCACTTACTATCTTTCAACCAAGTATGTTTTTCAACAATAATACGCCAGTTACTTTTTCGGATGGCTGCAAATGATGGACTATAGCTTTAAATGCCGATTATTATTATTATTGTATTGGTGGTCGTGATAGCGCCCTCTCGCGGCGGCTGGTTCTTGCTGTGGCGGGTTATTGCATATCAAACCATACCGGTAGCAAAGTCTGGCCCCTAGACTATTTCAAAGAAGAAATTTCATTTTCATTTGTGATTTCTACCACAGGAAGGCTTTATGAAGGTTGATCATGACTACATCATGAAGGTGGGTGAGCTGGCCAAGGCAGGTGGATGCCAACACTACCACCTGATGTCATCGACAGGTGCCAACAGAAACAGCTCATTCCTCTACCCAAAGGTCAAGGTAATGGTTACACACCTATGTTCCGACACACCTATCTTTGTAAACACCGGCAATCATGCACCCCCTGTGGGCTTCGTGCACAAGTACCCCATCAACGTCCAGAAAAGGAGAGTTGGGGGCGACCTAGGCCAAGTTCGCGCAAGGACTATAGTTGACCAATGCTTAACTAACGTTTGCCCGAACTCTGTCTAGTCAACGGTGGTTGACTATGCTAGTCGACTATTTGGAACCAGCCTACTGGGGTTGGTTGCTTCGCTGGTAACCAATAGCTGCGCGCATTCATAACGCTAGCAGAGAGCCAGGATCCAGAAGTTTTGCGATGACATTTTAACCAGCGTTTGACTAGAGACGTTCGCACGTTGCACGTCACAAATCAACCACTAGTCGACTAATGGTCCTTGCCCGAACTTGGCCCTTGATTGGTTCTAGATCCATCCACTGCGTATTTCGAATGTTTCCAAAGTTATTGAAGGGGGGAATTAGTCTCGGAGATCATCGCAATTTGAATTCGAACGTATTCGCGCGCCGATGACGCCTGACGCTCACACAAAGTTGAAGACGCGATGGCTACAGCTTGGCACACTCAGGAAGTCGTGCGTACTGTACTTAACCAGTACAGTACAGTACGCGTACGCTGTGTTTCCCGTCCACAGAGCTCTCAAAGAGGTAAAAACGCGCCCTCTTTCGTTGGCGCACGGAGCCCATTGTCTGTAATCCTCTTTGCTTTGTTTGTAACTTTTTAGCAACAGCTCTCATTGGGTTTGTACACGAATTTCAATCGTCACTAATATTGCAGTCATCTGGGCATTTTGGCTGGTTCCCGCACAATCCACAGCGTAGAAAGTCACAGTCAACCAGTTAACAGAGCGTAGTGCGCAGCACCCGGACGCAGCGCACAGCACAGCAGGGTATATGTGCATGTTTTTAACAACCACAATAGGATCTTCGAGCAGCGCGATAATTTGAGGAAAATTTGCCGAAATAAATGCAGTGTCCTGAAATTTATTTCTTCCAGATCATGGTAGTCAGCTTAATATGAATAATAATAAAAATTTTGGATGTTTTTTTTTCGGGGGATACAAGAATATACATGTACTGCACTCGCTATGAATATTGTTGTATAGTGAAATATACGGTATTCTCGTATCCCCCTGAGAGCCATCCAATATTATATAATTAATACATGCTTTTTAGAGGGAAACGTATCCTGATGGCCCAATTTAAAGCTATAGTCCATCATTTGTAATTTGTGCATTTTGTTCGTTTGAAGCAACAAAAGTGTTCAAAATCTAATTAAAGATACTGAACAACTAACCTGATGAATTTCAGCTCAGCTTCAGCTGTATATTCAGAGAAAAACAGCATTCTAGGATCTCAATTTCAAATCAAAAGTTACTGAATCATGTTTTGAATTGTTTTGAATTGCAGCTATACGTGACATCGCGCACTGATCCGACGAATTATAGCAACCGTGCACGTGTGCGTCGTGCCAATGCTTGCGCACGCTTCGCCGAATAACAAAACGAACTACTAATTTAAATTTCCCTACTGTGCGTCTTAAGACGCACCTTTGGAAAGGCCTTCTTTCGTTGATTACTTCAAAATGATAGCTTCCCAGAAAGAATAATTTCACAGGGAGTTTAGTTTCCTTACTATCTTTCAACCAAGTTTGTGTTTCAACAATAATTACGCCAGTTACTTTTCGGATGGCTGCAAATGATGGACTGTAGCTTTAAAATGAAGGCCTGTGAGTATAATTTCCTTCATCAATAAACCTAGAAGCTCAGTGCAATGCAGCATTTGAGTATTTTCGGTTTTGGATGACGTTTATTTAGTCAAATTGTGTCATGTTTGTTTGCTTCAAAAGGGCGAAGTTGAAGAAGAAACTCGTGAGCTTGGATTTGAGAGAGTTTCTGTTTACAGACCAGCGTGAGTATATATAGAATCTTAGGTTCCCTAATGGTGAGCGCAGCTCGTATCCCATTGACCCTAACCACCCCAACTTCATCAAAATCCATCCCCCCATTTTGGTTGATTTTGGGGGACTTGGTCCAGAAGGCCTGGCGTGACTAAATATCGAGTATGATGGACTTGGGCCAAATGGCCTGAAGCAGTGCTAGGGGTATCCGATTGATTTTGCCCAGCTTCCTGTACTGCTATTGTGATAAAAGCCATGTGTAGCAAGTCCATGAATGTCAACCAGTGCGTCAGTGGTGGATTCCATGTTATGTCATGTACAGTTTTGTATTGGACGCACAGTGATTGATGGATTTTGATGAACTTGGTCTGGTTCCTAGTAAATTATACTAGGGAGTTACGGATAAAATACTGAAAAACAAGGAATACAATTTGATGGATAAAGGGAAGGTTTAAGGGCTGTGCATCGGAACCGGGTACCAGAGTACCCGACTGTTATGTCGGAACCGGTTCCAGATTATGGAACCATAACCAACTTTTACAAATTACTTATAAACTTCTCAGACAATGAAAAAGAAAGGTTTTGAATGTCATTTGTAAATGATTTTAAAAATGAAAACCAGGCTACATGGGAAAATATATCATTTTCATATTGAAGACGCTCACCAAAGTTGCAGTTCACACAAAGTGGTACACACTTAGCGGTACACGTATCGTGCTGTATCAACGCACAGATAGGCCATCAGCCTCGGTCCAAAATTTTGGCCACCGGTATCAAATGAGGGGAATGATCGTCATAGCGATTTTTGGCAAGGTGTACTCCTCCAGAGTTGGAAAATATGTGACAGCATTGCAGCGGTGGCAGCTTTTTGGGTGTTATCACCCTTTTTTCAAAATGTCCATCAAAATGCTGGTTACCACTCTAGGGGCGGTATACCTTGCGCATGCGCACTATAATCATTTATGCCCTGATTTGATACTGGCCAAACACCCAGGCTGATGGCCTAAGATGTGGTAGTGTTATCGTGCAAACCTTTATGAACAATCTGAACAGAACTTGCGAGTTTCAAATTTTGGGGTTGGGTTCTTCAATGGGTTCCCAGGTACCCTTGTTTTTTTTCCCATCAGTTCCCGTTCTGCCCATAAAAGCACACCCCTATAGGTTCTCTTTGCGTCCTGCCGAGTCTAACGGAATCCGACAACAGCAAAGTGTGAATTCTACTGAATATCAATTATTATAAGCCACAGGGAAACGTGGGTGATCAACTTCTGAACGATCAACTCGTGAACGATCAACTCGTGAACGATCAACTCGTGAACCATCAACTCGTGAACGATCAACTCGTGAACGATCAACTCGTGAACGATCAACTCGTGAACGATCAACTCGTGAACGATCAACTCGTGAACGATCAACTCGTGAACGATCAACTCGTGAACGATCAACTCGTGAACGATCAACTCGTGAACGATCAACTCGTGAACGATCAACCGTGAACGATCAACTCATGAACGATCAACTCGTGAACACACACATTAGTGTCCCGCTTTAGTTTACACTCTTGTAACGCTTGAGGAAGACCTCCCATATATTCTGTACACACATATTTAAAGTGGACCTGTGTGGTCAACAATGGACCCAATTTGTCCTCCATAGTCAAGGTCTACGATTTGAATGCGTATACATGTACACACAGTCATACGGTACTTTACAAAGCTCTCGAGGACAAGGCATTGTCTTGCCTTTAGTCCCTATACTATAACACTCTCCAAAGCATAACTCACGATCAAGGACCATTTTCAACAAAAGATGAACTCTCGAGGACAACAAAGAACTTTTTGTTCGCTTTTTGTCTGTCTGTTTGTCCTCGGGGTGTATGTAAAGTATGCGCAGGTACACACACTGATTCGGTAACTGTGGGGACTACACACATGTTGTCTAAAGGTATTATGGGGACAGAAGACACTATGGGGACAGCAGAAAGTCCTCATAACTCGATCCTAATTTCCCTAACAATAAATATCTTCCCCATAACGCGGTGATGGCCCATACACACCCACGTACACAAGTGTGTAAACCATAATGAAAAGTTTTGGGCCGAAACGCGCAAAAGATCAATGTGTGTGAGACAGCTCCACAGCTTGCCCAATTGACCTTGCGATTTGCATACCTAATGCAACACGCTGGCCACATGCACTCGCACGACTGACCCCTGCAAGAAATCCAGTCATTGGTGGAAACTTTGACGAAAAAATGATCAGTGGTTTCTTAACCAACGAAATCGAGTCTTGTATGAATTGAAAGAGAACTTCATTCTCTTTACAAAACCGCTACCCCAGTGTGCTCTGACATTGGGTTCTCGAGACACGTTAAGATAAACAACCAAAGGTCTGTCACAAACTGTCATTTTCTGTTCCATAGGCAATTGCCTCATACCCCACATTTTCAATACAAAATTATCAGGGGTTTTTCTGCCTTTTCAAGCCAGGCATAGATAGACTTAAAGCCAGAAGAATGAATTTTCAAAATCTGCAACCGTCAGATTTGTGCGACTGTCCGTTCTGAAGATACAAGGAATTCAGTGTAAAAATGGGCTATCTTTGTGGTCATTTCCCCACGTTAAAGCTTGTGTGGACATTTCCAGTTGAGCAGATGCGCGCTACTTTTCATTATGACCATCAATTGCGAACCCCATTGTCCCTCTTTTGTTTGTACTTTTGATCGTCAACTGTGGACCCTCGGGATTTGTGGACCCTATTGTCCTCTATTTCTCAATGTCCACAATTTGAATGTGTAAACAAGTACACTTGTGTGTAAACACCTTCGTGAACACATAGTTGTGTTTTACTATACTTTCGAGGTCAATGCCTTGTGTTTCCCTTTGTCCATGTAATATAACACTCTCTCATAGACTAAGCACAAAACCGTACGATCGAGGACCGTTTTCAACAAAAGACACAACTCCCGAGGACTAATAGAATCTGTCCCCTTCGTGTGTCGGTCGTCGGAGTTTTGTAGTACACGTACCCCAGTACTAATCGCCCCTGTTTCGGTCATACACAAAGTTTTTTGGGAAATCTTGTTTTCATTTGGAAGAAAAGGGAATTCTAATTGTTTTCTTTAATTTGTTCGTAGTCTGCTAATGTGTGACAGGAAGGAGAGTCGTCCCACCGAATGGTTGGCACGAAAGCTGATGGCCCCCATGGAGTATCTGTCCCCAGGTACAATGACGTCTCCGACTACGACTGTGGCTAAGGCCATCATTAACACCATCATATCTCCCTTGACAGAGCCATTTGAGATATTTGAGTCTAAGGCTATCCATAGGATTACCAAACCCGCGTCAGATTCTAAATGTAAGGCTACTGCAGCTGCTGACACTCAGACAACGTCTGGGGGAGACACACAGGCTGCTGCGGCGGACAGTCCGGCACCTGCAGCGGACAGTCCTGCACCTGCAGCAGACAGTCCTGCACCTGCAGCGGACAGTCCTGCACCTGGGGCAGCAGAAAGCTAGACTCTAGCATATACAGCACCATCGATGAAACACCCCCCTCAAAAAAAAAAAAAAAAAATTACAGCAGCTGCAACATACAAGAACAACATTAAACCAGAATTGCTGATTGTCCACAGTGGACAATACAACTGGTTTTTCCACGAAGTTGTTAAACAAGAGATAGCCACGGAGAGTTCATTGTTAATGTTCCCAGTGCATTGTGGCAGATATTCAACAAATTCGCAGCGCGGGACATGAATTTGTTTGTTTTTTTCCAGTCAGTAGTTTCGTACAAGCGTATGGTTCGAGTTTATGTTTGCCCTGTTCCTTTTTTTCCATATGGTGCTATGACCCAGTCTATAACAAATTAGCTTAAGTTGTCTACTGACACTCATTCAAATGGGCAATGTTTTGTCGACCGTAAACTTGAAAAATGGACTCTCCATGGCAAACTCTTGGTGGCGCACTGCATTGTGAATCGCCCCAATTGATTTCATTTCTTTAAAATCTAATTTATTGATAACACAGTAAAGAAACATGAATTGAAACATGGAACACTTATTTCAGTAAAGAACAGAAAAACAATGATTCATTGAGACAAAAAAAAAAAATCTTTAAGAAAAAAGTACATGTAATTCACGTAATTTTGTGTTTAATACATTTGATCGTATTCGGACTTTTCCCATCTGTGTGACACAGTTGTTTAACATTCTATTGAAAAATATGTCACATTGTCACATTTGTTGTATGTAATTAAAAGTCGATATTTGTGTAAACTATAATTAAGATTATAACACCTCACCCGCAGATTCTGTGTCTTGATTGACCGACAGCGAGTAACATGATACTTTCTATTTTTGCTTTCTTTCTGTGCACGGCCAAAAGTACTATACCCGTAGCAACCAAAGTACTATACCATTAGCAACCAAAGTACTATTTCCACGGCGCAGTATTTGTGTGCAAATGCATGCTGGTTTGCGCGTTGGGCGTTGCGCGTAGTGCGTTTTGTTTCAAAGAGAGCGTACCACAGAGTTGGGTTCAAACATTTCGCGAAAGGGGTAGTTTGGAATAGCGAAATACATTTTCCACCAATTTTGTGTTGTAATTGAAGTTTATTTCAACTGTGTTCAGATTTAAATAATTTAAAATATTAAAACCACGCAGAATCTGTGGGTGAAGTGTTATAAAACAAGTATTGAATGTTTTATCTCGTGGTGAAGTAAGACTAGCCTCCCTCGGTGATCCATGGAGCATGCTTCGCCTCGGGAAAATAACATGTCCACGGATCACCTCGGGAGGCTAGTTTTACTACACCTCTCGAAGCATTCAATATTTGTATACTATAAATCACGTATACTCTCTAAATTCCAAAGAGTGGAATAGGGACTAGACGTTTTAGAGTTAAAATCACTCTCATGTTCGATTGAAATAGTCTGAAAAAAAAAGAACCACTTCAGTCGAAGCTCGAGTGAAAACTCGATCTTTACGATTGAAGATATTTCACTCTAAAACGTCTAGTCAATACTTTCCGACTGTGTGAGTGAATCTACACTCGAATGGAGTGAATTTTCACTCTTTGGAATTTAGAGAGTACATTTTAAAGTATAAAAAGATGTGTATTTTTAATCTCAATTTACGATAAATTTTACGTACACTTGTGGCTTATGGATTGGTGGCTGTGAGATTTCCAGCGGGATGATTTGCCAAATTAAATAACTATATGATAGAGTCCCTTTTAATGGACAAGGGACAAGCGATATAAAGTCACATTTTGATTTTTAAACAAGATAATGCAATTTTTTTAATTCGAGATTAATGTTCTATTTTAAATCTGTTTGTCTATACGTCGTCTGTTTTAAACTAGGGTTTTAATTTTGTGTGGTTTTAATTCATTGGGTTATTTTATGGTAATGTATTTTATTATGTCTTTTATTTTTTGGGGGTAAATTTTGTAATTATTATATCATGTTTTTATGTAATTCAGGGCCCCCAGGGAGAACAGTTCATTGACAACTGATGGGGCTACCCTGGTAAAATAACACGAAATAAATACATATACATGTGTATAAATACATAATTATAACATAACTCTTGATTGCAAAGAGCATCTTCTTTCACCCTTTTGTGTAAATCTCTTCATGTCGGCTAATTGGTAGGTTAAAGGTACAGTCCATCATTTGTAATATGGGCATTTTTTTCGTTTGAAGCAACAAACGTGCTCAAAATCTGAAGAAGGGTGCTGAACAACTAACCTGATGAAGGTTCAGCTCAGCTTCAGCTGTATATTCCGAGAAAAAACAACATTCTAGAATCTCGATTTCAAATTAAAAGTTGCTGAATCATGTTTTGAATTGGGTCTGAATTCAGCGTCAGAAGCATATTCTCACTGATGAGCCGATTGCTATACGCAATGCAATGTCGCGCACTGATCCGACGAATTAAAGCAACCGCACCTATATTCCATGATTTTATCTGCCAATTAGTGTGGATTTCGTTGTCTTATTTGTAACGTATGACATGGCATTAAATGTAAGCTGCACGTAGTATAGTGGTGAGAATGTTTGGCTGAGCCATTTTTATCCATTCAGTGGTGTGACATATGGTGCATCTTACCTAGTAACGCAGCACGGAAGAAGTACCCATTGTTACACAATTACATGAAGATAGTACTTCACTACAATGTTTTATTTTTTTGTTTGCATGTGCAAAAACCAGTATGTTTTATTGAATCATGTCAAAATTTGCCGTAACACATTTTACGTAAGAATTACATTCATTTAATACGATTAATATAAATACACCACAGTACCCTTTCGATTAACAGCCAAGGTATTCAACAGAAACCATATAAAGTAAAATGTACAAATGTATTGTGAATAAAAATATGAAATCGGTCGAAGTCGAGTTATTGTGATTTGACCTCCGCCAAGGAGGTTATGTTTTCATCTGTGTTGGATGGTTTGTCTGTTAACAGGATAACTCAACAAGTTATGCAGGGAGTTTCATGAAATTTGTTTTAGGGGTGGTCCTTGGTAAAAGTTCAAATCGATTAGATTTGGACATGATCTGGATGCAGCTAGATTTATTTTAAGGATTCCTCACCATTTTGTATACAAATATGCCATAGACCATGAAACTGGGGCACCCCTCTCCCCCAAAACAATAGTGGACTGGTCCATTTCTTGGCCATATGCCGTGCACACGTACAGTGCATGTGACCGGCCGTGTATGTTAAAGTCATTGTACATTATACAACACCAGAACAAATCCCCGTCATCTGATTGGTGGATCGTTGATCACATGTCATTGAATTATTCGTAGCAACGCATGGCGCGCAGCGCACAGTGCAATGGAAGTTCTATTGCACTGTGAATAGTACTTCACTTGCACGGTGTCACTGCTGCTGGTGGTGGTGCTGTTTTAAATCGAGATAAATCGAACATGATTGTTCTTAACTTGTCGAACAGTTTGCATTAATATAAACGATGAACTTGTCGAACTTTTAAACAGTTTTTAACCTGAATAAATTGGCTATTAAAAGTCAACCAATCAGATGACAAGGATTTATTCAGGTGTTATATAAAACAAATAATGAATGTTTCACGTTCGTGCAATGGAAAGAATAATTTCATCTGTCACTTCACATGAAATTATTCTTACCATTGCACTCACAAACATTCACTATTTGTATACTAGGACACTGGTCCCTCCAGAGTTAAGTACAGACCTCGCGGCTAGCAAGCATCTGTGTTACGACCCTAATTAAATGTAAACAGTGACCCTATGGAAATGGCACAATTCTGCTAGATGCACTTAATAGTAATTCTGTACTCAACAAGTGAACAATACATATTAATACAGAGTGTTTCTGCTCTTTCATTTCAGAACATGATGGAGCATTTTAAAAGCTCCTGTTGGATGTACTAACAACATGGCGGGGAATTGTTTAACATTGGCGCGGAGGTTGCGCTCTCTGAGTGCTTTCTATTTATTTATGAATATAGTGCTACCGTTTAGCTTGAGGGCGCAATTGATGAGTTAAGGTATATACTTGAACTATAGGAACGTACCCTCCTACATATTGCAGTACTGCTGGTTAAACTGTTAAATTCAAAAACAAAAATAGAACTTAATATATACAGTATTAGGCCAAAAAAAAGGCTCCGATTTTTGGTATGTGCGCGCGACGCCGTACCGTAGCCATGCTTGTCGACAAAATGAAACAGTTTTTTTTCAATGTAAGATGATGTCTCAAAACTGCCAAACTCACTGGTTTGACTGGAATCCTGCTGCTGCACAAATTTAACGTGCTTTATGTGGCCTCTCTGGACTCCCATATATTTTGTACTAAATTTAGTCGGGCTCCATTTGCAGTCTTTAGCCGACATTTGAAGAAAAACAAAGTAAACCCCCCAAAAAGCTTTGTCGCCGCACCACTTTTGGGGTAAGCTCCATGCCGGGAGACTTTTTTTTTGCCTTACACTGTTATTTTGGTTGTGTACTATATAACCTAGCAACCAGTTGTGTAAAAAAACAAAAAACAACTTGTGTAATATTTTACACAAGTTGAACAGTTTACACAACGGGTTGCTAGGTTCATATAGTACACAACCGTTTGATTTTTACACAACCGAAATAACAGTGTAGGTGAATGGTACATATGGTAGTATATTCATGTGTAAAACAAAATAAATGCATTACCACATGCCAAGTTCAAAAGCCACCTCCTATAGCTAATTTTGTTTTTTGGATTTGTTTAAGTTCTTAAATATTGAATACAAAAATCCATCGAAACAAAAACTAAGGCGAGCCCTCAAATTAGAATCCCTCCCCAGACCGTTCGGGGTTGAGCCCGCCCTGTATGTTGAAGGGATTGGGACCTTACAATGGCCAGACTTCAATTTATGTTGCCTATTGTGAAACCCTGAGTCACCACTTTGGACCGATTGGGGCGTCACGCTTCAGTAACCGGGTGGCTTCTGGCTTCGTACCGATTGGGGTGAAAGAAATTAGCATACCGGACCCGGTATCCGAACGGTCTGTTATCTGATGGCTCGCCTAAAAATATAGCTAGTGTCTATATATACATTTCATTGCAAAGAAAGATAACAGAAAGTCAAACATTTTTCAAAACACCATAAGTCCAAATACATAGTTGTGGAATACATGTATACTGTTTCCGGTGTTAAGGCGTCAAATTCACACACACGTAAATGTATCATACTTGAATTAGGGACGCGGTAAGAGACTAGCAAAAATTGCTTCAAAGCATGATTGAAAGTGAACACATTTGTCAAAATAAAATAATCACTTCGTATTGTCGAGTTACAGCAGTATGAACTATTCAAACACCATTCAACCATTTCAGCTGCAAACGTGTATAGCAGCAACCATTTATGATTAAAAATATTTATAATTTTATACCCAATACATATAAACTACGTAAAAACCAATCACCAATGCACAAAATAACACGTACATATTATTATATATTGTACACTTAACAGGTACATATTACACACATGTGTCTCATCTCGATATGAACCTTAAGTGTGAGATATTGTTCCGGATAACATTAGATTTAATTCTGCTTATCCTCAGTTATATAATTATATTCCCTCTAATTGTTTACATCAAACCGTTTAACTACCCCAAATACTTATATTCCGTTAATATAATTCGGTTACAATAAATCTAACTAACATGAATTTACGTGAACATCACTTTAGTTTATATAATCGCACATATAAAACGTTACATACAAGAAAGTATACCGGTAGTAATACCTCCAATTACTGTAAGAGTAATTTCCAGCAGAACCATATTAGTAGTAAAAGTCGGGATGTTTGAAATCGTGATCCATTTTCCACATCTGTCAAAAAAGTAAGCAATACTTTGCATAATAAATCGATGAACGATAATGGGGTCAGTGAATATTAGCCAACAAATTGTATAATTTTGGACACAGGGTGGTCCAAACAAGTTTACATGTTTTTTTCAGGCGTAGATATCTTGGAATTGGGGAGACATGTTAAAATTGTTTCAAGATATTCCTTAAGTACAGCATCTTCTTGGTATATGGTGAAAATGGCACTGAAACTAAAGCCTAATTGAGACATGGTGATGGTTTAAAGAAAAATGGTCAAAAACCAGTTTTTCCACACGCAAATCTACGGGACACAAGGGCGGATCCAAAACAGTATTTTGTGGGGGGCCCAAAATTTTTTTTGGTCCCCCCAAAAAATGGGTCAAAAAAATTACGGCGTGGGGTTCGGGGCCCGCTTAAGGGCCCCGAAAAATGTTTGGATTCTAGATGCTCTGTGGTGCGATCTGAGGCAATTTCTGACCACTTTAACAATGTTTTTTTGAGGAAAAGATGGTGGTGTACTCATTGCCTGCCTTTATTGCGATGTCACATAAAAAAAAAAAATTGGTTTCGTTTTTTTTTTTTTTGGGGGGGGGGGGGGCATGGCCCCCTTTGGCCCCCCCCCCCCCTGGATCCGCCCTTGACGGGACATGGCCAACACATTAGCACTGCATGCACAAAGAACTGCAAAAATTGTAATTGGGTCTACATGACTGCCATGCATGTGGACTACCTTTTGACCACTTTTTTTTCGTAAATGGCCGCCATTTATAAGCTTGAACTTTATTTTCAACGTTGTTTTTATTATATTCCACAAATATCTTGTAGTTTAGGACCAATCTGCATATCTGTTATGATGAAATCAATTGCAACATTTCAGCGGAGATGTGGATTAATTACGGGAATTTGATTGACATGTTATTATTTAGTGTTATTTTTATAGAACAACATTATACTCACCAGTGCAGGCCCGGGTATGATGTACGGCGTGTGAGAGTTGCGCATATTGTCATTGCTGTCATAGTTCTCGTAGAATATTCGTGCATCGTTGTCCACTGTGTCCTCAGCCTGTCTCATTCTCCCAACCTTTGTGTTTATTAAAAGTAACAAAATCAGTCCTTGTATTGATGCCCATGCCTTTAAAAACAAAGTCGACATTAGATAGCAGCAATTATTTTTTAACCCGCCTAGTATTCGAGACTTGAAGTTTTGGGAAACCACTTTTGCCCAAAGACCGTGTCGTGGTTTACAGCCATCTTTGTGATCACATGGGAATCTGTGGAGGCATGTCTTAAAATTTCTATTGAAAAAAAGTCCCGTCAGTCGTTGCATTGCATGGTGGGATGTATATTCAATTAAAATATGGCTCGCATTCCTACGAGGTAATCTTCTGTGGAGTATTGATAACACTTCGAAACCCAGCAAAAATATTGTTCAGTAGTTAAGCTCAGAGTAAGCATATAAGGTAAAGGTTCAAATTGTATAGGTGTTCTCGAGCATGCATCTTTTGCTGAAAGCGGTCCTCACTCGTACGTTTTTGAGTGTTATCTTACAGGAAACACAGTGCCTTGTCCTGGAGAGTTTTGGTGTGCACGACTGGGTGTGCTCAGGCATTCAAACCTTGGACGAACAATGCCGGAAAACAAAAGAGAAAAATATCGTCCGCATTTCCCAACATGCGTCCACGATTGGGGTCGTGTACAAAATACATGGGAGTCTCCCTAAAAAAAAACCAAACAAAAACCCAATACGACTGTATGTGTGGACAAGCATTACATTCAATGTGTGGACTTCCCAACAAAGGATGTCCACATAAACCAGATACGTTGTGTGGACTTTCCCACATCCACACAAGGTTCCTCTCTCTCTGGAAAACATGTTTAGATGCACATGGGGTTAGGTTTATCCGTCGCAGAATTAAGAAAACATTCAAGGAAATCATAGAAAAAAAATGGTCGAAAGAGTTTTCACAGTTTGATTAAAATTATTTTGTTTCTCACAGGTTTTTCTTAACTTCACCAAAACTAAGGAATGTCCACACTAGGTATGTAACGTAAACAGAGCAACATGATCAACTCTGACTAAGATAGTTTGTGGCCAAACGTTTTGGACAGAAAAGTTTCATGTTAGAAACAAAAAAAATTCTATAACAAAAACAGACTAGCCAGAAAACTGGTGATGAGACTTACGAAAGCACGTCGTGGAACCACAGAAGGAAAGGAGAAATACGGTCCTCTATTGTACTCCCATCTCTAAAATAAATGTATAAATAAACCTCATCAGATTATCTCCATAATAATTTATGAAAAATGTTTACCATAAATCATATCTGGTACGAGGTGTATTTTCCCTGGCAAACTGTATATAAATGCGTTTCCAGGGTAATACTCAACGAAACAAGTTTCATGCCCTGACAAGTTCATATACATAAAAACAAAAATGGTCAATTATAGCAAGTAGTAAATTTTTCAAACAAGTTTGAGTCCTGTTTAATTCCATGCTTGACGGAATTGTGAAAACAAGTGTGGGAAAATAAACGCACGTGTGCGCAAGTCGAAGTTATATATGAGAAATTAATCCCGCTATGGTTCAAAAGTCACGGGGCTTCGCCTTATGGATTGGTGCATTGTTTTACCTGTGTCTGATTCCGGACGCCACGTGGTGTGTCAGCGTACATCCAGTCTGTGCGCCTCGCCAAGTAGCAGCAGCAGACACATAACATGAAAACTACGCAGCAGATAACGAGCACAAACACCGTAACGACTATGGCTATGACGCCTCCATCGCCGCTAGGAACTTGATAGAAAAGACACACGAAGGGTAAATAGCGCCTTCGCTGACGAATAGATCTTTGTTGCTATGCGATACGCGTGTGTAAACGCTTTGTATTTTATTGTCACTGAATTTACATAAACTAATCTCATTTGTTTAGGTAACTCTTTGTTTTTTTTCTATCATAATGATAGTTGTCACTCGTTTTGACTAACAAATAAGTCATCGGTGAGGGCGCCCTTTGCAAGGGGTATATATGAATACTTTCAAGCGCTATTTCGTACTTTGACAAAGTTCTGCATGTAGCACTATCAAAATCTAAGGTACGAAAGCCCAATCTATAAGCTTTCTTTTAGTACAAGAATTATTCTAATCACGCATGTACTTTTCAAGTTACAGAGTTTTTTTTTAAACACAACCACTGTTTTAAAGTTCTGTCCACGGATCACACAAATATGTGTTCGTTCTTTCAGCAAAACGAAAACAAACCACACATATGTTATTCTTATGTGATTTGTTTTTGTTTTGCTGAAACAACACTGCCCATTTTGTGATCCGTGGACAGAACCATAAAACGGCGGTTGTGTTTAAAACTCCGTAACTTGAAAAGTACATCAGTGATTTGACTGATTCTTCAACTAAAAGAAAGCTTATGAATTAGGCTGTCATATCGTAGATTTTGAAAGTTCTACATGCAGAACTTTACTAAAACAATGGTCGCGAGATTTGGGTTTCGTTGCTTTTTTTACTCACCCTGTACTACCCGTAGCGAAGTCGAGTTTCCCTCGCTCCTTGTCAGATTTTACTCACAAACGAGATTTGTCACTTGAGGCTACCTTAAACTTATCTAATTGATATCGACATCATGCAAACATTAACATTTTAAAATGAAAAAAAAAAATGACCACCAGATAAAAGCCAAGCCAGGAATAGATACAAACCATTGTCATCACAAACACTTCCTGTGAAATCACTTGCGCACCTGGAGAAATTTAAACAAATAGGTACAAGTGTTTATTATTTCTTATGGTTGACTTTTAAAGGTTCATTCTATGAGAACACATTTCAACTATTCAATAGGTAATACATAGATTTTTTTTCCAATTACGTTTTTTGCAATTTTTGCTGGAAGTATTTCTTGCAAACAAAAATTCAACCTCAAACTACGTCTGTCACTTCCACGGAATACCGTGCTTCAAAGTAGTATTTTGTGATCGTAACATCGTTTTAAACACTGAAATGTATTTAAGTTCAGCCTAATCGATTTCAAATCACAATGAACAATACGTAATTATTTAACATGCATGTTGGTATTTATCGTATCTTTACTCAAACCATTGTTGCCATTTAGTGGTTGAATTTGTTCTCGGTTGATTGCAACATAATTCCATAGAATGTTGAACTTCACTTCGTGTACTTACTCGCAGGAGTACACAAAATCGGGAAAATCTCCAGATCGACTGCACATTCCTCCGTTTTGGCAGCGGTCTGAAGGACAATATTCCTCTGGAGCTACATTCCATAAAACAAAGAGATGAACGAAATTAATGATCTTGTAATTTCCCAGTGAGATTATCTATATTCCCTTATGACATTTTAACCCACTCGTGTTGAACAGTCATGTTTTTCGACGAAACTCCTGTTGGCTGTAAGGAGCTTACAATGTATACATGTACATTTGTATACATTTGTATACATTTGTATACATTTGTATACATTTGTATACATTTGTATACATTGATCTCTTCCCTAGTCCTCCACTGGGGCTTTTCGTAGTCAGTTCTCACGCTTGACTCCTACAACTCGGAAGCGATGCCTCTTTGCTGCTGTGATGGCTACTTTTGGAATAACCTAACTGTCTGACCTTTCTGATACCGGTCCTTTCTAGCCAACTTTAAGACGTCAGGGTAAGAAACTGAAGTCTTTTTTTCTGCTGTATAAATCATGGACGTGAACGTGAAGTATCGCTTATTTCTAAAATCACACTGAAACTCAAAATACTACTTGTATGTTTCTTTGTATATATATATATATATATTTAGTAGAATGGGATGTGACTGGATTTTAATCGCCTCATAAATCATCAACTAATTAGGATCAAAGAGAAGTGTTCGAAGTCCGATGAGTGTTGTGTTCAATGAGCCCTCCATCCTTCTTAATTGGTGGACGGATCCGCCCCACCCTGCCTTCTGACTAGATACAGCAGGATCTACAACCACATAAACGAATGTGTTGTATTTTGTAGACTGGTCACAATTATAACAGAGATGAAAAAATAGCAAAGAGACTGTAGGGCAATGCATTTTATAGAGGGCGCACTTTAGTTCTTTACCGGTAGCCAGCGGGGTGTGCGTGCACTCACCCAGGTTTATGGGGCACCAGCAATAGCGCCTGTGTATATAAGCGGCCGCGCGCTCAGCTTCGCTCTCTTTCTGCTGTGGCCATAACCCGAGCGCAGTCTCGTGAAGTGCTCTCGCACTGCTCTAATCTCCCACAATCAACAATAACCAATCAACTATAGTCGCAGTGGAGGGAGCCTCATACTTTGTGCGAGTGTAATTGACAAATGATTCCTGTATCATAATCCAGATAATTAAGTAATCTCTGAGTTTATAAGGGAAGTGATTGAGTATAAGATCACGTAGGCGAGGCACCTAAGTAGGCTGAAACTGGAATGAGGACTAAATCACCAAAGCTATGGGTCGGTGCAAACCGTGTGTTTAGTGTGCAATTCCTCTCCCGAGATATCCCAGTCTGTCAGCCCAGTGAATGGAGTGAGTGCGTGATAGGGTGCTTTTTTTGGTAGTCTGCGGCGGGCCTGGCGGTAAACTTCCGCCGAAACGGATCTGCTGTGGTCCAATTGTTACGGTGTTGGACGTACGTGTCGTGGTACTAAGGTTCGAACCCTAACGGGGAACACGGAGCTTGTTTTATTGGGCAAGACATTTTATTTCAATAACCTCTCTCCATACAGGGGTATAAATAGGTACATGTAAAGGCAGAGACCAGAATGCAATGCTCTTGAGATGATGCAAAATTGGTCTAATGGCCTGATGAACTGGAGTTATGATTGTGAAACTCTTTGAGACCTTTGGTAAAGGTACATTAGCACCACGTAATTATTACGGTCTTAAATTAGGTAAACCTGCCTGCAACAACAGTAGCTGAAAGGTCAATGGTGAGTGCATTGTCAATTCGTCCGTTGTTGCTCATCGCGTCACTGCGAAGCACGTCCAGTATGGTGTCGCTTACAATGGCGGAGTTGATGGGGTATTGAGCAACAGCGTTCACTAGAAGACTGCCGCTACGAACTGACACAACCTCGAACCGTATTATATCAGACGTTGTCTCGAACCGTCGACAAAGTCTAAAGACCTGAAAAAAAATTTGAGTTAAAAATGAAAAAAGAATGACAGATAATTAGAAAGCAGGAATAACAAACTAGACACTTGCGAATATGGAGATTCTCGCCAAAAAAAAAATAATAATCAAGATTTGTTCGAACGAGGTATTGGCTTATCATGACAGTTTGGATTTTCTGTAAAGAGAAGAAAAACGAAAGAAATCAACACGTGCATTAAATGACATTAATCACAGAAAACCCACCCATCTTCGTAAACACCGGCAGTCGTGGACCCCTATTGTCCCTAATCCTCATTCCTTTGTTTGTACTTTTTAGCATCAATGATGATCTCTCATTGTTTGACAATCATGGACGTTCGGCCAATCGTTGACGTTTGTTTGTACCCTAACTCTTTTGTCCTAGGTCCACGATTGCCGGTGTTCTCCATGAGCATAATTGCAGTTACACCTGATTAGGGACACCTGATGTGTGAATAATGTATAATTGGAGCGAAATGCGTTTTTTTTACACAATAAAATTGACTTGTTGGTCAAATTTCGAGCAACATCGTTGCCCTTCATCTGAGGCTCATCAGCAAGTTTGCAGTGAAACCTAAGAACATCCAACATATTTTTAAAGCAGTGTCACATGGGAAATAGATAAGTGCCCAGAGCAAAGCTTCAATGACCGGCTGCAATAAATCGGCAATAACAGATCCTGTAGCTCAGGAAAATCACACAAGAGAAACAGTTCGTTTCCATGTAACGGTCCTCTGTTGTAGGTTTGTGTGCCTAGTCTATGGGAGAGTGTTATATTACATGGACAAAGGAAAACACAAAGCATTGTTCTCGGGAGGATAGTAAAACAAGAGTATAATGTTCAATTACAACAACATGTACACTGTAAAAATGGTGCTTAGGATTTAAACACATTTCTAAACACTAATTCTGTACCCACCTTTTCCACACGTTTAGCATCATGACATGTTTAAATTTCCTTTTTTTCTGTGACACGCATTATCCGTTTGACATGTGCAATGAATAATATGTTTAGCATTTAAACACCTTCCTAATCGCATTTAGATATACAATCCTAAGCACATGTCCAAAACGTAACCACGTTTAGTTTCACAACATTAAAAAGTGGTAAACGTTTAGAATTGAAACACATTCCTAAACGTATTAAACTCTAAACACGTTTCTGATGTGTTTAAATGCTAAACACTGTTTTTACAGTGTATATTGCGTGCCTGTGTTTGAAAACTTACTGCATTTTGGACATATATTGAAAGGTCTCTAAAGGCCTGGGAGGTCTTGTCTTGGTACTGGTCTTGGTAAGCAACAGGTATTCCATCGACTTCTAGGATTCGAAGCTGAACACTGAACTCTGTATTAAAATGGATTCAGAAATAATATTTACAGTTGAGGAAGTTTACCATATACGCGTTAAGTTGGAGATACAGGGCAATTGTTTTGTATCTCTTGGGTAAAGTCATCAGTAAATCATTTATGCATCCATTAACATTACTGATTAAAAAAAAAACCAAAGGACAACCTCTGAGATACCTGCCGTGCAAAATGTGTATATAATTATTGCATTAAGGTCGCATAATGTGTTATTGATGTGTGCTACTTAGATCGAATATTAAAGGTAAGGCACAGGAAACTGCGAAAATGTCAATTAAAGGATATTTCACCTTTAGTGGGTGGTTCAATTCCAACATCAGTAGTAAATACCATGTTTCCAGACCTTGTTGTTGATGGTCGATCGCGCCCCGCCTCAGTTGACGATGAACCAGAGGAGACAATCGGCGCTTTTGGAGTGAGTGTTCCGGCTGTGGTTGGAGTGATATTCAGTGACACTTAAACAGGATATTTTGACAACGGCTTTAGTTGATGTTCGAGTTATTATGTCCGATACGCGTCCACGTGCGCATGACAAACCTGTACAATATTTGCAGTATGGCAAGTGATAAGCTAAATTATGTTTCCCGACCTCCTAAGTTCATGGGGTTCGGTATCTAGCTCCCATTTAAAGCCATTGGTTGGGTCACCTCTGAGCGCGCGCATCCTGATTGTCTATTTTCAAATCGCTGCTTCCTAGCTCCAGTGCATGAACGCTGACACAACACACGATTATCAAAAAAAATCACTCCTGTCTTACCCAAAAAGTACGCAAAATCATCAGTGTCTCCATGAAGGTAACTTTCAAGTATTTCAACTGCATAGATTTTAAATACTGAACAGTAAGTTCACTCTCTTTATTGATATTTGCCAGAGACACTTTCGAATTCAGCAAAAATCGAAGCTCACCAGTTCCGAAACTTGTACGTTCGTGGCGCGGCTATTGTCATTTTTGCAATAGGTTGGTTCAGGCAAATGTTACCGTTGTGATTATTAATTCACGAGGCGGGATTCAGACCTTATCACGTCATGCATATCATTTGCATACATCGGGAGGGATGCTAGCTACCTGTCCCGAAATTTGAAGTCCAAAGGACAATGGGGACAGGGAACAAGACTTGTGATAAGCACACGTGTTGTTGCCCAGGTTGTGAGCGGGCCTATTGGGTAGATCCTTTGTTTCTTGGGAATGGGAGTATTTTAGAATAATATACTACATGCGTTGTCACCTGTTGCTTCGATAGCAGACGTTTGGTCGATCAGCTGTGATTCGGTTGAACCACTTAGTTCAGTTGATGACCTTGAAGTGGATCGTATATCAATCTGCCCTGCCGCGGTTGTTTCTGTAGTGACAGCATTCTGCGATTCGGTAGTGGCACTATCGGCTGTTTAATCAAAATAAAATACTATGATGTGATCATTATTATGGATTCTGATTTAGATGAATTTGTTGTAAATTTAGTGCAGGAAAGTCAGACCACAAATTGTAGCTGTTTTGGCAAGTTGGACGAAACAGTTCTTGTTTTCGTTAATATATTTTTATGTTAGCCGTTTTGGAAATTCCACAAAAACAGGTCTTGTTTTGTTAATGTTTTCTTTTCCAGATTTTGTGTCCATGGGGTACACGCTGTTTAATTTTAATAATACACTTTGGCTGAAGCAATGACGCCATGATTAATTCCTTACATATATGGCGTCACATTAAAGGGGCACTTTTCTAAGGCCTATATCTATAGAACTATAGATTGATATAATATTGGGATGTGTTATAGATGAACATTTTAGTGACGTCATGATAAAGCTATCACTAGTCGTGACATATTAAAGGGCATTTTCAAATTCTTTATCTACAGAGTTGTATTTTCGATGCGGCTGTAACTTTGGTCGGTGCGTAGACCAGGACGGGTTGTAGATGAAAATAAGGTGACGTCGTGGTGACATCATCACATGTCATGTACGTCATTTGTCTTATTGGTGACATTTGAAGTGACGTTGTCATGTTGTCATCACATCACATCATTTGAGTGATTTCAAACAGCCAGAACAGCTGGTGTTTGTCCACAAACACATTTCTAGCCTACAATTTCAGTTTCCTATGTACAACAATAATGTCGACAATTTAACGACTTTGTATAATACGAATACATGTAGTTAATCTTTTTCAAAGCATTGATACCTTTAATTCATACAAAATAAAGCAACAGCGTATATTCAAGTAAAAGCTAAACGTGAAGTCAGCACTTCTAGTTTATAGCAAGTGCGTTTGCTTCATTTTTATTCACGCAGATGCGAATAATTGTCTAGAAATTGGTAGTACATGCAAATGCGGTTGTTTATACAAACAACCGCATTTGTTTACGTCATACATTTCGTAATTCTTGGCTGGTGCACTTACATATCTTGCCGTCAGAAAACACGCCCCTTGTTGCTGATGGTACTCAAACGGAAACAGTCAACTTTGAATGCACCGAGTACATGCAGTGTTTTGGACTTCTTTTTTTTAGCTCTTATTGTCTACGGAAATGTTAATATAGGGTTTGGGATTCCCGTCAATGAATGCCATTGGCTTTCATCTATGTGCAAAGGGTGCCACGCCAACTTATAAACTGATATGTAAAGCCACAACCTGTGATTGGCTGTAATTTATGTCCAACAATTTAAGTGAGAATTGCGTGGACTTGCTTTCATAATGCGCAGGTGTTGTTTCTAAGGTAGGCTACGTAGCGGGTGAGCTGTATTGATCTCTACATTGTTACGTGCTCGTGGAATACCGTTCGTCTTAGGCTAATTATGAAAGGGTTGATAGTACTCCAATTATGATTATCACCTGTTGAGTCAGTAGCAGATGTTTGGTCGATCGGCTGTGATTCTGTTGAACCAACAAGCTCAGTTGTGGAGCCTGTAGTGGATTGTACGTCAATTTGTCCTGCAGTGGTTGCTTCTGCTGTCGACTCAATAGCAGAGGTTTGGTCGATCGGCTGCGATTCTGTTGAACCAACATGTTCAGTTGTCGAGCCTGTAGTGGACTGTACGTCAATCTGTCGTGTGTTGGTTGCTTCTTTGGTCGTGACAATCGACGAATCTGTCGTGGAACTTTCGGCTGATTAATCAAAAAAGAGTGTAAACTATGATGTTAATTCGGGCGATTCACAATGCAGTGCGCCACCTAGGATTTACCATGAAGAGTTCATTGCTTCACTTGACGGTGGACAAAACATGGCCCATTTGAATGATAGTTGGTAGACAACGAGCTAATAAGCCTCTGTACTAATGACGTCACACTTTGTTTACGTGTGCACTTTCCAATGCAGCCAATGGGGTCCGCGATCCACTGAGCACCATAGGAAAGCACAAACGTAAACAAAGTGTGACGTCATTAGTACAGATGCTTATTGATAGATTGGGTTATCTGTATTCGAACCCCTGGTGTTCTGATCATGAGTAACGAACCCTTACGACAAGGCCACACGCCCCAAAATCAATAATGCTATGTAAACATGGAAAGCTTACGAGATATGAGTTCCACATCATCGATCGCAACATCTGACTCGATAGACGTTCCTTCAGTCGTTTTGAATGCGATATGGAAGTTGTAGCTAACTTCTGTTAAGTTGACCTCTCTATGGAGCCACATCGGTTCTGTAGATTGTTGCCCGGTAATTATCAAGAGTTCCAAATTGGGATGCGAGAAAACGTCAGCTGGCCGTTGATAGATGCGGAGCGAATCTATAGGAAAATCAATTTGATTTAATAAAACAAAATCTTTGATTAGAAAAAAAAACAGACTTAATACGTAAATTTACGTAACACGAGTTCAATATCGGCGATTGCAATGTCGGATTCAATGGTTGAGCCTTGCATACTTTGGAATCTGACGAAGAAGTTGCAGCTAGTATTTGTTCAGTTGATCTTTATCTGGAACATCAGTTCAGTAGTTTGCTGCCCGTAAATATCCAAAAGTGGAGTACATAGCGTGAAAGGGGGAAGAATTCCGGCCCCGGCCCATTTAGGGTTAAAAAAAAACCCACCATATTGATAAAAAGAAAAGAAAATGGCAAACATGTACTCCAATTATACGCTTACTAAACTACTGACAGAAAAAACTAACACTTTCAAATTTCCCCAGCTGCGAATTTGTCGACCAACTCCCAAAATGCACTGGGAAAATGAACTCTCCATGTCAAACCTTGGTGGCGCACTGCATTGTGAATCACTCGAATTTCAATCTGAAGATTTCATGTATGACGCCCGTTAAACATAAGGATAGAATTTGCATTACCTATTCCACTTCCGTACATATTGAGCCAGAATGACAGCTTCCCGTTGGAAAAACGAGAATTTAGCTCCGGACTTTTCAAAGTAGCTGTGCCATCTGCCGTGTAACTCCGTCCGTCATAATACACGTACGCTCCCGAGATTGCTATGACAGAGAAGTATAGTTAACGTTTGATATCTACAGGGCGAGTAAAAACAAAAACGAAACCCAAATGTTGGGACCATTGTTTTAGTGAAATTCTGCATGTAGCGCTTTCAAAATCTAGGATTGAAATGTTGATATACCTGTCCAAGTGGAAAATAAAAGGTGTTTCCTCGAAATATATTTGTACTCTTGTCATATTATGTGCCGTGTTGTTTGTAAGGATGAGAGCATGCACAAAATAGGTTCAGTTAAAATCCGTTACTGTGGTATTTTGTGTGTGTAGAAGATAACAAAATGACTACCTTTACATAATTGACATTTCCTCAGCAACCCAAAGTGCTATTTTTATGATTTGTTCAGTATTCAAAAGAAACAGCTCTCAGCTTTAATTTGATACCCAAAACAAGAAAAACAAAGGCAACAGTTTTAGGGGTGTACTTCACTGGATCACCCTGTATGTTTAATCCAGTATGTATCTGAACACTATCGGGGCTAAATTAATACTGACTTAATTGGAAATCAATATAATACTAAAACAAACAATCACAAACAATAATGCCACCATTATAGCCGTTAAGACATCCCCTGAAGATATATATTGTCCTCCACCGCTGTGCCCCAGGTTCGAATCCCGCCTGGGCCAAGATTTGGTTTGGGTTTTCAGTCCCTGCCTGATTCTGTGAGTTTTCCCTCGTGTGGTCTGTGATTTTCATTCCACCTCTAAAACTGTCACTTCTTCTCATTGTCTTCTCTCTACAGGTTTCTTCAAGCTTGCGAGCTACAGTCACTAGAATGCTCTTTAGGTATCCTTTGTTTCATTACAAGGAATGATTAATAATAATGATAATAGTACCTAAATAATTACCGATTATTGGGTATTAAGGAAGACATTCCCACATTTTTTCCAACTTTAATGACCTCTAAGCCAAATTTTACCTCATCCTACAGCTACCCCCACCAATTTCATTGTTTTTCATTAATTGGACAACAAACAATTGATCTAGCATATTTGTGACATTACAATGTTGCCTCTAAATAGGAGCTGTGGCATTAGGTAGACATTGAAATGTCTCCCTAATTCCACACTTTTCCCAAAGGTTTAACTCCTGACGCTAAAGTGTCTCCCAAAGGCTTAAGTTTGTTTTGTTTCACTCCATACTTCAGATGTCTCTCGACCAACAGATATCAGTACAAACCGGTTCGAGCGTGATACAACGGGTTGCAACTGATTATAACGGCTTAGCTCAGCTGACTAGAGTCTCCGCTAAATGACCATGTCAACAATGGTGAAATCTATAACTCACTTCCCGTCGTTCTGTCAACTTCCGGTCCGGTGTTTGCATTGGGCGTGGCTCCTTGCTGTACCACCCAATCAACATCGAAGGCCATAGCAGGCTGCGTCCACCCACAGAATGTGCCCTCGAAGGCACAATTGAAATCGACACCTACATTGAAACAAAAAAGCGTCAAGAAATCAATCGAACATAATGTCCACGAATTTTGTCAGAACGACATCACACATTATGTGATACTACATTTACAGGGCGAGTCAAAAAGAAAGTGGCCTCGATTAATCGATTTGCGTCTTAAAAAAGCATGTTTCTTACTCATCTGGAAAAACAAATATTGGAAACTGATGCCTGCTACCAGGAATTACATTTTTTTGTACAAAAATAACCTATGTTTATAGCTGTACATGGAATGGTATTTGGAAGCTATTCCGCTGAGTGAGAATTACAGATGACACACAGGCATTCAATTACAAATTCAGTGGTAAATAAGTGGCCGTTCTTGCTCGCGCACGAAGCCCATTGTACTCTTGCGGCCATTTTGGCATTTGCATATGATCTTGGGCTGGAATGTGCAGCATATCATTTGACAGACGCGCTGTTGATGTTGTTGCTGCGGTTGTTGTTGCTGCTGCTGTTGTTATTGTTGTTGTTGTTGTTGTTGTGTGCAGCGGGCGGGGCCGGTGGATCAGTCTATAGGTTCCTTGCTCTTGGAACTTGATTGGAATAATATAATCAGGAGGGTTTATAATGTTTGTCACCTGTTGAGTCAATAGCAGAGGTTTGGTCGATCGGCTGTGATTCTGTTGAACCAACATGTTCAGTTGTCGAGCCTGTAGTGGACTGTACGTCAATCTGTCGTGTAGTGGTTGCTTCTTTGGTCGTGACAATCGACGAATCCGTCGTGGAAATTTCGGCTGGTTAATCAAAAAAGAGTGTAAACTATGATGTTAATTCGGGCGATTCACAATGCAATGCGCCACCAAGAGTTTACCATGGAGAGTCCATTTTTTTCACTTGACGGTGGATTAAACATGGCCCATTTGAATGAATGTCAGCAGACAACGAGCTAATAAGACTCCGTACTAATGACGTCACGCTTTGTTTACATGTACACTTTCCAATGGAGCAAGAGGGGGTCCACGGTCCACTGAGCACCAAAGTAAACAAAGTGTGACGTCATTAGTACAGATGCTTATTTATAGATTGGGGCATAGCATTCTGCCGCCTTACAGATAAAACACCATATTGATACAAAGAAAAGGGCAAACAAATACTGGAATCATGCGCTCACAAAACTACTGATTAGAGAAAAAACCAACAAATAAAAACATCCCACTCTGCGAATGTGTCCACCATCTACCACTCTGCACGGACAATGCACTCTCCATTGCTAACTTTTGTTGGCCCACTGCATTGTGAATCGCCCGAAATAAAAGAAAACAAAATCAATTCAAGAAACGTTAAGTTTAGACATTCCAATGACAATCCTGAAAGCAAGCGTGATGGTATCAAAATATAGGACAGCAGTATTAACACAGCAAAGGTGTGTGGTTACGTAATGCAAGTCACAAGTTGACAAATTGTTTCACATCCTGCAACTGATGAAGATGCTTTTGTTTCATGTCTGAAGTAACTCTAATTTCGTCTGACTGGCTCTGTTGTGGAAAACATCAAGCTCAGAAATGTACAACCAACATGTTCGACATTGGTTTTGCCTATAAAATGTACAACTGTACAATACTTTACATCCAATACGAAGTTGCATAAACCATTAAACTGTATATCGTTTTTATCCCAAGTTTGCTTCTGGGAAAGAAAGTCGGTAATTTCTGCAGCGCATCGGACGGATTAAGAGACAGTTACAGTGAGTTGAACTTCAAAAATGGGCTTCAACCCATCAATCACTATGTTAAATAAATAAAGTCTGTCACGAGCTAATGTGACCCATCAGCCAGGCATTTGTCTCAAGTTTCTGTTCAGTAGCATGAAACTACTTATTTCTACTCCACCTGGATGGGATGCTAGTCCATCGCAGGTTACTCCCAGCTATGCGGTATCCATTTATACGTATGGGTGGAGAGAGGCAAGTTGGGGTGAAGTGGCTTGCCCAAAGACACAACATGTGACCAGCAACTGTATTTGAACCCCTGGTGATCTGATCATGAGTAACGAACCGTAACGACTAGGCCACACGCCCCACAATCAATAATGCTGTGTAAACATGGAAAGCTTACGAGATATGAGTTCCACATCATCGATCGCAACATCTGACTCGATAGACGTTCCTTCAGTCGTTTTGAATGCGATATGGAAGTTGTAGCTAACTTCTGTTAAGTTGACCTCTCTATGGAGCCACATCGGTTCTGTAGATTGTTGCCCGGTAATTATCAAGAGTTCCAAATTGGGATGCGAGAAAACGTCAACTGGCCGTTGATAGATGCGGAGCGAATCTATAGGAAAATCAAATTGATTTAATAAAACAAAATCTTTGATTAGAAAAAAAAAAGACTTAATACGTAAATTTACGTAACACGAGTTCAATATCGGCGATTGCAATGTCGGATTCAGTGGTTGAGCCTTGCATACTTTGGAATCTGACGAAGAAGTTGCAGCTAATTTCTGTTTAGTTGATCTTTATCTGGAACATCGGTTCAGTAGTTTGCTGCCCGTAAATATCCAAAAGTGGAGTACATAGCGTGAAAGGGGGTAAGAATTCCGGACCCGGCCCATTTAGGGTTAAAAAAAACCCCACCATATTGATAAAAAGAAAAGAAAATGGCACACATGTACTCCAATTATACGCTTACTTAACTACTGACAGAAAAAAAACCTAATAATTTCAAATTTCCCTAGCTGCGAATTTGTCGACCATCTCCCAAAATGCACTGGGTAAAAAAAGTCTCCATGGCAAACCTCGGTGGCGCACTGCATTGTGAATCACCCGAATTTCATTCTGAAGATTTCATGTATGACGCCCGTTAAACAGAAGGATAGAATTTGCATTACCTATTCCAATTCCGTACATATTGAGCCAGAATGACAGCTTCCCGTTGGAAAAACGAGAATTTAGCTCCGGACTTTTCAAAGTAGCTGTGCCATCTGCCGTGTAACTCCGTCCGTCATAATACACGTACGCTCCCGAGATTGCTATGACAGAGAAGTATAGTTAACGTTTGATATCTACAGGGCGAGTAAAAACAAAAACGAAACCCAAATGTTGGGACCATTGTTTTAGTGAAGTTCTGCATGTAGCACTTTCAAAATCTAGGATTGAAGGTTGATATACCTGTCCAAGTGGAAAATAAAAGGTGTTTCCTCCAAATATATTCGTACTCTTGTCATATTATGTGCCGTGTTGTTTGTAAGGATGAGAGCATACACAAAACAGGTACAGTTAAAATCCGTTACTGTTGTATTTTTTGTGTGTAGAAGATAACAAAATGACTACCTTTACATAATTGACATTTCCCCAGCAACCCAAAGTGCTATTTCATGATTTGTTCAGTATTCAAAAGAAACAGCTCTCAGCTTTAATTTGATACCCAAAACAAGAAAAACAAAGGCAACAGTTTTAGGGTTTTACTTCACTGGATCACCCTGTATGTTTAATCCAGTATATATCTGAAAACCATCGGGGCTTAATTATTACTGACTTAATTGGAAATCAATATAATACTAAAACGAACGATCACAAACAATAATGCCACCATTATAGCCGTTAAGACATCCTCTGAAGATATATATTGTCTTCCACCGCTGTGCCCCAGGTTCGAATCCCGCCTGGGCCAAGATGTGGATTGGGTTTTCAGTCCCTGCCTGATTCTGTGAGTTTTCCCAAGTGTGGTCTGTGATTTTCATTTCACCTCTAAAACTGTCATTTCTTCTCATTGTCTTCTCTCTACAGGTTTCTGCAAGCTTGCGAGCTACATTGCTTATGGTGCTTTTGAGGAATGCTTTGTTTATTTACCATAATGATTAATAATAACTATATTAGTACCTAAATACTTACCGATAATTGGGCATTAGGGAGACATTCCCACATGTTTTCCAACTTTAATGATGACCCCTAAGCCCTTCACCTTATCCCTCCCCACAAATGTCATTGTTTTTAAAATTAATAGGACAACAAACAATCGATCTAGCCTATTTGCGACATTACAATGTTGCCTCTAAATAGGAGCTGTGGCATTAGGTAGACATTGAAATGTCTCCCTAATTCCACACATTTCCCAAAGGTTTAACTCCTGACGCTTAAGTGTCTCCCAAAGGCTTAAGTTTGTTTTGTTTCACTCCATACTTCAGATGTCTCTCGACCAACAGATATCAGTACAAACCGGTTCGAGCGTGATACAACGAGTTGCAACTGATTATAACGGCTTAGCTCAGCTGACTAGAGTCTCCGCTAAATGACCATGTCAACAATGGTGAAATCTATAACTCACTTCCCGTCGTTCTGTCAACTTCCGGTCCGGTGTTTGCATTGGGCGTGGCTCCTTGCTGTACCACCCAATCAACATCAAAGGCCATAGCAGGCTGCGTCCACCCACAGAATGTGCCCTCGAAGGCACAATTGAAATCGACACCTACATTGAAACAAAAAAGCGTCAAGAAATGAATCGAACATAATGTCCACGAATTTTGTCACAACGACATCACACATTATGTGATACTACATTACAGGGCGAGTCAAAAAGAAAGTGGCCTCGATTAATCGATTTGCGTCTTAAAAAAGCATGTTTCTTACTCATCTGGAAAAACAAATATTGGAAACATATGCCTGCTACCAGGAATTACATTTTTTTTTGTACAAAAATAACCTATGTTTATAGCTGTACATGGAATGGTATTTGGAAGCTATTCCGCTGAGTGAGAATTACAGATGACACACAGGCATTCAATTACAAATTCAGTGGTAAATAAGTGGCCGTTCTTGCTCGCGCACGAAGCCCATTGTACTCTTACGGCCATTTTGGCATTTGCATATGATTTTAGGCTGGAATGTGCAGCATATCATTTGACAGACGCGCTGTTGATGCTGTTGCTGCGGTTGTTGTTGCTGCTGCTGCTGCTGTTGCTGTTGCTGTTGTTATTGTTGTTGTTGTGTGCAGCGGGCGGGGCCGGTGGATCAGTCTATAAGTTCCTTGCTCTTGGAACTTGATTGGAATAATATAATCAGGAGGGTTTATAATGTTTGTCACCTGTTGAGTCAATAGCAGAGGTTTGGTCGATCGGCTGTGATTCTGTTGAACCAACAAGTTCAGTTGTCGAGCCTGTAGTGGACTGTACGTCAATCTGTCGTGTGGTGGTTGCTTCTTTGGTCGTGACAATCGACGAATCCGTCGTGGAAATTTCGGCTGGTTAATCAAAAAAGAGTGTAAACCATGATGTTAATTCGGGCGATTCACAATGCAGTGCGCCACCAAGAGTTTACCAGGGAGAGTCCATTTTTTTCACTTGACGGTGGATTAAACATGGCCCATTTGAATGAACGTCAGCAGACAACGAGCTAATAAGACTCCGTACTAATGACGTCACGCTTTGTTTACATGTACACTTTCCAATGGAGCAAGAGGGGGTCCACGGTCCACTGAGCACCAAAGTAAACAAAGTGTGACGTCATTAGTACAGATGCTGATTTATAGATTTGGGCATAGCATTCTTCCGCCTTACAGATAAAACACCATATTGATACAAAGAAAAGGGCAAACAAATACTGGAATCATGCGCTCACTAAACTACTGATTAGAAAAAAACCAAAAAAAACAACATCCCACTCTGCGAATGTGTCTACCATCTACCACTCTGCACGGAAAATGCACTCTCCATTGCTAGCTTTTGTTGGCGCACTGCATTGTGAATCGCCCGAATTAAAAGAAAAAAAATCAATTCAAGGAACGTTAAGTTTAGACATTCCAATGACAATCCTGAAAGCAAGCGTGATGGTATCTCAATGTAGGACAGCAGTATTAACACAGCAAAGGTGTGTGGTTACGTAATGCAAGTCACAAGTTGACAACTTGTTTCACATCCTGCAACTGATTAAGATGCTTTTGTTTCATGTCTGAAGTAACTATTATTTCGTCTGACTGGCTCTGTTGTGGAAAACATCAAGCTCAGAAATGTACAACCAACATGTTCGACATTGGTTTTTCCTGTAAAATGTACAACTGTACAATACTTTACATCCAATACGAAGTTGCATAAACCATTAAACCGTATATCGTTTTATCCCACGTTTGCTTCTGGGAAAGAAAGTCGGTAATTTCTGCAACGCATCGGACGGATTAAGAGACAGTTACAGTGATTTGAACGTCAAAAATGGGCTTCAACCCATCAATCACTATGTTAAAGTAAATAAAGTCTGTCACGAGCTGATGTGACCCATCAGCCAGGCATTTGTCTCAAGTTTCTGTTCAGTAGCATGAAACTACTTCTACTCCACCTGGATGGGATGCTAGTCCATCGCAGGTTACTCCCAGCTATACGGTATCCATTTATACGTATGGGTGGAGAGAGGCAAGTTGGGGTGAAGTGGCTTGCCCAAAGACACAACATGTGACCAGCAACTGTATTTGAACCCCTGGTGATCTGATCATGAGTAACGAACCGTAACGACTAGGCCACACGCCCCACAATCAATAATGCTGTGTAAACATGGAAAGCTTACGAGATATGAGTTCCACATCATCGATCGCAACATCTGACTCGATAGACGTTCCTTCAGTCGTTTTGAATGCGATATGGAAGTTGTAGCTAACTTCTGTTAAGTTGACCTCTCTATGGAGCCACATCGGTTCTGTAGATTGTTGCCCGGTAATTATCAAGAGTTCCAAATTGGGATGCGAGAAAACGTCAGCTGGCCGTTGATAGATGCGGAGCGAATCTATAGGAAAATCAATTTGATTGAATAAAACAAAATCGTTGATTAGAAAAAAAAAGACTTAATACGTAAATTTACGTAACACGAGTTCAATATCGGCGATTGCAATGTCGGATTCAATGGTTGAGCCTTGCATACTTTGGAATCTGACAAAGAAGTTGCAGCTAATTTCTGTCCAGTTGATCTTTATCTGGAACATCGGTTCAGTAGTTTGCTGCCCGTAAATATCCAAAAGTGGAGTATATAGCGTGAAATCTGTTGATGCCTGAATTATGTGAAGACCATCCAGAAAAAATCCCTTTCATGTCCCTCAAACTAGGTTTTCGTTTAAATTTATACCAAAAAGATAAAATGTAACACAAAATGCCTGATACTTTTGCGCAAGAGGGCGCTGTAATAAAACATTATTGAGACGCTTGGTGGCAGCAAAACACACCTGTCCTTTTCTCCTGATAACGTCATTTGGAAGATGCGCCTATCACGTAGACAATCGAAATGGACCGGTGTGCTTGCTGCCACCAACGTCTCATATATAACCATCAACGTCAACTAAAGGACACTTTTGCAATCTAGGGATTTGTAAATTTAGGTAATGGTACTAAACTAATTCAATAAGACCTTGGGTTTCATAATGCTGTGACGTCATCAGACCGGAAGTTAGGTGTTATTATCACATACAATTAACATTTATTATAATGTCCTTTCACTTCATGATGAGCATGTATCATTTAGAAACAAAAACAAACATCACATTTTAACCGATGACGTCAGCTACCCTTAAATGTACGTGTTACAAAACTATGTATATTGATATGTTTTATTCCGGAACAGTTTTTTTTTTTTTTCAAATCAAAACAGATGATTGTACTGGAAATATTATAATTTTCTTTTTCTGTTGAGACAAAAAATATCCATAACTTAACTGGGCAATGTCCAAGTAATTGTCCTGCCCCATCACAGTGCGTTTGTATCTCACCAGATTTGTATCTCACCATGATTATGTTCTGTCATTCGGGCGATTCACAATGCAGTGCGCCACCAAGAGTTTGCCATAAAGAGTCAATTTTGTCAAGTTTACGGTCGACAAAACACGGCTCATTCGAATGAGTGTCAGTAGACAACATGAGCTATTTTGTTACAGATTGGGGCATAGCGTTCTGCCGCCTTAACCTTAAAAGAGCCGGGTTATTTTTGATCAATTCTCAGCCAAGATCTCGGCTATCGAGTGACGAAAAATTATGAAACTCGGTACAAAATGTGCAAAAAGTAATTATTCATATGCATGGATGGTAATTCCACTTTGATATTAAAAGATGCAAGACTCCAGGCTAAAAAGTCAGAACAGCTGCGGTCACCAAAAAAAAAAAAAAAATTAAGGCTATCGCGGAAAAAAAAAAAAAAACTTGGGGGGGGGGGGAAGAATGCCGGCCCCGGCCCATTTAGGGTTAAAAAAACCCCACCATATTGATAAAAAGAAAAGAAAATGGCAAACATGTACTCCAATTATACGCTTACTAAACTACTGACAGAAAAAACTAACAATTTCAAATTACCCTAGCTGCGAATTTGTCGACCATCTCCCAAAATGCGCTGGGAAAATGAACTCTCCGTGGCAAACCTTGGTGGCGCACTGCATTGTGAATCACCCGAATTTCAATCTGAAGATTTCATGTATGACGCCCGTTAAACAGAAGGATAGAATTTGCATTACCTATTCCACTTCCGTACATATTGAGCCAGAATGACAGCTTCCCGTTGGAAAAACGAGAATTGAGCTCCGGACTTTTCAAAGTAGCTGTGCCATCTGCCGTGTAACTCCGTCCGTCATAATACACGTACGCTCCCGAGATTGCTATGACAGAGAAGTATAGTTAACGTTTGATATCTACATGGCGAGTAAAACAAAAACGAAACCCAAATGTTGGGACCTTTGTCTTAGTGAAGTTCTGCATGTAGCACTTTCAAAATCTAGGATTGAAAGGTTGATATACCTGTCCAAGTGGAAAATGAAAGGTGTTTCCTCCAAATATATTTGTATTCTTGTCATATTATGTGCCGTGTTGTTTGAAAGGATGAGAGCATGCACAAAATAGGTACAGTTAAAATCCCTTACTGTGGTATTTGTTGTGTGTAGAAGATAACAAAATGACTACCTTTACATAATTGACATTTCCTCAGCAACCCAAAGTGCTATTTTCATGATTTGTTCAGTATTCAAAAGAAACAGCTCTCAGCTTTAATTTGATACCCAAAACAAGAAAAACAAAGGCAACAGTTTTAGGGGTGTACTTCACTGGATCACCCTGTATGTTTAATCCAGTATATATCTGAAAACTATCGGGGCTTAATTATTACTGACTTAATTGGAAATCATTATAATACTAAAACGAACAATCACAAACAATAATGCCACCATTATAGCCGTTAAGACATCCCCTGAAGATATATATTGTCTTCCACCGCTGTGCCCCAGATTCGAATCCCGCCTGGGCCAAGATTTGGTTTGGGTTTTCAGTCCCTGCCTGATTCTCTGAGTTTTCCCTAGTGTGGTCTGTGATTTTCATTCCACCTCTAAAACTGTCATTTCTTCTCATTGTCTTCTCTCTACAGGTTTCTTCAAGCTTGCGAGCTACAATCACTAGAATGCTCTTTAGGTATCCTTTGTTTCATTACAAGGAATGATTAATAATAATGATAATAGTACCTAAATAATCGCCGATAATTGGGTATTAAGGAAGACATTCCCACATGTTTTCCAACTTTAATGACCTCTAAGCCAAATTTTACCTCATCCTATAGCTACCCCCACCAATTTCATTGTTTTTCATTAATTGGACAACAAACAATCGATCTAGCCTATTTGCGACATTACAATGTTGCCTCTAAATAGGAGCTGTGGCATTAGGTAGACATTGAAATGTCTCCCTAATTCCACACGTTTCCCAAAGTTTTAACTCCTGACGCTTAAGTGTCTCCCAAAGGCTTAAGTTTGTTTTGTTTCACTCCATACTTCAGATGTCTCTCGACCAACAGATATCAGTACAAACCGGTTCGAGCGTGATACAACGAGTTGCAACTGATTATAACGGCTTAGCTCAGCTGACTAGAGTCTCCGCTAAATGACCATGTCAACAATGGTGAAATCTATAACTCACTTCCCGTAGTTCTGTCAACTTCCGGTCCGGTGTTTGCATTGGGCGTGGCTCCTTGCTGTACCACCCAATCAACATCGAAGGCCATAACGGGCTGCGTCCACCCACAGAGTGTGCCCTCGAAGGCACAATTGAAATCGACACCTAAATTTAAACAAAAAAGCGTCAAGAAATCAATCGAACATAATGTCCACGAATTTTGTCACAACGACATCACACATTATGTGATACTACATTTACAGGGCGAGTCAAAAAGAAAGTGGCCTCGATTAATCGATTTGCGTCTTAAAAAAGCATGTTTCTTACTCATCTGGAAAAACAAATATTGGAAACTGATGCCTGCTACCAGGAATTACATTTTTTTTGGGTACAAAAATAACATATGTTTATTGCTGCACATGGAAGGGTATTTGGAAGCTATTCCGCTGAGTGAGAATTACAGATGACACACAGGCATTCAATTACAAATTCAGTGGTAAATAAGTGGCCGTTCTTGCTCGCGCACGAAGCCCATTGTACTCTTACGGCCATTTTGGCATTTGCATACGATCTTGGGCTGGAATGTGCAGCATATCATTTGACAGACGCGCTGTTGATGCTGTTGCTGCGGTTGTTGTTGCTGCTGCTGCTGCTGTTGCTGTTGCTGTTGTTGTTGTTATTGTTGTTGTTGTTGTGTGCAGCGGGCGGGGCCGGTGGATCAGTCTATAAGTTCCTTGCTCTTGGAACTTGATTGGAATAATATAATTAGGAGGGTTTATAATGTTTGTCACCTGTTGAGTCAATAGCAGAGGTTTGGTCGATCGGCTGTGATTCTGTTGAACCAACAAGTTCAGTTGTCGAGCCTGTAGTGGACTGTACGTCAATCTTTCGTGTGGTTGTTGCTTCTTTGGTCGTGACAATCGACGAATCCGTCGTGAAAATTTCGGCTGGTTAATCAAAAAGAGTGTTAACTATGATGTTAATTCGGGCGATTCACAATGCAGTGCGCCACCAAGAGTTTACCATGGAGAGTCCATTTTTTTCACTTTTTCACTTAAACATGGCCCATTTGAATGAATGTCAGCAGACAACGAGCTAATAAGACTCCGTACTAATGACGTCACGCTTTGTTTACATGTACACTTCCCAATGGAGCAAGAGGGGGTCCACGGTCCACTGAGCACCAAAGTAAACAAAGTGTGACGTCATTAGTACAGATGCTTATTTATAGATTGGGGCATAGCATTCTGCCGCCTTACAGATAAAACACCATATTGATACAAAGAAAAGGGCAAACAAATACTGGAATCATGCGCTCACAAAACTACTGATTAGAAAAAAAAAACAACAAATAAAAACATCCCACTCTGCGAATGTGTCTACCATCTACCACTCTGCACGGAAAATGCACTCTCCATTGCTAACTTTTGTTGGCGCACTGCATTGTGAATCGACCGAAATAAAAGAAAACAAAATCAATTCAAGAAACGTTAAGTTTAGACATTCCAATGACAATCCGGAAAGCAAGCGTGATGGTATCAAAATATAGGACAGCAGTATTAACACAGCAAAGGTGTGTGGTTACGTAATGCAAGTCACAAGTTGACAAATTGTTTCACATCCTGCAACTGATTAAGATGCTTTTGTTTCATGTCTGAAGTAACTCTTATTTCGTCTGACTGGCTCTGTTGTGGAAAACATCAAGCTCAGAAATGTACAACCAACATGTTCGACATTGGTTTTGCCTATAAAATGTACAACTGTACAATACTTTACATCCAATACGAAGTTGCATAAACCATTAAACTGTATATCGTTTGTATCCCAAGTTTGCTTCTGGGAAAGAAAGTCGGTAATTTCTGCAGCGCATCGGACGGATTAAGAGACAGTTACAGTGAGTTGAACTTCAAAAATGGGCTTCAACCCATCAATCACTATGTTAAAGTAAATAAAGTCTGTCACGAGCTAATGTGACCCATCAGCCAGGCATTTGTCTCAAGTTTCTGCTCAGTAGCATGAAACTACTTATTTCTACTCCACCTGGATGGGATGCTAGTCCATCGCAGGTTACTCCCAGCTATGCGGTATCCATTTATACGTATGGGTTGAGAGAGGCAAGTTGGGGTGAAGTGGCTTGCCCAAAGACACAACATGTGACCAGCAACTGTATTTGAACCCCTGGTGATCTGATCATGAGTAACGAACCGTAACGACTAGGCCACACGCCCCACAATCAATAATGCTGTGTAAACATGGAAAGCTTACGAGATATGAGTTCCACATCATCGATCGCAACATCTGACTCGATAGACGTTCCTTCAGTCGTTTTGAATGCGATATGGAAGTTGTAGCTAACTTCTGTTAAGTTGACCTCTCTATGGAGCCACATCGGTTCTGTAGATTGTTGCCCGGTAATTATCAAGAGTTCCAAATTGGGATGCGAGAAAACGTCAACTGGCCGTTGATAGATGCGGAGCGAATCTATAGGAAAATCAATTTGACTTAATAAAACAAAATCTTTGATTAGAAAAAAAAAAGACTTAATACGTAAATTTACGTAACACGAGTATCTGTTCAGTTGATCTTTATCTGGAACATCGGTTCAGTACTTTGCTGCCCGTAAATATCCAAAAGTGGAGTACATAGCGTGAAAGGGGGAAGAATTCCGGCCCCGGCCCATTTAGGGTTAAAAAAAAAAACCACCATATTGATAAAAAAAGAAAAGAAAATGGCAAACATGTACTTCAATTATACACTTACTAAACTACTGACAGAAAAAAACTAACAATGTCAAATTTCCCTAGCTGCGAATTTGTCGACCATCTCCCAAAATGCACTGGGAAAATGAACTCTCCGTGGCAAACCTTGGTGGCGCACTGCATTGTGCATCACCCGAATTTCAATCTGAAGATTTCATGTATGACGCCCGTTAAACATAAGGATAGAATTTGCATTACCTATTCCACTTCCGTACATATTGAGCCAGAATGACAGCTTCCCGTGGGAAAAACGAGAATTTAGCTCCGGACTTTTCAAAGTAGCTGTGCCATCTGCCGTGTAACTCCGTCCGTCATAATACACGTACGCTCCCGAGATTGCTATGACAGAGAAGTATAGTTAACGTTTGATATCTACAGGGCGAGTAAAAACAAAACCGAAACCCAAATGTTGGGACCATTGTTTTAGTTAAGTTCTGCATGTAGCACTTTCAAAATCTAGGATTGAAAGGTTAATATACCTGTTCAAGTGGAAAACAAAAGGTGTTTACACCAAATTCATTGGTACTCTTGTCATATTATGTGCAGTGTTGTTTGTAAGGACAAGAGCATGCACAAAATAGGTACAGTTAAAATCCCTTACTGTGGCATTTTTTGTGTGTACAGGATAACAAAATGACTACCTTTACATCATTGACATTTCCTCAGCAACCCAAAGTGCTATTTTCATGATTTGTTCACTATTCAAAAGAAACAGCTCTCAGCTTTCATTTGATACCAAAATATATATTGTCTTCCACCGCTGGGCCCCAGGTTCGAATCCCGCCTGGGCCAAGATTTGGTTTGGGTTTTCAGTCCCTGCCTGATTCTGTGAGTTGTCCCTAGTGTGGTCTGTGATTTTCATTCCACCTCTAAAACTGTCATTTCTTCTCATTGTCTTCTCTCAACAGGTTTCTTCAAGCTTGCGAGCTACAGTCACTAGAATGCTCTTTAGGTATCCTTTGTTTCATTACAAGGAATGATTAATAATAATGATAATAGTATCTAAATAATTACCGATAATTGGGTATTAAGGAAGACATTCCCACATGTTTTCCAACTTTAATGACCTCTAAGCCAAATTTTACCTCATCCTATAGCTACCCCCACCAATTTCATTGTTTTTCATTAATTGGACAACAAACAATCGATCTAGCCTATTTGTGACATTACAATGTTGCCTCTAAATAGGAGCTGTGGCATTAGGTAGACATTGAAATGTCTCCCTAATTCCACACATTTCCCAAAGGTTTAACTCCTGACGCTTAAGTGTCTCCCAAAGGCTTAAGTTTGTTTTGTTTCACTCCATACTTCAGATGTTTCTCGACCAACAGATATCAGTACAAACCGGTTCGAGCGTGATACATCGAGTTGCAACTTATTATAACGGCTTAGCTCAGCTGACTAGAGTCTCCTTTAAATGACCATGTCAACAATCGTGAAATCTATAACTCACTTCCCGTCGTCCTGTCAACTTCCGGTCCGGTGTTTGCATTGGGCGTGGCTCCTTGCTGTACCACCCAATCAACATCGAAGGCCATAGCAGGCTGCGTCCACCCACAGAATGTGCCCTCGAAGGCACAATTGAAATCGACACCTACATTTAAACAAAAAAGCGTCAAGAAATCAATCGAACATAATGTCCACGAATTTTGTCACAACGACACCACACATTATGTGATACTACATTTACAGGGCGAGTCAAAAAGAAAGTGGCCTCGATTAATCGATTTGCGTCTTAAAAAAGCATGTTTCTTACTCATTTGGAAAAACAAATATTGGAAACTGATGCCTGCTACCAGGAATTACATTTTGTTTTTATAAAAAATAACCTATGTTTATAGCTGTACATGGAATGGTATTTGGAAGCTATTCAGCTGAGTGAGAATTACAGATGACACACAGGCATTCAATTACAAATTAAGTGGTAAATAAGTGGCCGTTCTTGCTCGCGCACGAAGCCCATTGTACTCTTACGGCCATTTTGGCATTTGCATATGATCTTGGGCTGGAATGTGCAGCATATCATTTGACCGACGCGCTGTTGATGCTGTTGCTGCGGTTGTTGTTGCTGCTGCTGCTGCTGTTGCTGTTGCTGTTGCTGTTGTTATTGTTGTTGTTGTTGTTGTGTGCAGCGGGCGGGGCCGGTGGATCAGTCTATAGGTTCCTTGCTCTTGGAACTTGATTGGAATAATATAATCAGGAGGGTTTATAGTGTTTGTCACCTGTTGAGTCAATAGCAGAGGTTTGGTCGATCGGCTGTGATTCTGTTGAACCAACAAGTTCAGTTGTCGAGCCTGTAGTGGACTGTACGTCGATCTGTCGTGTGGTGGTTGCTTCTTTGGTCGTGACAATCGACGAATCCGTTGTGGAAATTTCGGCTGGTTAATCAAAAAAGAGTGTAAACTATGACGTTAATTCGGGCGATTCACAATGCAGTGCGCCACCAAGAGTTTACCATGGAGAGTCCATTTTTTTTCACTTGACGGTGGATTAAACATGGCCCATTTGAATGAATGTCAGCAGACAACGAGCTAATAAGACTCCGTACTAATGACGTCACGCTTTGTTTACATGTACACTTTCCAATGGAGCATGTGGGGTCCACGGTCCACTGAGCACCAAAGTAAACAAAGTGTGACGTCATTAGTACAGATGCTTATTTATAGATTGGGGCATAGCATTCTGCTGCCTTACAGATAAAACACCATATTGATACAAAGAAAAGGGCAAACAAATACTGGAATCATGCGCTCACAAAACTACTGATTAGAAAAAAAACCAAGAAATAAAAACATCCCACTCTGCGAATGTGTCTACCATCTACCACTCTGCACGGAAAATGTACTCTCCATTGCTAACTTTGTTGGCGCACTGCATTGTGAATAGCCCGAATTAAAAGAAAAAAAAATCATTTCAAGAAAAGTTAAATCAAATTAGGTTTTGCCCTTCACCGACGTTTGAACACTGAATACTCAGTGTGTAACCCCCGAGTGAAAGTTGGAAAAAATCACTCGGGTGGGACTCGAACCCACGACCTCCTGCTTTCTAGTGCAGATGTCTTACCACTCGACCACCGAGCTAACGGGATCGGCTGGCTGGTTCGAATCTGATGTACATAGCAGCGGGTACCGCATAAACTATTATAAGATGGAATGTTTGCGTCGGGGTGATATAAATCAAATTAGGTTTTGCCCTTCACCGACGTTTGAACACTGTATACTCAGTGTGTTACCTCCCGAGTGAAAGTTGGAAAAAATCACTCTTATAATAGTTTATGCGGTACCCGCTGCTATGCACATCAGATTCGACCCAGCCAGCCGATCCCGTTAGCTCGGTGGTCGAGTGGTAAGACATCTGCACTAGAAAGCAGGAGGTCGTGGGTTCGAGTCCCACCCGAGTGATTTTTTCCACTTTTCACTCGGGAGGTAACACACTGAGTATACAGTGTTCAAACGTCGGTGAAGGGCAAAACCTAATTTGATTTATATCACCCCGACGCAAACATTCCATCTTATAAGAAAAGTTAAGTTTAGACATTCCAATGACAATCCTGCAAGCAAGCGTGATGGTATCACAATATAGGACAGCAGTATTAACACAGCAAAGGTGGGTGGTTACGTAATGCAAGTCACAAGTTGACAACTTGTTTCACATCCTGCAACTGATTAAGATGCTTTTGTTTCATGTCTGAAGTAACTATAATTTCGTCTGACTGGCTCTGTTGTGGAAAACATCAAGCTCAGAAATGTACAACCAACATGTTCGACATTGGTTTTTCCTGTAAAATGTACAACTGTACAATACTTTACATCCAATAAGAAGTTGCATAAACCATTAAACCGTATATCGTTTTTATCCCAAGTTTGCTTCTGGAAAGAAAGTTGGTTATTTCTGCAACGCATCGGATGGATTAAGAGACAGTAACAGTGATTTGAACTTCAAAAATGGGCTTCAACCCATCAATCACTATGTTAAAGTAAATAAAGTCTGTCACGAGCTAATGTGACCCATCAGCCAGGCATTTGTCTCAAGTTTCTGCTCAGTAGCATGAAACTACTTATTTCTACTCCACCTGGATGGGATGCTAGTCCATCGCAGGTTACTCCCAGCTATGCGCTATCCATTACACGTATGGGTGGAGAGAGGCAAGTTGGGGTGAAGTGGCTTGCCCAAAGACACAACATGTGACCAGCAACTGTATTTGAACCCCTGGTGCTCTGATCATGAGTCACGAACCGTAACGACTAGGCCACACGCCCCACAATCAATAATGCTGTGTAAACATGGAAAGCTTACGAGATATGAGTTCCACATCATCGATCGCAACATCTGACTCGATAGACGTTCCTTCAGTCGTTTTGAATGCGATATGGAAGTTGTAGCTAACTTCTGTTAAGTTGACCTCTCTATGGAGCCACATCGGTTCTGTAGATTGTTGCCCGGTAATTATCAAGAGTTCCAAATTGGGATGCGCGAAAACGTCAACTGGCCGTTGATAGATGCGGAGCGAATCTATAGGAAAATCAATTTGATTTAATAAAACAAAATCTTTGATTAGAAAAAAAAGACTTAATACGTAAATTTACGTAACACGAGTTCAATATCGGCGATTGCAATGTCGGATTCAATGGTTGAGCCTTGCATACTTTGGAATCTGACAAAAAAGTTGCAGCTAATTTCTGTTCAGTTGATTTTTATCTGGAACATCGGTTCAGTAGTTTGCTGCCCGTAAATATCCAAAAAGTGGAGTACATAGCGTGAATGGGGGAAGAATTCCGGCCCCGGCCCATTTAGGGTTAAACAAAACCCCACCATATTGATAAAAAGAAAAGAAAATGGCAAACATGTACTCCAATTATACGCTTACTAAACTACTGACAGAAAAAAACTAACAATTTCAAATTTCCCTAGCTGCGAATTTGTCGACCATCTCCCAAAATGCACTGGGAAAATGAACTCTCCATGGCAAACCTTGGTGGCGCACTGCATTGTGAATCACCCGAATTTCAATCTGAAGATTTCATGTATGACGCCCGTTAAACATAAGAATAGAATTTGAATTACCTATTCCACTTCCGTACATATTGAGCCAGAATGACAGCTTCCCGTTGGAAAAACGAGAATTTAGCTCCGGACTTTTCAAAGTAGCTGTGCCATCTGCCGTGTAACTCCGTCCGTCATAATACACGTACGCTCCCGAGATTGCTATGACAAAGAAGTATAGTTAACGTTTGATATCTACAGGGCGAGTTAAAACAAAAACGAAACCCAAATGTTGGGACCATAGTTTTAGTGAAGTTCTGCATGTAGCACTTTCAAAATCTAGGATTGAAAAGTTGATATACCTGTTCAAGTGGAAAATAAAAGGTGTTTACACCAAATTCATTGGTACTCTTGTCATATTATGTGCCGTGTTGTTTGTAAGGATGAGAGCATGCACAAAATAGGTACAGTTAAAATCCGTTACTGTGGTATTTTGTGTGTGTAGAAGATAACAAAATGACTACCTTTACATCATTGACATTTCCTCAGCAAACCAAAGTGCTATTTTCATGATTTGTTCAGTATTCAAAAGAAACAGCTCTCAGCTTTAAAGGGGATGTACATCATTGGCTTTTGCTGTAATTTTCAGAAATGAACTATTTGAGGGGTTAGTATAATAGATCAAATATTGTTACACTGACATTTTTGAAGTTTTGTGTTCGAAAAGGTTGGAAACACAAAAAAACCCAAAAATGTTCAAGTAGTCTGGTTCCCTGACTCCACAAAAGATAAAATGGATCAATTTATAGATGATGGAAAATTGTAAGGCAAGGGAACCAGTCTAGCTGGCCTGCACCCGTTCATGAACATGTAACCGATAGCAAACAAAATTTGGACTGAAAAAATGGTAAATTTGGAGCAGTGGTTGAAAAATAAATAGGTTTTTCCAACGCTGGTCGTCCGACCACTGTTGGAAATGTATACAAAAATACCATTTTCTTGAAAATGACTTCACACCAGGTGCCATAATTTTACAAGATGCTTGAGACTGTCATTAACCAACATCCTAGCAAGGTATTTCGTAAAAACTTGGTGGTTTTATTTTTTGATGTTTGCAAATGTTGTATATTCCCTTTAATTTGATAACCAAAACAAGAAAAACAAAGGCAAAAGTTCTAGGGGTGTACTTTACTGGATCACCCTGTATGTTTAATCCAGTATATATCTGAAAACTATCGGGGCTTAATTATTACTGACTTAATTGGAAATCATTATAATACTAAAACGAACAATCACAAACAATAATGCCACCATTGTAGCCGTTAAGACATCCCCTGAAGATATATATTGTCGTCCACCGCTGTGCCCCAGGTTCGAATCCCGCCTGGGCCAAGATTTGGTTTGGGTTTTCAGTCCCTGACTGATTCTCTGAGTTTTCCCTAGTGTGGTCTGTGATTTTCATTCCACCTCTAAAACTGTCATTTCTTCTCATTGTCTTCTCTCTACAGGTTTCTTCAAGCTTGCGAGCTACAGTCACTATAATGCTCTTTAGGTATCCTTTTTTCATTACAAGGAATGATTAATAATAATGATCATAGTACCTAAATAATTACCGATAATTGGGTATTAAGGAAGACATTCCCACATGTTTTCCAACTTTAATGACCTCTAAGCCAAATTTTACCTCATCCTATAGCTACCCCCACCAATTTCATTGTTTTTCATTAATTGGACAACAAACAATCGATATATTTGTGACATTACAATGTTGCCTCTAAATAGTAGCTGTGGCATTAGGTAGAAATTGAAATGTCTCCCTAATTCCACACGATTCCCAAAGGTTTAACTCCTGATGCTAAAGTGTCTCCCAAAGTCTTAAGTTTGTTTTGTTTCACTCCATACTTCAGATGTCTCTCGACCAACAGATATCAGTACAAACCGGTTCGAGCGTGATACAACGAGTTGCAACAGATTATAACGGCTTAGCTCAGCTGACTAGAGTCTCCGCTAAATGACCATGTCAACAATGGTGAAATCTATAACTCACTTCCCGTCGTTCTGTCAACTTCCGGTCCGGTGTTTGCATTGGGCGTGGCTCCTTGCTGTACCACCCAATCAACATCGAAGGCCATAGCAGGCTGCGTCCACCCACAGAGTGTGCCCTCGAAGGCACAATTGAAATCTACACCTACATTTAAACAAAAAAAGCGTCAAGAAATCAATCGAACATAATGTCCACGAATTTTGTCACAACGACATCACACATTATGTGATACTACATTTACAGGGCGAGTCAAAAAGAAAGTGGCCTCGATTAATCGATTTGCGTCTTAAAAAAGCATGTTTCTTACTCATCTGGAAAAACAAATATTGGAAACTGATGCCTGCTACCAGGAATTACATTTTTTGTACAAAAATAACCTATGTTTATAGCTGTACATGGAATGGTATTTGGAAGCTATTCCGCTGAGTGAGAATTACAGATGACACACAGGCATTCAATTACAAATTCAGTGGTAAATAAGTGGCCGTTCTTGCTCGCGCACGAAGCCCATTGTACTCTTGCGGCCATTTTGGCATTTGCATATGATCTTGGGCTGGAATGTGCAGCATATCATTTGACAGACGCGCTGTTGATGTTGTTGCTGCGGTTGTTGTTGCTGCTGCTGTTGTTATTGTTGTTGTTGTTGTTGTTGTTGTGTGCAGCGGGCGGGGCCGGTGGATCAGTCTATAGGTTCCTTGCTCTTGGAACTTGATTGGAATAATATAATCAGGAGGGTTTATAATGTTTGTCACCTGTTGAGTCAATAGCAGAGGTTTGGTCGATCGGCTGTGATTCTGTTGAACCAACAAGTTCAGTTGTCGAGCCTGTAGTGGACTGTACGTCAATCTGTCGTGTGCTGGTTGCTTCTTTGGTTGTGACAATCGACGAATCCGTCGTGGAAATTTCGGCTGGTTAATCAAAAAAGAGTGTAAACTATGATGTTAATTCAGGCGATTCACAATGCAGTGCGCCACCAAGAGTTTACCATGCAGAGTCTATTTTTTTCACTTGACGGTGGATTAAACATGGCCCATTTGAATGAATGTCAGCAGACAACGAGCTAATAAGACTCCGTACTAATGACGTCACGCTTTGTTTACATGTACACTTTCCAATGGAGCAAGAGGGGGTCCACGGTCCACTGAGCACCAAAGTAAACAAAGTGTGACGTCATTAGTACAGATGCTTATTTATAGATTGGGGCATAGCATTCTGCCGCCTTACAGATAAAACACCATATTGATACAAAGAAAAGGGCAAACAAATACTGGAATCATGCGCTCACAAAACTACTGATTAGAAAAAAAAACCAACAAATAAAAACATCCCACTCTGCGAATGTGTCTACCATCTACCACTCTGCACGGAAAATGCACTCTCCATTGCTAACTTTTGTTGGCGCACTGCATTGTGAATCGCCCGAATAAAAGGAAAACAAATCAATTCAAGAAACGTCAAGTTTAGACATTCCAATGACAATCCTGAAAGCAAGCGTGATGGTATCAAAATATAGGACAGCAGTATTAACACAGCAAAGGTGTGTGGTTACTTAATGCAAGTCACAAGTTGACAACTTGTTTCACATCCTGCAACTGATTAAGATGCTTTTGTTTCATGTCTGAAGTAACTATAATTTCGTCTGACTGGCTCTGTTGTGGAAAACATCAAGCTCAGAAATGTACAACCAACATGTTCGACATTGGTTTTTCCTGTAAAATGTACAACTGTACAATACTTTACATCCAATACGAAGTTGCATAAACCATTAAACCGTATATCGTTTTTATCCCAAGTTTTGTTCTTGGAAAGAAAGTCGGTAATTTCTGCAACGCATCGGACGGATTAAGAGACAGTTACAGTGATTTGAACTTCAATAATGGGCTTCAACCCATTAATCACTATGTAAAAGTAAATAAAGTCTGTCACGAGCTATTGTAACCCATCAGCCAGGCATTTGTCTCAAGTTTCTGCTCAGTAGCATGAAACTACTTATTTCTACTCCACCTGGATGGGATGCTAGTCCATCGCAGGTTACTCCCAGCTATGCGGTATCCATTTATACGTATGGGTGGAGAGAGGCAAGTTGGGGTGAAGTGGCTTGCCCAAAGACACAACATGTGACCAGCAACTGTATTTGAACCCCTGGTGCTCTGATCATGAGTCACGAACCGTAACGACTAGGCCACACGCCCCACAATCAATAATGCTGTGTAAACATGGAAAGCTTACGAGATATGAGTTCCACATCATCGATCGCAACATCTGACTCGATAGACGTTCCTTCAGTCGTTTTGAATGCGATATGGAAGTTGTAGCTAACTTCTGTTAAGTTGACCTCTCTATGGAGCCACATCGGTTCTGTAGATTGTTGCCCGGTAATTATCAAGAGTTCCAAATTGGGATGCGAGAAAACGTCAGCTGGCCGTTGATAGATGCGGAGCGAATCTATAGGAAAATCAATTTGATTGAATAAAACAAAATCTTTGATTAGAAAAAAAAAGACGTAAAACGTAAATTAACGTAACACGAGTTCAATATCGGCGATTGCAATGTCGGATTCAATGGTTGAGCCTTGCATACTTTGGAATCTGAAGAAGTTGCAGCTAATTTCTGTTTAGTTGATCTTTATCTGGAACATCGGTTCAGTAGTTTGCTGCCCGTAAATATCCAAAAGTGGAGTACATAGCGTGAAATCTGTTGATGCCTGAATTATGTGAAGACCATCCAGAAATAATCCCTTTCATGTCCCTCAAACAAGGTTTTCGTTTAAACTTATACCAAAAAGATAAAATGTAACACAAAATGCCTGATACTTTTGCGCAAGAGGGCGCTGTAATAAAACATTGTTGAGACGCTTGGTGGCAGCAAAACACACCTGTCCTTTTCTCCTGATAACGTTATTTGGAAGATGCGCCTATCACGTAGACAATCGAAATGGACCGGTGCGCTTGCTGCCACCAACGTCTCATATATAACCATCAACGTCAACTAAAGGACACTTTTGCAATCTAGGGATTTGTAAATTTAGGTAATGGTACTCAACTAATTCAATAAGACCTTGGGTTTCATAATGCTGTGACGTCATCAGACCGGAAGTTAGGTGTTATTATCACACACAATTAACATTTATTATAATATGTCTTTTCACTTCATGATGAGCATGTATCATTTAGAAACAAAAACAAACATCACATTTTAACCGATGACGTCATCTACCCTTAAATATACGTATTACAAAACTATGTATATTGATATGTTTTATTCCGGAACATTTTTTTTTTCAAATCAAAACAGATGATTGTACTGGAAATATTATATTTTCTTTTTCTGTCGAGACAAAAACTATCCATAACTTAACTGGGCAATGTCCAAGTAATTGTCCTGCCCCATCACAGTGCGTTTGTATCCCACCAGATTTGTATCTCACCATGATTATGTTCTGTCATTTGGGCGAATCACAATGCAGTGCGCCACCAAGAGTTTGCCATAGAGAGTCAATTTTGTCAAGTTTACGGTCGACAAAACACGGCCCATTCGAATGAGTGTCAGTAGACAACATGAGCTATTTTGTTACAGATTGGGGCATAGCGTTCTGCCGCCTTAACCTTAAAAGGGCCGGGTTATTTTTGACCAATTCTCAGCCAAGATCTCGGCTATCGAGTGACGAAAAATTATGAAACTCGGTACAAACTGTGCAAAATGTAATTATTTATATGCATGAATTGTAATTCCACTTTGTGTACACTACGTACATGGGTGCATTCAGTTTTCACGGCGCGTAGCGCGGCAACCTGAGGTCCGAATTTTATGTTTTTGGTATTAAAATATGCAAGACTCGAGGCTAAAAAAGTTAGAAAAGCTCCGGTCACAAAAAAAAAAATCAAGGCTATCGCGGAAAAAAAAAACCTCGGGGGGGGGGGGGGGAATTCCGGCCCCGGCCCATTTAGGGTTAAAAAAAACCCACCTTATTGAAAAAGGAAAAGAAAATGGCAAACATATACTCCAATTATACGCTTACTAAACTACTGACAGAAAAACAACTATTAATTTCAAATTTCCCTAGCTGCGAATTTGTCTACCATCTCCCAAAATGCACTGGGAAAATGAACTCTCCATGGCAAACCTTGGTGGCGCACTGCATTGTGAATCACCTGAAATTCAATCTGAAGATTTCATGTATGACGCCCGTTAAACATAACGATAGAATTTGCATTACCTATTCCACTTCCGTACATATTGAGCCAGAATGACAGCTTCCCGTTGGAAAAACGAAAATCTAGCTCCGGACTTTTCAAAGTAGCTGTGCCATCTGCCGTGTAACTCCGTCCGTCATAATACACGTACGCTCCCGAGATTGCTATGACAGAGAAGTATAGTTAACGTTTGATATCTACAGGGCGAGTAAAAACAAAACCGAAACCCAAATGTTGGGACCATTGTTTTAGTTAAGTTCTGCATGTAGCACTTTCAAAGTCTAGGATTGAAAGGTTAATATACCTGTTCAAGTGGAAAACAAAAGGTGTTTACACCAAATTCATTGGTACTCTTGTCATATTATGTGCAGTGTTGTTTGTAAGGACAAGAGCATGCACAAAATAGGTACAGTTAAAATCCCTTACTGTGGCATTTTTTGTGTGTACAGGATAACAAAATGACTACCTTTACATCATTGACATTTCCTCAGCAACCCAAAGTGCTATTTTCATGATTTGTTCACTATTCAAAAGAAACAGCTCTCAGCTTTCATTTGATACCAAAACAAGAAAAACAAAGGCAACAGTTTTAGGGGTGTACTTCACTGGATCACCCTGTATGTTTAATCCAGTATATATCTGAAAACTATCGGGGCTTAATTATTACTGACTTAATTGGAAATCATTATAATACTAAAACGAACAATCACAAACAATAATGCCACCATTATAGCCGTTAAGACATCCCCTGAAGATATATATTGTGTTCCACCGCTGTACCCCAGGTTCGTATCCCGCCTTGGCCAAGATTTGGTTTGGGTTTTCAGTCCCTGCCTGATTCTCTGAGTTTTGCCTAATGTAGTCTGTGATTTTCATTCCAACTCTACAACTGTCATTTCTTCTCATTGTATTCTCTCTACAGGTTTCTTCAAGCTTGCGAGCTACAGTCACTAGAATGCTCTTTAGGTATCCTTTGTTTCATTACAAGGAATGATTAATAATAATGATCATAGTACCTAAATAATTACCGATAATTGGGTATTAAGGAAGACATTCCCACATGTTTTCCAACTTTAATGACCTCTAAGCCAAATTTTACCTCATCCTATAGCTACCCCCACCAATTTCATTGTGTTTCATTAATTGGACAACAAACAATCGATCTAGCCTATTTGTGACATTACAATGTTGCCTCTAAATAGGAGCTGTGGCATTAGGTAGACATTGAAATGTCTCCCTAATTCCACACGTTTCCCAAAGGTTTAACTCCTGACGCTTAAGTGTCTCCCAAAGGCTTAAGTTTGTTTTGTTTCACTCCATACTTCAGATGTTTCTCGACCAACAGATATCAGTACAAACCGGTTCGAGCGTGATACAACGGGTTGCAACTGATTGTAACGGCTTAGCTCAGTTGACTAGAGTCTCCGCTAAATGACCATGTCAACAATGGTGAAATCTATAACTCACTTCCCGTCGTTCTGTCAACTTCCGGTCCGGTGTTTGCATTTGGCGTGGCTCCTTGCTGTACCACCCAATCAACTTCGAAGGCCATAGCAGGCTGCGTCCACCCACAGAGTGTGCCCTCGAAGGCACAATTGAAATCGACACCTACATTGAAACAAAAAAGCGTCAAGAAATCAATCGAACATAATGTCCACGAATTTTGTCACAACGACATCACACATTATGTGATACTATATTTACAGGGCGAGTCAAAAAGAAAGTGGCCTCGATTAATCGATATGCGTCTTAAAGCATGTTTCTTACTCATCTGGAAAAACAAATATTGGAAACTGATGCCTGCTACCAGGAAGTACATTTTTTTTGTACAAAACTAACGTATGTTTATAGCTGTACATGGAATGGTATTTGGAAGCTATTCAGCTGAGTGAGAATTACAGATGACACACAGGCATTCAATTACAAATTCAGTGGTAAATAAGTGGCCGTTCTTGCTCGCGCACGAAGCCCATTGTACTCTTACGGCCATTTTGGCATTTGCATATGATCTTGGGCTGGAATGTGCAGCATATCATTTGACAGACGCGCTGTTGATGCTGTTGCTGCGGTTGTTGTTGCTGCTGCTGTTATTGTTGCTGTTGTTGTTGTTGTTGTTATTGTTGTTGTTGTTGTGTGCAGCGGGCGGGGCCGGTGGATCAGTCTATAAGTTCCTTGCTCTTGGAACTTGATTGGAATAATACAATCAGGAGGGTTTATAATGTTTGTCACCTGTTGAGTCAATAGCAGAGGTTTGGTCGATCGGCTGTGATTCTGTTGAACCAACAAGTTCAGTTGTCGAGCCTGTAGTGGACTGTACGTCAATCTGTCGTGTGGTGGTTGCTTCTTTGGTCGTGACAATCGACGAATCCGTCGTGGAAATTTCGGCTGGTTAATCAAAAAAGAGTGTAAACTATGATGTTAATTCGGGCGATTCACAATGCAGTGCGCCACCAAGAGTTTGCCATGGAGAGTCCATTTTTTTCACCTGACGGTGGATTAAACATGGCCCATTTGAATGAATGTCAGCAGACAACGAGCTAATAAGACTCCGTACTAATGACGTCACGCTTTGTTTACATGTACACTTTCCAATTGAGCAAGAGGGGGTCCACGGTCCACTGAGCACCAAAGTAACAAAGTGTGACGTCATTAGTACAGATGCTTATTTATAGATTAGGGCATAGCATTCTGCCGCCTTACAGATAAAACACCATATTGATACAAAGAAAAGGGCAAACAAATACTGGAATCATGTGCTCACAAAACTACTGATTAAAAAAAAAACCAACAAATAAAAACATCTCACTCTGCGAATGTGTCTACCATCTACCACTCTGCACGGAAAATGTACTCTCCATTGCTAATTTTTGTTGGCGCACTGCATTGTGAATCGCCCGAATTAAAAGAAAAGAAAATCAATTCAAGAAACGTTTAGACATTCCAATGACAATCCTGAAAGCAAGCGGGATGGTATCAAAATATAGGACAGCAGTTTTAACACAGCAAAGGTGTGTGGTTACGTAATGCAAGTCACAAGTTGACAACTTGTTTCACATCCTGCAACTGATGAAGATGCTTTTGTTTCCTGTCTGAAGTAACTATAACTTCGTCTGACTGGCTCTGTTGTGGAAAACATCAAGCTCAGAAATGTACAACCAACATGTTCGACATTGGTTTTTTCTGTCAAATGTACAACTGTACAATACTTTACATCCAATACGAAGTTGCATAAACCATTAAACCGTATATTGTTTTTATCCCAAGTTTGCTTCTGGGAAAGAAAGTCGGTAATTTCTGCAACGCATCGGACGGATTAAGAGACAGTTACAGTGATTTGAACTTCAGAAATGGGCTTCAACTTATCAATCACTATGTTAAAGTAAATAAAGTCTGTCACGAGCTAATGTGGCCCATCAGCCAGGCATTTCTCTTAATTTTCTGCTCAGTAGCATGAAACTACTTATTTCTACTCCACCTGGATGGGATGCTAGTCCATCGCAGGTTACTCCCAGCTATGCGGTATCCATTTATACGTATGGGTGGAGAGAGGCAAGTTGGGGTGAAGTGGCTTGCCCAAAGACACAACATGAGACCAGCAACTGTATTTGAACCCCTGGTGATCTGATCATGAGTCACGAACCGTATCGACTAGGCCTCACGCCCCACAATCAATAATGCTGTGTAAACATGGAAAGCTTACGAGATATGAGTTCCACATCATCGATCGCAACATCTGACTCGATAGACGTTCCTTCAGTCGTTTTGAATGCGATATGGAAGTTGTAGCTAACTTCTGTTAAGTTGACCTCTCTATGGAGCCACATCGGTTCTGTAGATTGTTGCCCGGTAATTATCAAGAGTTCCAAATTGGGATGCGAGAAAACGTCAGCTGGCCGTTGATAGATGCGGAGCGAATCTATAGGAAAATCAAATTGATTTAATAAAACAAAATCTTTGATTAGAAAAAAAAAGACTTAATACGTAAATTTACGTAACACGAGTTCAATATCGGCGATTGCAATGTCGGATTCAATGGTTGAGCCTTGCATACTTTGGAATCTGACGAAGAAGTTGCAGCTAGTATCTGTTCAGTTGATCTTTATCTGGAACATAGGTTCAGTAGTTTGCTGCCCGTAAATATCCAAAAGTGGAGTACATAGCGTGAAAGGGGGAAGAATTCCGGCCCCGGCCCATTTAGGGTTAAAAAAACCCCACCATATTGATAAAAAGAAAAGAAAATGGCAAACATGTACTCCAATTATACGCTTACTAAACTACTGACAGAAAAAACTAACAATTTCAAATTTCCCCAGCTGCGAATTTGTCGACCATCTCCCAAAATGCACTGGGAAAATGAACTCTCCATGGCAAACCTTGGTGGCGCACTGCATTGTGAATCACTCGAATTTCAATCTGAAGATTTCATGTATGACGCCCGTTAAACATAAGGATAGAATTTGCATTACCTATTCCACTTCCGTACATATTGAGCCAGAATGACAGCTTCCCGTTGGAAAAACGAGAATCTAGCTCCGGACTTTTCAAAGTAGCTGTGCCATCTGCCGTGTAACTCCGTCCGTCATAATACACGTACGCTCCCGAGATTGCTATGACAGAGAAGTATAGTTAACGTTTGATATCTACAGGGCGAGTAAAAACAAAAACGAAACCCAAATGTTGGACCATAGTTTTAGTGAAGTTCTGCATGTAGCACTTTCAAAATCTAGGATTGAAAGGTTGATATACCTGTTCAAGTGGAAAATAAAAGGTGATTACACCAAATTCATTTGTACTCTTGTCATATTATGTGCCGTGTTGTTTGTAAGGATGAGAGCATGCACAAAATAGGTACAGTTAAAATCCGTTACTGTGGTATTTTTTGTGTTTACATGATAACAAAATGACTACCTTGACATAATTGACATTTCCTCAGCAACCCAAAGTGCTATTTTCATGATTTGTTCAGTATTTAAAAGAAACGGCTCTCCGCCTTAATTTGATACCAAAGAAATAAAAAAAAAACAGTTTTTTTTTTTTTTTTTTTAAGGCAAACGTTTTAGGGTTGTATTTCACTGGATCACCCTGTATGTTTAATCCAGTATATATCTGAAAACTATCGGGGCAAAATTATTACTGACTGAATTGGAAACCATTACAATACTAAAACGAACAATTACAGACAATTGTGCCACCATAGCCGTTAAAACATCCCCTGAAGATATATATTGTCCTCCACCGCTGTGCCCCAGGTTCGAATCCCGCCTGGGCCAAGATTTGGTTTGGGTTTTCAGTCCCTGCCTGATTCTGTGAGTTGTCCCTAGTGTGGTCTGTGATTTTCATGCCACCTCTAAAACTGTCATTTCTTCTCATTGTCTTCTCTCTACAGGTTTCTTCAAGCCTGCGAGCTACAGTCACTAGAATGCTTTTAAGGTATCCTTTGTTTCATTACAAGGAATGATTAATAATAATGATAATAGTACCTCAATAATTACCGATAATTGGGTATTAAGGAAGACATTCCCACATGTTTTCCAACTTTAATGACCTCTAAGCCAAATTTTACCTCATCCTATAGCTACCCCCACCAATTTCATTGTTTTTCATTAAGTGGACAACAAACAATCGATCTAGCCTGTTTGTGACATTACAATGTTGCCTCTAAATAGTAGCTGTGGCATTAGGTAGACATTGAAATGTCTCCCTAATTCCACACGTTTCCCAAAGTTTTAACTCCTGACGCTTAAGTGTCTCCCAAAGGCTTAAGTTTGTTTTGTTTCACTCAATACTTCAGATGTCTCTCGACCAACAGATATCAGTACAAACCGGTTCGAGCGTGATACAACGGGTTGCAACTGGTTATAACGGCTTAGCTCAGCTGACTAGAGTCTCCGCTAAATGAGCATGTCAACAATGGTGAAATCTATAACTCACTTCCCGTCGTTCTGTCAACTTCCGGTCCGGTGTTTGCATTGGGCGTGGCTCCTTGCTGTACCACCCATTCAACATCGAAGGCCATAGGAGGCTGCGTCCACCCACAGAGTGTGCCCTCGAAGGCACAATCGAAATCACCTACATTTAAACAAAAAAGCGTCAAGAAATCAATCGAACATAATGTCCACGAATTTTGTCACAACGACATCACATATTATGTGATACTACATTTACAGGGCGAGTCAGAAAGAAAGTGGCCTCGATTAATCTCAAAAGATTTGCAATAGCATGTTTCTTACTCATCGGAATAAACAAATATCGGAAACTGATGCCTGCTACCAGGAACTACATTTTTTTTTCACAAAACAAATTACCTATTTTTATAGATGGTATTTGGAAGCTATTCAGCTGAGTAAGAATTACAGATGACACACAGGCATTCAATTACAAATGAGATTCAGCTTTAATAAGTGGCCGTTCTTGCTCGCGCACGAAGCCCATTTAATTGAAATCTTACGGCCATTTGGGCATCAATAATCGTCTTTGGAATCACTAGTCTCTGTGAGGTTTACTCAGGTTCACTGTGAGGGTTACCTTGTTCACTGAGGGTTACCTAGGTCTGCCGTGAGGGTTACCTGAGTTCACTTTCAGGCCTATTGTCGCTACTTGTATTGCTCTAATTCCATTCAATTAACTACTAAATCACAAAACGGTGGAATATTTCCACCAAACGAACAGCCCATAGGCTTAGTCCACCGTTCGTAAATTGCCCCCCCTTTCGTATGGGTAGCCGCTCACCTATTCGTTAGGCTAATACATATTTTTGTGGGATATTAGGTGTAGATTGGATTCTGGGATAAATAAGACCAGTCCCCTCGGGTTCTCGCCAACACCCGCTTGTTCCGCCACAAGTGGTGTCAGGATTGGTTTTGCCACAGTACGTAACGTGATTAATTTAAAGTGTGAAATTCTATTGCGTTGCATGAACTGACAAGCTCAGTTCAGCTCAGTTCACATTTATTTCCATTCTGCACAGCACAATTGAATATACAAGGAATAACAATAAAATTACAAGCAACTACACAATTGTGGCACATACACGGAGGCATATTCTGTAAGCAGAAGCTTGTATAGAGATGCTTTTAAATAATAACTAAATAAAGAAATACTGTGAAATGATGAGACATATAAATCAGACAGACAGACAAGCACACATACGCACACACACAACAGGCAAACAGATACAGGAACACCAAATTGACGAATTGGAGACAAACCAAACTGATTACATGGACATGACATTAAACATATACAAACACTGTACATATTGCTGACGAAATTAAACAAAGATTAATATAGTAAACTAAAATGAAAAAAGAAAGAAAGAATTTTAGAACTGGCCATCAATCTAAGGTTCAGTAGAGAAAAAGAAGAAAGAAAAATCCAGAAGCTAAGTTACATAGAGGGAGATGAGGACGTTCTTATAGGAGGACTGGAATCCGCCAAAGGACGATTGAGTCTTTATAGTACCATCAATAGAGTTCCAGGGGCGAGGACCGTAGAATCTCAGCGTGTGAATGGAATATGACGTGCGGGTGAATGGTAAGAATAGATTGTTTCGGGATCGAGTGTGATGGGAGTGTGTGTCGTGTACAGGAGTGAAGTAGGAGGAAAAAGTTGGAGGGAGAAGATTATTTTACAAGCTGGTTTTGTTTTCATAATTGAGGGGTTACGGTGGTAATTGTTGGACGCTACTACATGTTAAAACAAAATATACACGGTAATAATCCTCAGCTACCTTGTTTTGAAATCGATCACCTGTTTCATTAGTTTGCATTGTCATTATATCACAGTTTGTTACCTTCGCAAAGGATCACCGTCGTCAGGGTAGAAACCACCACGGCCACACTTAACCAGTGCATCATCCTGACAGAAAGTGAAGAAAAAAAAACGAAACAAAGCAAAACCCGTTTGTCCATAAATTCACTTCAAACAAATTATGGAACTGGGTAGCTGCATCATCACACCCGTAGGAATGGGCGCTTATGGTTATGTTTGGCTTAATTGACCAGATTGTGAAGGAGATCGTATGACGTCACTAAAACATGAATTATACCGATTGCGACTGTCGATTGCGACTGGAGAAGATTGCGACTGGAGAAGAATTTGATGAGGAGAATAATAACAACAAAAACAGTAGTAAATTCAAAGAATAACAATAGGTGTTGGGCTATGAGCCCAACACCTAAAACTAAAAAGAAAATCCATAAAAAAGAAATAAGTTATGAAATTAGACAATCCCGGGAATGTCATTAAATCAGAAATATCAAATGATTAAGGAAACACATTTGTGTCTTAGTGTAAAAGGAGTCTGAAACACGTGGGAAAATCGGCTGCAAAAACTTCCGTTCTTACCATCATTTCAATTGTTTAATTCTATCACGTGTCAAAAAAAGTCATACATTTGATCCTAAGTAACTCTGTTGTTTATACCCCCTTTACATAGGGTTGCGACCTTTGGGCCTCCCTTGTGCAACCATAAAGCTGTCCAGGTCGCCATTGGAGGCTAAACGGAGGCCGAATGGTTGCCTAGGTCGTTCAAAGGTGGTACACAGGATGTTCAGACATCGCCAATGGACGCCTTGGTCGCCGTAATTTTTTGAACATGTTCAAAGAGGTTGCGCAAAGGTCGCCGAGGAGGTTAGTTGCTCAAAGGGGGCTCAAATGAGGCAGAAGGGAGGCACAAGCATTGCCGTGGTTGCAGAATGGAAGCACAATGGTCGGCCAATGGTCGCAACGTAATAGATCCGTTCTGTTGCAAATTTTACCGTCAATCGGGGCGATGCTCCTGCCTCCTTTGTGCCTCCGTTGTGCCCCCTTCCAAAAAAAAAATGCATTTTAACTCCCCCTTTATGTAAGACGACATGCAATTATCAAATAACGTGTTCGGAAACATTAAACACTATGCTTTGTTTTCGCAACGTTGACCTTTCATTATATACAAGGTGAAAGACGGAAGAGTGTAATTAATAAACGTGGCTGCTCAAAACTCCGCGAAGGTAAAACCCGGTATAACTCATGGCAAAGCATTGTGTATTCTGTCATGTCGGCACGCGCTGCCGCGCGAGGTAGCTTCATATACGGCGGTTGACAGCTACAGCTGTGCAAAACTCAAGCCCGTGCAAAACACAAGCACATGTATAACAAAAATAAGGGGGGGGGGGAATAAAAAAAAAAAATATTGCAACGGCATTCCCACAGTAAACAAACATTCATTTTAATATGTCTTTCATTTTATAGTCCAATTACTGTGATATTTTGATATTTTGATATATTTATGATACTGAAAAGGTTTTAAATATGACAAGAAAGCATACGATACTTGACGAACCTGTGCTGTTCAGGTGGAAAATAAAAGGTATTTCCATCAAATTCATTTGTACTCTTGTCGTATTATATGCCGTGTTGTTAGGACACAATGCGCTACAAGCAGTTCATGCACACTGTGAATCCCTGATAATGCCATTGAAATTGACTAACAAGGAATTCTGTTATACTTCGTTGTCATTTTCTCAGCGACCCAATGTGCTCTTTTCATATTACTTTTTTTTCAGTATTTGAGAGAAATAAAAGTCTCAGCTTTAATCTGATTCAAAGATCACGTTTACAACAAGCCAGGATATCAGGGTTGCATGTTGTCTATTTCTAACAATTTTTGTTCAAACGTGTGGAATACGTCATCCTTAAACAAAATTTAAGCAGGCGTGGATTTGGAAAACAAAAATTATGATGAGCAGAAAAAAAAACCTCACGTAGGCTATTTCCATCAACTCTCCTTGGGATAAAGCCTTTTTTTTTATAGATTTAAAAGCTTAGTTTTGTCTAAAGACATATCACCTATAATTTAATCAAAGATTAAAACAACCTACCTGTTATGGTCCAGCTTAGTGATCGTCCTTTCGGGACTAAGTGCGAACTAACACAGAAGTATATCTCGTTTTAGGTTCGTATTGGAAAACACCAGGCGTATCTGGCAGTATACCACGCCAATACCCTTTCCCCACAACGTAGGCCGCGAATTGAACCGGAGTCCCTAGTTCAACGCCTTTTAAATGGTGTCAAATAGAACGAGTGACTTGCTTAAAATCACCTTATACATCCATACAATATTGTGCTGTCATTCTGTTCAACAAGACAGGTGCAGTATTGTCAGCGGATCCATTAATTGTATTTTCCGAATTTCAACCTAGAAACCGATTGGGTGAAGGACGAAGTGCTCTTCGATCAAAGTTCTTCGAGGTCATGGTACGAGGACGAAAAAACCATTTCGATAAAAACCACCTACCATGACGGTGGTAGGGGGTTGTCAGTATAGGCACCAATCTCTGCATACGATATTCCTCAAGTTACGGCGTAAGACATATCACCTATAATTTAATCCAAGATTAAAACAGCCTAACTGTTATGGTCCAGCTTAGTAATCGTCCTTTCGGGATTAATTGCGAACTAACACACACATATATCTCGTTTAGGTTCGTATTGGTAAACACCAGGCGTATCTGGCAGTATACCACGCCAATACCCTTCCACAACGTAGGCCGCGAATTGAACCACAGTTCCTAGTTCAAACGTCTTTTAAATGGTGTCAAATAGAACGAGTGACTTGCTTAAAATCACCTTATACATCCATACAATCTTGTGCTGTCATTCTGTTCAACAAGACAGGCGCAGTATTGTCAGCGGATCCTTTTATTGTATTTTCCGAATTTCAACCTAGAAACCGATTGGGTGAAGGACGAAGTACTCATCGATCAAAGTTCTTCGAGTTCATGGTACGAGGACGGTGAAACCATTTCGATTAAAACCACCTACCATGACGGTGGTAGGTGGTTGTCAGTATAGGCACCAATCTCTGCATACGAAACCGCTGGTTTGGAACATGAAATTCAATTAACTGTCCCTTTGTCCCACTGTAAAGGTATTAGGTTACATGCCATTGCGCTTTCACAGGCAACTATATTGTTCTCCAAAAATTCAATTCCATTTTGCCGGCAGGCAAAAACCGACACGACCGTCCCAATTGTCTCATTTTATTTTGCACATGCATCAGTTGTCACTTTGACGTTTTTTTTTAACTGTATTTCTCTGAGAAGAATCCTAAAAACAGGGGACTTTGACTGCACACAAGAAGATGGAGAGGCATGGGCGTCGCGATGATTTTTTTCCGGGGGGGGAAAGCAAATTTTCCCCAAAATTCCTTAACTTTGTTCATTATATTCTCAATTTATCATTGTTCCGAGCGTGAGCAGGGGAGCATTTGCCCTACCCCCTCCCCCTACCCCCATCTCTTTTTCCATTTGTTCTTTTTTTTTCAGAATACGTGTGTGCATACCCTTTTCAGACCCGTTCACTTATCCCAGACTTGGGGTTAGGGGTAGTCTTTTAATCCTAAAGTGGAAATTTTTATGTGCGAACGCGAAGCGCGGAGCCCCGAAGGCGTGGGGTCCGGGTCCCGCTTAAGAGCTCCAGGAAATTGTTTCATTCTGGATGCTCAGGCATTTCCTGGCCACTTTTTGAATGAAGTGTGCTCGTGTTTAGGGAGATGGGGTGGGTCATCAAAGTAAATGTATTACTTCACAAACATTACATCAAAACTGTAGCTTGAATCTCGAGATTTGCTCTCTTTAGCTTGATCCATGATTTTGAGTCGTCACTAAGAATCAGCTCAATTCGTAACTGCCTGCGAGCGAGCACGTGCTTGTATTTTGCACAGCTGTAGCTGTCAACCACTGTATATGAAGCGACCTCGCGAGGCAGCTCCTATCGGCATTACAGAATGTACAATTCATCTCTCATGGGGCATTGAGCAGCCGCGTATATTAGTTAAACTCTCGTTGTTCTTCTTCTTCCATCTTCTTTTCTCCTTTCTCCATTCTTCATTTTCTATTTTGCTGACAGCACCATGATTTTGCCGACAATACTGACTAACACCCTACCTGTAGCGACGACCGTACGTGTCATTTGTTAGTGATTAATTTTCAGTTAAGAGCAGATCGTGTGAAGATCGAAATACTCTGAGGTCGCTGCACTACGAGAACAACGAAACCAACGAAAGACGTCTCACTACAGTAATATTTACCATCAATCACCTGTGACGCCGACGTATTGTGTAACCAGAAACAATCTTCTCATCTCTTTGCACAAATCTCTACTTATTAAATTCCCTTTGTCATGCAGCATAAATGGGCCACTGATTCGGAACAGTAGACTGGACTGTTCCCTTGTAACGCGTCCTTGGCATGTATTAAAAGCAGGACGGGGGCAGGCCCGGATTATCCAATAGGCACAGTATAGGCACTGTGCCTATGGCCAAAAAAAAAAAAAAATGGGGGGCCTACGAAAAATTCGGGGGCCTACGAAAATACCGCTGTGTGCCATAAAACACATATTGGCCTACCCAAACACACATCCGCACGCAGAGCAAAGTTTTTAAAAAAATGTAGGGTCTCTCACCAACTGACGCTGTATACAGTGGCCTAGCCAGATATTTTTCAGTGGCAGGGGGGGGGCGCTGGGGGGGGGGGGGCTGGAACATTTCATGGGGGTTCAGCGTCATGTAGATCAATGATAATTTGTTTAAAAACTCAAAATCTCAGTGGGGGCGATTGGGGGGCGACAAGGTTTCAGGGTCGCCCCCCCCCCCCCCCCCCCCCCGGCTACGCCACTGGCTGTATAGGTATACATGTATGTTGACGTGTAAAGTCTGTCGTTCTGAAGTACGGTGCCAACCATGGGCGTCGATCGGTGGGTGATATAGGGAACATGTCGTCCGCCCAACACCTACCATTAAGCGGACCCCAAACTCCACGCCGTTTAGGCTTCGCACTCGCATTAATTCTGATCAAAGAGACGCATGTCCCCACTTTTGAGAAGAGTTGGATGCCCTTGGTGCCAACAGGCTTTAAGAGCTAGGACCTATATCAGATTGGCCTGACTGGATTTGTAGGCTACAGTGATTTGTACTTTGAAGTTGGTGCCGGTGCCTAGGGCGGAGTAAGGCCTACGGAACACTGGTGCCTAGGGCTTACGAAACACTTAATCCGGGCCTGAGTGGGAATGAGGGTGTGACCCAAATATTTTTTACCCCATTTTCATAACCATTTGGATAATAAATCGCCGGGCGTCCTTGGTACAGCCACTTGCACAAGCAGCTCTGTTGATCATCAGATAAAACGACTTTACGCTAGAAGGAATGGTTGTGGAATTAGTCACTACAAACCAACGCCCGACTGTTTGAAAAACCAAAGAAAACAAAACCTTTCGAAATGCGTTCCAGGATTGGAGCTCTTGGGATTCCCAAAATATTCTTTTCATAACAAAGAGGTCAACACAGTATGTATAACAAATTAAGTTGACAATCGTGTTGGTATGTTTATTGGGTTGAATGTTTGGTGTTCGGTTGGTTTTGTTATTAATAGGGCCTATACAAAACAAAACAAAACAAACAAAACTGTAGCAGGACCCGTCCGTTAAGGAGACATTTTTTTCCTTGTGGTTGTTTCAGTTGTCACCTCGACAGTTCTTATACATTATTTGTGTAACAAATCCTTATAAAAAAAAGAGACTTTAAAACCCTTTCAAAAACCATGGGCGACTTTTGTCGACAAGGAACTGCCCCATGTAGCTTACCGTAGCCGATTCGAGTCGACCAGGAAACCACACAAAAAACACCCTCAACTCTTTATTCACCGCTTTCTAGAAAGATGGCATGTTGGTATGCTTGCCCGCCGGTACTTCGGCCATATACAAGCTGAACGAGTGTTCTGGATCGTTCAAATGGTGTAGTTTATTCATGGTATTACCATCGCACAAAAATAAGAGAAATTGCTTCGGAAGTATCCATGCACAACTTAAAGTATGGAGTGCTAGTTGATAACTGGGACCAGATCAACAAACAGGCATGACTTTCTCATTTTTGTACCCATGGCCTTGATTTGTATGTCCCATAAAAGAGTAGTTCAGTGATCAAACTTGATATACACTACCTCTGATTGTAATCTCTCCTTGGCAGTAGAAATCTGGGTTGAACAAAAGTAAGTTTTCCCAAAACAAAGTAGATCGACTAATAATTTCATACTTTAAACATTAAATGAAATATCCAGGATTAAAACAAATCGTGAAAGTCAACATGATAAGTCGTCAACACTTCTACTACTTACCACTTACGGCTTAATGGGTATATTAATTAGGCATAGCCTATGTGACCCCATATCCTATCTTTTCCTCCTTCCAGTGGGAATCCAGTCTTTTCTTGAATGTTGCTACAGTTTTGGCATTCACTACTGCTTGTGGAAGGGAATTTTATATGTTTATCACTCTTCGGGTGAAGAAGTTCTTCCTACAACCAATGCTGTTCTTTAGGGTTGGCTTGAAGAGCTTAAGAGAGTGACCTCTTGTACTTGCTCCATCTGCTAAATACCCCTTAAATAAGGTATTTTTTTCATCTTAAGCATCATTATCATCATCTTGGCCTGTCCCGTCGTAAACGACGATGAGTTCCACGTCTTTCACAAGCGCCAATGTAGGTCTGTGAAGAGACTGAATGCCCTGAGTTGATAGCAGAGCGCCAGGAGGAGCGACCCGGTGCAACAGACTCCCAGGTATCATGCGGAATGTCAAAGGCAGACAAGTCTCGCTTAAGGACGTCCTTGAAGCGCAGCCGCAGCCTAGGGCAACCACGAGGACGTGGGGCATCATCCAGTTCACCGTAGCAGATGTCCTTAGGGAGGCGACCATCATCCATTCTGCGAACATGACCGGTCCATCGAAGGTGACGTACTCTCAGCATGGTGAACATATCAGTCGCTCCAGTGAGAGCAAGGATGGAGGAGTTCGGAACGCGGTCTTTCCAGGTGATGTCAAGTATGGAACGAAGGCAACGGAAGTGAAATGAATTTAAGCGTCGCTCCTGGCGGCTGTATGTGGCCCAAGTCTCGCTTCAGTAAAGTAGGACACTCAGTACGCAAGCTGTGTACACACGGATTGTAAGATTGATGGAGAGGTCCCGGTTGTCCCACACGCGGGAACGAAGCTGACCAAAGGGGTGGTGATCTTAAAAAAAAATAAGAAAAACACATAGTGACCGTTTTAGCCGATTTTTGGCTAACTTTGACAGTTTTTTGTTGTTAACATTTTATCTAATTTTATCAGATAAATACTGTCTGTCTGCAATGTTTTTACAATTCAGATTATACCCTTTTAAATAAATAACCTAGCATATCAGCATGCAGATTTGAATACTTTTTTATAACAATAAGTTTTTTTGTTTTCAAGCTTAATTTCCCTTTTTTAAAGTAGGGATTTTTGCTGGTGGTTTTATACTAAAGGTTTGCACGTTTCTGTGGTAAGCCGTACCTCTAGGGGCGATCAGTTGCGGTCGCCCCTAGAGGTATGAGTGTGTCTGTGGTCATCTCAAGCTCTATTAATACCAGTCATGTTTTGAACTGAAATTACATCTGGTATTTTTTAACAACCTGTTGAATATCAAGAGTAATAACCTTGCCCTTTTCTTCCAAACTGGGCAAAATTTGATTTTTCCAAAGAACTTAACATTGTAAGGGGTTAAACTTGCTCTTTTTTCACCAAAAGTGGGCAACATTTGACCTTTTATAAAAACTAAAAATTGTATGTTTTTTTTTTTTACAGTGGCCTATATCTAAAACAGAAACTGTTCCACTTAACATCATGTAATCGGGTCATTGTAAACAGCAGCCGCTCCTCTGTGATAGCGAAACCAAATTGTAATGTAAACATTAACACCACAGTTTGTAAATATTTCACAGTTTACCTGAACTGAACACAAATGAACATGTCACTCGGCCAACTTGGAAAAAAAAATAGCAACAGGCGGTGACAAGCTTAGAATTGAAGACAATGCTTGTAACTGCCACAATATGCATCCACTAGTTTGAGATTCTTGATCTCACACTCTTCTGAATGTATGTGCACGTCAGGTTTTGATACTATAGGAGTCAGATTCATATCACACAGTGTTTGAACATAACAACACATGGCCAACTAAACCTGTTTTTTTTGCTGAAATCCTTTTCTATTTTCTTCAACTTCATTATCAATGGCTTTCTTTTCAAATGTATATTGTTAATGATTTGGTGTGCCGCAACAGCGGTACTTTAACCCTCGGAGTAGAGTGATCAAACAAATCACACCGTGAAACCACATGGAGAAGTTTATTACCACACTGTTTCTAAGTCAATAACCCCCTCGTGCACACGATATAGGCAGGTCACATGGCCTTTGTGTGGGCCAGGATTGTTTACGACCTGTCTGAGCTCTGGACGGCACGAGGGGTTGACACAGAGAGATCGGCGGCACAAATGGGTTGGCCACTAAGATCTCCAATTACTGCACAAAGGCATTAGGCGCCTCTTGGGCTGCTGTCTTTCAACACTCCTTACTAGGCAGTGGTTAGGGTCTGGCCAATGGGAGTCTACAGGCTTGTGGTGTATAACAGGGGTGAGGATTACATGGAATCTTGGTCTTTTTGGCCAATTGAAAAAAAAGTTATGACCATATTTGGAAAATGTGGAGAATTTTATCACCACGTGGCCACACCCAGGGTTAAGGGGCTGTGTATTAAACGAGACGAAAGGGTTTGCAAGGTGAACATGAGCAAAGAAAGGGAGGTTTGCGTTAACACCATCTGAATGACATCTCCTTTGAATTGTGTGGTTCTAAGAAGAATTACCAGTTGTTGATCTCTGGTTCTTCTCGGAACCACACAACTCAACAAAGATGTCATTCACATTAGTACGGCAGACAGGTGATTGGATTGTGCCTTTGATGATACAAGCAAGGAATTTGGCACTCTAGTCAGAGTATGTCACGAGAAAGATATTTGGCTATTCGCTCCGTTCACAAGTACCCCCATCGGCAAAGAAAGTACAGTTGGGGGGGGGGGGTGACCGACCGACGCCATCTTGCCTGACTGCAATTTTGCCACGACGCGCGGCCGTACCACTGCGTGTACATAGTAAAAGTCCCCTGGTGTACGTGCGTCACACACAAGGAACGGTGCGCGTCAACCAGCTAAATGTCCCGCCCACGGGACGTAGTTGCTAGGTAAAAGGGCACCATCTTTCGTTTGCGCACGGAGCCCATAGGGTCGCAGATTTGTCGTTTGAAGAAACAAATAGGTACATTAACAAGCAAAGCAGCCATTTTGAACATGTTGCTTGCTATTCTACCTATTATTTGTCCAAAGGAAAAATCATTGGCTCTATGGGCTCCGTGTGCCAACGAAAGAGGGCGCCCTTTTAGCTAGCAACGACGTCCCATGGCCGGGACATTTAGCTGGTCGACGCGCACCGCTCATTGTGTGTGACGCACGTACAGCAGGGGATCATTGTACTATGTACACGCAGTGGTACATGGTACGGCCGCGCGTCGCGGCAAAATTGCAGTCAGGCAAGATGGCGTCGGTCGGTCACCCCCAACTGTTCCTTCTTTGCCGGTGAGGGGGGTACTTGTGAACGGAGCGGATAGCCAAATATACTTCTTAAGATATACTCTGACTGTGTGCCTAACTCCACGCTTGTATAGGCACAATTCCCCCAAATATTTTCCCTATCTGCCCCACTACATGCTGCAAACCTCCCATTCATTTGGCCGACTATTATCCGGCACCTAATTTCAAACGCGGAATAACCTTGGCATATTACGGAAACACACGTAATTTTACACGTTAACAGTGTGTTGTGTGATTTCAGAGGAAATAAATGTTTCCATCAATGAATGTCAGACATCTCCTTAGCAAAAGAAAAAAAAACTTTAGCAAATCAATTCTGGAGACAATCGAAAGACTTACATGTCAACGAACGTAGCATTTGTTATGTATACGTGTTTTGGTAACCAATTAACTTATAACTGTGAAATGGACGCGTTACTCTGTTGACTATCCCAAAGGATCACGCGAGCAGCGAGAAAAAAAAATTCAATTTGAACAAAAAGTTCACCAGCTGCCGTAGAGTTTGCTATTTTTTCAAATCATTTCTTATGACTGACATGTTTTTAAAAAAAATGATAACAGGTAACAAGAAGTGTGGGCGCAGCAAATTTCGTTTTAAATGTACATACAAACCACCGATCCGATGTTTATTTCAATTATTTGCTGTTCAATCATAAACATTGACACAAGTACACACGGAGAGACAAAGAGCTATAACTCAGATTTAAAACTAAAAGTAAACACGACTGAATATGTGCAGATGTTTTGTTCGAAAGCTCTATTTACCAAGCACGTGCGCAACGTCAAACCAATATTTGTCATTTACTTTTTGGTCGAGTTTCCAAACAAGCAAGGGACACGCAAGGTGGAAATAAAGGATCTGAATCAAACCAAAAGTACACAATGTTGCTCGAACGTTCGTGACAAACTGTGCCAGAAATCTTATAAAAGTGAGTGGATTGCCGGTGTCTGATACCAAGCCTCATCTCGACAGACCTGACAGAATCTCGGCAGAACTCATCATGCAAGCTACACGCCTTGTCTTCGCTCTGCTCTTCGGAGCTCTACTGATTGGTAAGTTGCCAACATCTATGGTTTTGTGTTAAGTACTGTGGCCTCGTGGTTACGGGCATCGGATTTGTGGTCTGCGGGTAATTTGGCACGTTGTGGGTTCGAGTCCAGCCTGGGGTCATGGTGCGTGTGCCCTTGGGCACGGCACTTTATCACTCATTGCGTCTCTCCAACCAGGAGTACATGGGTACCTGTGAGGGTAGAGATGGTTATTGTGGTTGATTTACCTTCCTTGCGCCTAACACGCAGCATCGAGCTGTATGATCCCCAGAGAGCTGAGAAGGTTTCAGGAGTTTTTGCCCGTGGAAACAGGGAAAATAATAATTATAAAGCGCTTTGATACCCCGTTGCGGCGTAAAAGCGCTATATAAATGCCTGTTATTATACGTGTAAAGGTACCACTTACGAGACACGTTATCGTAATTTCTTTGCACGGTGGGAGACATCGTTCAGTATCGACATCGAATTTCACCTTATACGCTCTTTAAAAACTGAATAGTAAAATTGCAAACACTTTTACTTTTCTGACAACGTAATACACACGAGCAAAAGCGTAAATCAGTGTCCGCGAGCGGGGAATTTTAGGATGAGCAAAATCCTAAAAATGCCAAGCCATCGAAATTCCAAAAGCGGGGAGGGGGGATTTTTTTTGTCTCACTATACAAAAAAAATGGGATTTATCCTCCCCCTCCCCCTCCCCCTCCCTATCCCCACCCCACACGAGATAAATAATTCACCACAGCTTTGTCGGGCAATTTAGCATTTCATAACTTGTTCGTCAGATGATTACAAATATAAATCCGTGAAATTGTCAATGAGCCGAACATTTAAGTTAATATTGTCATTACACTACAGGAGTATGCATGGCCAAACCATCAAAGAAGGCACTCAAGTTGCAGCAAACCCGCCAAGGTAACATTTCTTAAGCCGTTAATTTCATTAAAATGTATGTACATGTATAACATGACGGGTCTCATATTTTTTTTCTATTTTTCCTTTGAACATGAATATGCCCAGACAGGGTTAGTAAAACAAATGAAACACAAATGGCGGCACTACTGTTTTAGTGAAGTTCTGCATGTAGCACTTTCAAAATCTAGTATATGAAAGCTCAATTCATAAGCTTTTTTTCGTACAAGAATCGTTCAAATCACTTATGCAGTTTTCAAGTGACAGAATCATAAAAACAACCACCGATTTAAAGTTCTGTCCACGGTTCACAAAAAAGATGTGCGTTATTTGGGCAAAGCGAAAACAATTCACACACATCCCTATTTGATTTGTTTTCGTTTTGCGGAAAGAACACTAACCTTTTTGTGATCCGTGGACAGAACTTTGGAACGATGGTGGTGTTTATAATACCGTAACTTGAAAATTACACAAGTGACTTGAATGATTCTTGTACTAAAAGAAAGCTTATGAATTGGGCTTTCATATCCTAGCTATTGAAGGTGCTACATGCAAAACTTTACTAAAGCAATGGTCCCGACATTTAGGTTTTTCGTTTTTAGGCTCATCCTGTAGAATGTTCATACTCCATTTTAAGTTTCATAAATTGTAAAATGTGCACTTGAATTGGTTTAGGTTTCCCCTGCAGTAGCGGTGATTACGTCTGCAACGATGGAACATGCATCTTCAGTTTCTGGGAGTGTGACGGGATCGACGATTGCAGTGGAGGCGAGGACGAGGCCAACTGCCCAAGTGCAAGTAAGAATCAAGTAAACTTTTGTCAGCATGGGCCGGCCCAGCCGGCGAAAAGAGTGTAACTTCGATTTTGACCTTTTTTGAGATAAAGTCACGCTTGGGGCTCTGGGGGCGCTGTTTCCATTTAACGAACCCTCAAGTCCACAAGGCCTTCTGTTTAGAATATAGCAGGGCGTACTCCTGCAAGAAACAGGCTCGTTGGATTCAGTTTCTTCAGTATATTGTGATACAACCTGGGATGTATATTAAGAAACACCCTGTTTGTTTGCCAGATGTGACAAGATGTGAAACGGCAAAAGGGCGTAACTATAACATTTACACCGTTTTGCCGTGCTATAAGGCAGTATGGTATACGCATCGTAGAGGTGCGATAATAGTGCATTTGAATATGCTTTTCAAGGTACATCCTTTTTACCAAAACATTCCTTTTAATTATGTTGGTGATACTTTATGGTAACAATGGTGTAATTGGTTTCAAAGAATCAAGTAAACTTTTGTCAACATGGGCCGGCCCAGCCGGCGAAAAGAGTGTAACTTCGATTTTGACCTTTTTTGAGATAAAGTCACGCTTGGGGCTATGGGGGCGCTGTTTCCGTTTAACGAACCCTCAAGTCCACTAGGCCTTCCGTTTAGAATATAGCAGGGCGTACTCCTGCAAGAAACCAATAGGAAAAGGTAAACTATTTATGAATTAATACATGACCCGCATTTGATGAATATCTGATTCGTTCTTGTTTCTGGATTAAGGTGCAGGCTGCTCCTCATACGATTTCACCTGCAACGATGGATCATGCATTCCTGGCTATTGGCAATGCGACACTTGGGATGACTGCAGCGGTGGAGAGGACGAGGCCGGTTGCCGTAAGTGTCAATAACTGTGGAACTTCAACCAGCCTGGCCCAGTATTATAAATAAATGTCACCAACAGTAATCCGCTATAAATGTTAAAACCACCACTTGACCTCGCAGCCTCTTCACAGTTCGTACTATTTTTTGTTTGTTTTAACCGCAAATGCAATGAATAGTGGCTTTAATCACATATCCTCTACACAAGGATAAACGACTCATCTCAGCTTGTGTATAAAATGTCACGAAGTGACACTAACCACGTGTATTAGCTAATGGGTAAGCGCTACTTCGTGATAACGCCAGAAGTGAGTCGCGCGTATCACGTGACATTTGTGTCACTTCGTGAAAACGCAAAACCCGTTTTTGACGCGTAGTGTGCAGGCACTTTACATGCGAAATAATGGTATAGTACACTTCGTGAAAACGCTATTTTTATTTTGACCCATTAAGTTGCAAACGTTCAGTAATGTTGATTAATGTTTTGACAAAACTAATTAACTATGTGTTTAGTAACTTCTTGAGGTGATAGATTATGTGTAATTAATCACAAATCAGAAAAGAAAATCCAAATCGTTAAATATCGATTTGTCGATGTTAGTGTCACTTCGTGGTGACGGTGACAACATGAATGTTAATAAGAAATGACTATGATTGTGTATTATTATTTTATTTTATTAAGCCTGCGATGGATACACCTGTAACGATGGAGATTGCATCCCCAGTAATTGGGAGTGTGACGGCTGGGATGATTGCGATGGTGGAGAGGACGAGGCCAACTGCCGTAAGTTTCTTGTCGATTTATGAAACAAATGATGCAGTTTTATGGTTGCACATTTAAAGATTACGCGAGTCGAGTGGATATTGCTGCGTAAAATTGTGACACTGCCCGAAGCGAACGGCAGGGAATATTGATCGCACCGTGCTTGTATTCATGGGAGCACATAACATTGAATTACCCGCGATTTGTTCGAGCACTATGCAGTTGATAGTGGCCAATTATTTACGGGCACGTGTCTTGGCGCTTAAGCAATTTCTCCTCGCGTATCTCTTAAATTACAACTTTTTAAACTGCATGGTTTTTTTTCCTTTTCTCGGTGTGAGATTGTCTTTGTCTCGTATCAGGAGGAGAGATATCGTTTTGTACATTATAGTTGCACTACAAATATCAAGTAAAATAGTTTGTAAAATCGTTGTGCTCAGCTTTTAACTGAAAAAAAAACCCAACAACACCAGTCGATTTATACTTCAAAGCTACTATGACTAACATTTTAGAGGACCACCATGTATCTTATATTCACAATGGCCAAATTATCTGCCATTGTATAAATTGATGTTGCAAGGCGGTTTTGTGTCTTTCTTAACCATAAAAATGACTTCAATGCCTCCTCTCAATATACTGCAAATTTCTTCTCACCTTACAAGACAGGGTTTAAGTGGGTTTAGTGAATTGAAATAGTATACGTTATCATTTGTGATAAACCAAATGAATGTTCGACTCTTATTCCTTTCTTTACGGATTTCTTGTCGGTATTTACAGGACGACACTGTTCGCCAATGCTGACAGCAAGACAGCCATTGTGCTGTTATTGTGCCGTTTTTCTACTGATGTGGGGTTTCAGTTATTTTGTGACCGATGATTTGAGTTCAGTCTTATATACTAGAATATAAAATTGCGGACTCACTCTGTTCTTGGTGGTTGTTGTTGTTTTCTTAATTAAGCGTGCGGTTCTTACGAATACACCTGTAACGACGGGGATTGCATCCCTGATTACTGGGAGTGTGACTACATAGTTGATTGCGATGGTGGAGAGGATGAGGCAAACTGCCGTAAGTTTCTTTCATCATTTATTTTGTAAAGTTTTTGTTTTTACACGTAAGATTGGTTATCAATCTTGTCATCCACATAATAATAATCAAACCATATCTGATTCGATGACCATACCATTACCACGACAACTGAAGGGGGTCATATTCTTGGCTAATGTATTTTTAGCTGTGGAAAGCAGCTCACGAAATAATTGTGTCTCTCCGTTGGTTAGTAACAAACATCAGCACGTTTTTTGAGTGGAACGGAACTCACAGTCCTGTGCACGGCTTCCACCCATATTTTTTTTACAAACCCTTCAGTTCATGACCTAGAGTATGCTCAAATACTAAAGATTTTGAGGGCATGCAAATCGTGATTTGGCCGGCGAAGGCAATTTAGGACCAATTTACTGGTCTGCAACCCTAAGGGGTTAATACCAATGTATTGCAGTCGTACACATTTGGGTCACGAGGTCACTCATTTCGCATTAGGGCTTGCACTTTACTGCACACAAATTACCATTGTGGCAAGCTGGTTGATTGTGTACATAACTGTGGATTTGTTTACCAAGATTCACTTTGTGGTTTGTGGTGGGCATGCGCAGTTAACTAGAATCAATGGGTAGAGGTTGTGGTGACCTGAGGTGTCAGGTCACCAGCTAAACAGTGTGGATGCCGCGACAGGTATGACAAAGTGAAGTAATTTAATTAAGCTTGTTCAGGGATGTATTCCAGGGACCGATATCGCATTTGTCCACATGCTGTTGCACTGATTTATTACGTTTTGATCACTTCAGCCACCTCCACCCCTTACTTTTCGTCCGACTTTTTCTCCAACACTTGTGATTATAACATGGGCGAGTTCCCCTGCCTGTATTCCGACGAGTGCGTCACCTTCGATGACATGTGCGATGGCGAGACCGACTGCAGCGGTGGCGAGGACGAGTCTGATATGATCTGCTGTAAGAACCCTTTGAGATTTTGCGTTACCCTTAACTGATTCTGAGCCAGCATGGAATCAATACTATTCACATTTCTATGATTCATATTGTCCCATCCACATAGGCATGCCTGAGGTCATTAATCATTAAAACCTAGTTTGGACCATGGTACAAACTTTTAGGAAGACCTCCCTTATGTTTTTGTACACGATCGCCATAATGGGGACTTACGGGAATTTAGAACCTTATTTTGTTCCCCTTTACATGCAGAAACTAACTCACACAAACACATCTAAAAACGGATCTTAAAAGGGTCATTACTATTAGGTTGATTTCTAGGGAGTTTTTTCAACACAGATTCAGTTGCTACACATAGTGATTTCGCTTTGGTTTACACAGGCATGTACGGCGACAGTGCCAAGAGAGCTCCTAAGAAGAGATGGGAGAAGATGACACGAAAGGTAGAGCAGAAGAAGAGAGCCATGCGCAAGTAAACTAACTAGAGGTAAGAAGACAAACTGATTCGCTTGGGCCTTGTTTTGTCGACTGTAAACTTGAAGAAAAAAAGACTCTCCATGGCGAACTCTTGGTGGCGCACTAAATTGTGAATCGCCCGAATAGACAAATTACAGAATAGTCTGGTTCCCAGACCTGACAATTATTCCCGACGCTCACGTCTTAAATTGTAGGTCAGGCAGCCTCCGTGGCAAAAAATAAACATGACGACATTAATGGCCCTTTTTCAAAGCGCGGCTTCGTTTCCGATTTCGCTTTATCACTTGTAGCTTTTAATGTTCTGATCAAATCTTTAAATAAATCACTTGCTTCGTAATATCATACAGTTATGATAATACAGTTTGATGTTTTTGTAAGATAACATTGAGTAATGTTGATCTGGAATCTTCAAAATTACGGAACCAAATAGCACTGTTAGCAGGCGGAGCCGAATGAAGACCGAGTTTTGGAAAATCTCGGTAACGGTCGTCAAATTCAAAATTGTACATGACGCAGCAAAAAGTTCGCCCGTACGATCCGAGTATATTTGATGCACAAAATCGTCGTTGAATTTCAACTTTTCTAAATGAAAACAATGAATATTAATTATCAACTCATTTAAAATAAAATTAATAAGCAATTAGCAGTTAATTAAACCTATATTATATACTTGGAAATACTCGGGCGCTATCCGATTGTCGACGAAACGACTTCGGCAAACTTCGGAAATTTTCGGATAATGGAGGAATTCCTCCCGTTTTAGTCACGTGACGTAAATTGTAATACATTGTATTACCGGAGGCTACCTGACCTAAGATTCATCAGGAATAGTCGGAATCTTTTGGTCTGGGAACCAGACTAATTACAGAAATGAAGTGATAAAATATTTTTTGAACATTGAAAACATTAACACTGCTATATGTAAAGATAAGAAATGAATGACCGTGTTTCAAAATATAAATGCTACGCTTCTAAAACATCTTAACGTTGTTTATTATTTGTACTTTCTTTTCTAATGAAGGTTCATGCGACCGGGAAAAGACGACATTGCTACGGGATCTGACAACGGACAACTGGACATTCATTTTCCGCTGCCACAAGTTATCAATAGCTAGTCGTAGTTTATAAGATATTCACACGTTCTGCCTTTTCTCTTTTCATGAGTGATTCGTTATTTTGATTGTCACGATTATTGTTGAAGGAAATGACTAAGAATGTTCTGATTTCGAATCCTCGTTTGAATATTACTAGTTTGACTACATTAACATGCCAATGCAGTCACAAACCAACTAAGAACACTAAGAAAACTGATAAAACTAGGAACATGTGTTTCACCTGTCATCTTTACAGATAATAAAAACATCTCTTTGAGAGACTTTAGTTCACTAAATGTGTATCATGAATAACTTTGAAATACCTCTTGAATCAAACATAGCAACAATGATAAACATATTTCAGATTTGAAGTGACCCATTAGATTGCAGTAATTCTTAGGTGTCTTTATCATTAAAAAAAATGTGTAATACAATAACTCACAGTTTCAAATTACCAATATAGATAGTAAATCCTCAAAAATCAAAAAGTTTGGCAATTATGCACGTTTGAATATAGTTATCACAGTCTTATATCAAGTTAATTTGGCACACTCGTCTTACAAACTTCTTCAATACGAACAAAATAACCAATTGTATCAAGCTTTTAATCGAATCGAAATATTTTAGGCCAGTTAATATGAAAACAAATCACAGTCTGGAGTCTGGGTTGCTTTTGTCATTAATTTACGTTGTACGATTAGTTGGAAGAATTCAGTTCAATTCTCTGAGAGTTCGCTAATAAAATAGCGTGGCAGCTAATTCATAAAAGCAAATAGATTTGTACGTGTACCTTATTTTGACGTTTGTTTTTACAGAGGAGATCTTAGATAGAGATAAAACGTGTAATTTCTTTGCGAGTTCCTTAGATTTTCAAAGACATTTTAACATTCGTGCCCAAATGGGTTTTGATTCGTGTACAGCTGGGTCTATATGAGTAAATAGCTCTCAAAGAATGCCTTTATTTTCTCTTTGAACTGGTGCTTTGGCTTTGCTTTGTAAGATATTTATTCATATTCCAAAGTGTATCCATGACAATGGCTGAAGGGTCAATTCTCAGAGGCCTAGCCAGGTCATTTTGTATTTGTGGGGGGGGGGGGAGTTTGAGAAAAGGGCACTTGCACATCCGCGCTGAAATGTTCTCCGGACACTTGGCCTCCGTAAAATCAAAATGTGTTAAAGGAGATTATATTAAACAAAATGAAATCAATAAATCGAATACAATATGTTCTATTGCTAATGGTGGTATATATCTACGGGCAACTTAATAGGGCTACGATTTAAGTTAACGAAAATACTCTATAAAATAACTTGTACAAGAAAATGCAAGTCTAACAAGTGCGAGTGCACAATAAGCTTTGGCCGTGAAAGTCTTGCATGGAATCGATCAAACTGATCCCTGCTACAGTTGAAAAATGCGACGCTGACAAATGCGACGCCGATGGCACATATGAAACTCCATATTTGGGTCAATTTTCAGGACAGACAGAACGACCACCAAGTGGCATGTAGAAGCTCCTGCCAGAGCTTAAACATGTAAGAAATTAACAAGAGCGGGCTAGGTGATGGTCACAGTGAGTAGCTGTTAGTAAAATATACCAAAATTCTACTCCCAACCCAGGGGGATTTGACTACAACTTACTTGGTCAGTACTCCGATGCAAAAACTGCAAAGCCCTCCAGATACAGCCTAACTCTAGCACAGCATCCAGCACACTGGTACCCCCTAAGGCTAAATGCACACGGGCCAAACAAATGCTATAGTGCAATTGCAAGCCTGGCTGGACTAATACACACTCAGCTTCAGGGGGTGTGATGGATGAGGGGGCAGGGCTAAACCAAAACGCCGAAAGTTTATGACAAGGGGTACTTAGATTACACTTTTTGCGACTTTTTGGAAGGAATATCCCCTTTTTGGGGGCCAAATTATTTCTTTTGGGAGATCTAGATGAAACCCCATGCTAAAAAAATGCATAGCAGAGTCAATGAATGGCATGAACAGACAGACGATATATCAAGTAAATGCGTGCCTTGGCCTCTGCCAAGGCCCGCTATATTGTCAGTACATCCAAAACAAATACTCGCATATCCACTGTACTTCAATATTTTATTGCACATTTAAAATGTCAACATGATTGCTCATAATCTGAATTTATCGAAAAATAACAATGTTGGTCGCTTTATATCCTTAGTTGTTAAAAAAAAAAATCCTTAAACTCAAACATTTGGTGGCATACAATAATGTATATGCCTGTGTCGGTCTAACTCTCCACTCCCCTATTGTATAAAATGGTCTAGTCCATTGATCTGCGTGGTTAAATTAGGTGGGGGATAAGGCATACAGGGTCACCGTGTCAATGCGCGCACAGGAAGCTGTTCAGTTGTACACAGAGGTTCATGGTTCATTCGCAAACACAAAAAGTGAATAATCCTTTGAAATAAATTCTGCATCCAGATCCAGATTCCGGATCACTTCCAAAAATCTGATCGATTTGTACTTGTACCAAGGACCACCCCTAAAAGAATGTCATGAACATCCATCAACAATTTTTGAGTCATCAAGTTTACGGACAAACCAACGCCGATTCCAACGAAATTCCCTTGTTTTACTTTTATTAATGTGCATTTTTACTAAAGTCATTTTTTCCAACTTCACCTGTCTGTCTTTTTCAGTTGAGGGCGCCGCACATGCACGGTGATAACTATACTACCCACTCCACACAGCGTCAACACGGATGCCTCACTAGTATAGAGTAAAATGAAGACACTGATGGTTCGGGCAATATCTCAAGAAATACTGAATGTACTAACTCGATATTTTGTCGCGTTGTTCACGATCGCCAGTCTAATTTCACGATAACTCGTCAAACAACAAAAATGATATGACTGAAACAACTTAGTGGTTTAACCATAAACAATATCCTAATCAGAATGAGACGACGTTCAATACAAAAAAAACCACTCGTTGTTTAGAGCAACAATTTGTGAAATACCAAATGTGTATTACTAATTATTATTATACGTGTAAAGGTACCACTAAGGACACACGTTATCGTAATTTCTTCGCACGATGGGAGACACTGGTCCATAGGGAGACATGTTCATGACTCCCTAATGCCACAGCCCCCCTTTAGAGGCACAATTTTATCGTCGCAATTATGTTATATTTGTTGTTCGTGGTCTAATCAGTAAACATACCGAAATTCGTGGAAAAAGGACAAGGGAATATTGCGTTGGGGCACATTTAAGTTTCAAAAATGCAGAAGTCTATGTGGATGTCTCCCAAAATAATGATTATTATTGTTATAATAACAAGTATACCCTTTGTGAGACACTTTAGCGTCATACGTTATACCTCTGGGAGACATGTCGAATGAGGGAGACATTTCAATGTCTCCCTAATTCCACATCCCCTACTTAGAGGCAATTTTTTTTGTGTCGCAAATAGGCTAGATCGATTGATCGTGGTCCAATTAGAAAAATTACCGAAATTCGTGGGGGTAGGATAAGGTAAAATTGGGGTTAGGGGTCATTACAGTTTAGAGGGGGAATGTGTGCACAAGTCTATGGGAATGTCTCCCTTATACCCAATTATCGGTAATTATTATCATTTTTTTTTTTGGGGGGGGGATATCCTTTGAAATGAAAAGACATCCGACTCTTGTTTGTGCTGTTCATGATACATCAGAACAATATGAGACATACATATTAATCTCGCTTAAAGGTAGCGTCCATATTCATATCGCTTAAAGGTATAGTCCATCATTTGTAATGTGTGCATTTTGTTCGTTTGAAGCAACATAAGTGCTCAAAATCTAAAGAAGGGTGCTGAACAATAGACTAACCTGATGACGTTTCAGCTCAGCTTCAGCTGTATATTTCGAGAAAAACAACATTCTATGATCTCGATTTCAAATCCAAAGTTGCTGAATCATGCTTTGAATTGGGCCTGAATTCAGCGTCCGAGACACGTTGTCACTGAGCTGATTGCAGCTACGCGATGTCGCGCACTGATCTGACGAATTATAGCAACCGCACGCGCGTGTTTGTCGTGCCAACGCTTGTGCGCGCTTCGCCGAATAAAAACAAAACAAAAACGAACTACTAACGGAAACTTCCAACGATGCTTCACGTTGGAAAGGCCTTCTTTCTTTCTTTGATTTCTTCAAAATCACAGCTTGCTGGAAGAAATAATGTCACAAGGAGTTTAGTTCCATTACTATCTTTAACCAAGTATGCTTTCAACAATAATCACGTCAGCTACTTTTCAGATAGCTGCAAATGATGGACTTTACCCTTGAAATAAACATACAATATGGTACAATCTGAATGCAGACCACTTAGGGTACATGCATTGGTGTCCTACAGTAAAAACAATGGTGGGGAACGTTATTCCCAACCTCGGATTTCCGCCCATATAATACATAATATGAATATACAGCAGAATAACGTCATAAATTATGCAGATCTGAGAATTACATGAACAAATCGTCACCGACACCACGAAGTAACACTCTAACGTGTTAAACCATATTTTTTACGATTTCCAGTTTTTTGGATTCTTACACATTATGCATCAAGGCCTACCATTGCACGACGTTTCAAAGCTTCAAGGGCTTTACTTTAATAATAACGCTCAGTATCCATGGCAACTTTTGCGCAAAAGTGACAATTTTCGTTTTCACGAAGTAACACTCAAGTTCCATTTACCATTGCAATGCATGGCGCGCACTATTCTCAAATGCGAGCAAAACCGTTTTCACAAAGTAACACTGTTGTTCTTTGAGCGCGCGCGCGCTGACCTCCGTTTCCACGAAGTAACACTCTTTTAGTGTTGTAATACATTGAAGCGTGCTACTACGTGAAAACGGAATTTTACAGGTTCGCAGCTTTTATGGGTTCACGAACTAGCACTCATCTTTTTTTCTCTTATTTCTTGTTGTTTTAATACACAAACGGGTCAAAACAGCAAATTTATATCATCAATACATCAAGTGTCTACAACGAGAAACTCAACTGAAAACACTCTGTTAAAGTGTTGTTCTAGAAGGCGTTCAACTTTAGATGCCGTTTTCTCCGATTGCTAATTTTTACCGGTATGTACATGAGTGTTACTTCGTGATGTCGGTGACGAAATGAATACAAGTACTGCAAACTGCTTGCTAACTGAATTGGCATAAAATTGTACAAATCAAACACTTCACCTAGAATTTTTCTTCTTCTTTAATTATACACAGATAAGTATATTCATGGGAACAACAGAACAACAGACAACCAATCAGAATCTACCAATACAAAGACTCCCAATCCTAACACAGCTGGAGCAGCATCTCCAATTCTCTCCTGACGATGACTAGAGCAGGCTAGTCGAAACGTTGAGACCAAAGACAAGTTATTTTAGAACTAAGCAGGACTGTTCTTAACAGAACAAAAAAAATATTCATAAGAATAGTTTTTAGTTTTACAAAAACTATTCATAAGAATAGTTTTTAGTTTGTAAGACGTCTGCACTAGAAAGCAGGAGGTCGTGGGTTCGAGTCCCACCAGAGTGATTTTCTCCAACTTTCACTCGGGAGGTAACACACTGAGTATACAGTGTTTACACGTCGGTGAAGGACAAAAACTTAATTTGAATTTAAAACTACTAAGCGAAAGTTGATAATAAGCAGGACAACTTCGTACCAGAACTAAATATCTACTGAGCGACAATAGTTAATTACAACAAGGTGTTACCGCAAACCGAAACGATAAACAGAAAAGTTGCTACGATGATTGAGGTTCAAAACTTACCACACAAAACTAGGCAAGGGAACTGCAGGGAACCTATCTTGAGGTATGGCAGACACAATAGGAGGGCGCTGTTTGATTAGGGTACAGTCGTTTGTAGCTACATAAACGAAATAGCGCCCTCATATGTGACCTGCCGTAGCATAATGAGGAATAACCCCCACCTTTGACTTTTCACGTCACATGTACATCTTGTTAAAGCGCAAATCACTGGCTTAATAGTGTGGATCTAGGATACCTTGGTTACTCAAACATACAAAACAATCAATAACGATTTTGACATGATTTTACTAGAATATCCGGCTTCAGGCGTCGATTACTTAAAAGGTTTTGGGGGACATTCCTCATTTTGCCTCAGTAGGTCACATATTGTGTCGGCCTTACCTCAAAATAGGTTAACAGCCTGAGCTTCGTCAGGTGGCTAGATCAGCGCCCACCAGGTGGTTCAACCTGCCCTTTAGATTCCGTGGCTGTTATCGGCTGAGTTGCGGTCTGCGCTTTATATTCCGTGGTTGTTATCGGCGGAGTTGATGTCTGCTTCTCGTCGGTGCACTCCCTCTGTTGCAAAGCCAATTGAAAAAGAATCATTTGTGATTTTATGTTGCTCACTTGCGTATTATCTAGCATACTATTCATATCAACATTGAATGAGTCTGCCTGATACCGTACAAATACAAAATGTTCCTTATATTGGTCGTTCGTTTATAGTAATTGTGCATTATAATAGATTTTATTATTTCAGGAGCCAAAGGGGATGTTCGTTATAGCCACATGTTCGTTATAGATGTGTTCGTTATAGCGGCGTTTCACTGTAACGATTAATTGGGGTAAATTGTCTCCAGTAGTAAACATGAGGTCATTAATACGAGTCATACCGAGTAAGTTAACGTTTTGTTGTTCTTGCAATCCCTCGGACAGCGCCGAGAGCACAGTGCACATACTACTATGATCTTCAACGAAGGGTAAGACCTTATTTTGAATTACATCTCTCCGACAAACAAAACATATATAAATATACAAACAACAACATTACGTGGATTTCCTAGTAGACTAGAAAGTCTCAGCTTAAGAGGAAAATTACTGACTCGATCAGGCGGTCGATGGGTCGGTCGTTTGGTCGAAAGTAATATACCATTATCATGTTGCGACCATCTTTATTTTTTCCCATTCAAATCAACGTAACTAAAGCGAAGTTGGAAGGAAAAATAGTCTGGTTCCTTTGTGCACAAAAACATGATCATTCAGTACTGTTATTGGAAACAGGAAACATGGTGGCAGCATGATAAAGGTCTATTAGCTGATTCTCAGGTACAAAAAGATCAAACGTATACAAACAAATATTTTTGTCTCGTGCAATATTTTATAAAGTATTCCCGAACAAGATAGAGGCAAATACCTGTTGGGTGATTCCTCGCTGGTACACCAAGTTGGTTCCGGAGCCTATCGCCGGTTGGTCACCAGTCTCACCCACAACGCAACCATCGAGATCCACGGTGAAGTACTTGCAGTTGTCGTTGTTCATACATGCTGCAGCACATCGGTAGTAGTTTGCAAGGGGCACGTTAGATTGCGAAGCAACGCCGTGTGGATCGCTGAGGTGAAACCGGCCGATTGTGTGAATGCTTGCTGCCGACGCCACACAAAAGATCAACACTGCAATTGCTGTAGTCAAACAAAATAGGAAGCCGACAAACCCGAACACATTAACTACTGTGTGAGTAGAAACAACGAAACCCAAATGGCGGGACCAATTTTTGAATGAAGTTTTGCCTGTTGCACTTCCAAAATCTAGGACATGAAAGCCCAATCAATGAGCTTCTTTTAGTACAAGAATCATTCAAATCACGTGAAGTAGCGTGAGTAAACCAGACTACAAGAACACAATTTTTTTCTTGATTTTTCCCAGCATCCACGAACACAAAACTTCAAACAGGTCAGTGTAACAAATATTTCCTATAAATAATAACCCCAAATCCGTCCATTTTTGAAAGTTACAACATATTGTTCATATTGACTGTAGGCAAACAACATGATAGAACTCGTCTGCAGGGTGAGTCAGAATGATGAGGACCAAAATCAAAGAAAATATTTTTAAAACTATGTAGCAATTATCAACACAAGTGCAATTGAGATATGTTATAGGCTGGTATTTTGGACATATTTAGTAAAAGTTTCATGTATATCCATTGTACTATTTTGAAGAAAAAAAGTGCTAGCAAAGAACACACGCTAAAGAAACACCCTAACCACGGTTCCATGATTAGACACAACTAATGTATTGAAATCGCGTACTGATGTGAAGCAGTGTAATAACAAATTAAAACCTAGTCATGGTGACTAACTCACTTGAAGTTATTGACACATTAAAAAAAGAAAGCAAAACCAATTCCGTGTGCAGACTGGAAAATGAGCCACTTCAATGAAAATGGCATAACTCTTCACCACAGCCACTATTTTGAAACATTCAAAATTCCTGTGGAAGACAAGGTAATAACCTTTCATTTGAAACACTCATATTTTCTCTCAATAATACTCTATTTGCCACAACAAAAATGGTGAACTTGGGTCCGGATCATTTTGACTCACCCTTTGTAGGTAGTTGGCAAAATCTTTAACTATCTTGACTTACCGTTGTTTATAAGAGCCATATTCAATCGCTGTTTACTGTGTCAGATGGAGACGACTTGTAGTGAGCTATCTTAAAAGTCTTCTACCGCGTGTTGATTGCGGTGGCTCTGTGCCAGGTTCGCCAATTCTCAGTATTTATTTGCGATTGTAAAATGCCGCGGATAGTCCGTGTGGCGTTCGTCAGTGCAACAGTTGTGCAGAAATATACTTGTTATTTGACAAGTCATTCCTCGCTCAACCGACCGTGCTGCAATTACCGCACTGCGCTCAATCCCGAAGTGAAAAATTCCATATGATTTTTTTATTCAAGGCTTTGATTACTGGACATTAGTTCATCTTCTCTTTTTTTTTCTCTTCTTGTTTTCTTTTGTTTTTCATGCTCAATTTGCGCCAGCGTTTCCGTTGCAAGTTTCTCATAACGGTAGTGATCAATTTGCTTGATGAGTGTTGTTTGTACGGGGAGGTTGCTCTTCCCGGGAAGGCTGGCTGGCTTGCGTATGGACAATATTGCTCCGTCGATAGTTATGAACGCATCACAAGGTTTGCACTGAATTTCGACTCAGTTAATGGGCGCTAAATACCTCATCGATAACGGCGTTGCATTCTGGGTATGGACAAATAGAGGCAATTTGTGTTGTATGGGCGGGGCATTGAGCAAGGCAAAATTTTAATGTGTACAGTACGAACTTGAAGAATAATTATGGCAGAAAATATTAAGATAAACTTGGCACCCGAATTGGGAGTTTTAGATGTTTTTTTAAATTTTTTTTTATCAAGAAAGCCGAACAATTCCTCGAAGTTAGGCCCGTAGGTTTTTAATGGCGGGATATTTTGCGTAGAAAAAAATACTTATTTCAGATGTTTAATCTTTTAAATATAATATTGTTTTAAACAAGAGGTGAACAAAAATTTCCATAGTGCAACCAGATCCCTAACCAGTTTGAAATCTCGTTTATCACCGTTCATTTACACGTTTATCCCCTTAATATAACAATGAGACTCATGGCTTCCGTGCACCAACAAAAATGGCGCGCCTTACTGTTTCGCGTGCGAAGTACGCACGACTTCCTGAATGTGCAAAAGCTATGAGCCACAGCGTCTTCGCGTAAAGCCCGGTTCATACTTCACGCGAAAGCGAAAGCGAAACGAAATTCGTAACGTCAACAATACATTCGAAGCGCGTCCACCATTGTTGACTACATGAATTTCGCTTCGCACTTGCTTTCGCGTGAAGTATAAACCGGGCTTGAGTGCCCTACATCAGGCGTTGTTGGCGCGCGAAAAAGTTTGAATTTAACTTTCGATGGTCTCCCAGACCAATCCCCGCCACCAATAACTTTGGATCATTCGAAATACGCAGTGGACGGACCTTGAACCAGTCTAGGTCTCTCCAACTCTCTTTTTCTGGCCGTTGAGGGAGTACTTGTGCATGGAGCCCATAGCAATGAATCAATGTTAATTCATGTTATTCATGATAATAGTTCATGATGTATCATCTCATCAGCAGTTTAGACACCCATTACTGCAGAAATACAATAAAGATCAAGGGAAGTCTGGTAAACATCATTACTTTTTATTATTATTATTTTGGTTTATTTATTTGAATTAAAAGCAGCCCACAGGCTGAAAACATTCAAATTTACCATGGGTATTTTAGTTAAAAACTACTTAAAATACAATCAATACATTTTTAAATTGTAAATTGAAAGGTACAAATCATAACGGGAGAAATTATTCATTATCATTAACAGACTTCTAAAGACTTGCTAAGACAAAACATTGCTGATTAAAACTGGAGTGTAAAACTATTTAATTTACTTATGTCATCGCCCTTAAAGTGTTAAAGTAATAATGAACATACTGAATGGGATACTTTTGTGATCGAGACGCTTGGTGACAGCAGATTACACGCTGGTCCATTTCAATTGGGGCGATTCACAATGCAGTGCGCCATCAAGTGTGCCTCCGTTTGCCCAGGAGAGTTCATTTTTCCCAGTGCATTGTGGGAGATGGTCGACAAATTTGCTGCGCGGGACTGTTTAGTTTTTGCGGTCAGTAGTTTTGTAAACGTATGAATCGAGTATCTGTTTTTGCCCTTTGTTTATTTGGATCAATTTGGAGATTTTGTATAAAGGCGGCAGAACGCTATGCCCCAATCTTAAACAAAATAGCTCAAGTTGTCAACTGACACTCATTGAAATGGGCCATGATTTGTCGACCGTAAACTTGAAAAAAAAAAGACTTTCCATGGCAAACTCTTGGTAGCGCACTGCATTGTGAATCGCCTGAATTGTTTTCTTCATTTTCGGAAATGCTTACTTAAGCTAACATGACGTCAACAATTAAAAAGGACCGTTGTGTTTGCTGCCCCCACGCGTCTCAAAAGTTTCCCGTAGTCACCGATCTGCAGCATAATTCATTGGCTGCTATTCACAGCATAATTTCGTGACAGAGTATCTTCAAGCACTGTACTAGGAATTGTGAATCATTACCAACAAATTATTCCGGCTCAGCTTCTAATGTACAGTCCTATGACCTGTTGTCATTGTTCTGTCGTTTAGACATCGCTCATTGCGAAGTGGTAAAGGTCCATATATACATAACTTACACCTGCTTGTGATAGTAAACCAAGCAATTAACGGTATATAGACTAAGCTCGTAAAAGTGTCAGTAACATAACTTGATGTCACCTTAATATGTTTGATTACAATTCCTGTCAGATAACTTGTAAGAGTCAATTCCTGTCAATTATGTCAAATTAAACGTAATCACATTGAGCTACTGCACTTGCTAGACCAAACTTATGTTACGATCTCAATCTTTTTTCTCCAACGCTTTGGCCTTCCTTACAATTTTCTTTTTGTTTTCCAGTGCCTGTCCAAACAAGAAATTATAAACACCATCCGCTAAAAAGGCGGGAAGGAGAGACATCGGTTTGTAGAATAATTTAGCATCCAGTCCTGGTAGGTACCGTCGCCATGGGAACCGGGAACAGAGCGCATGCTCCATGGCATCCGTCACTTCATGCAAATGAGGGGACGCCATGCGCAGAGCATCGATAATAAGCAGCTCCACTAAAACAAAATGTATACAAAAACACAGCAGGTTAATGGCTAACGGAATTTGTACAATCTACAAAATACAGATTGCTAATACAGATTGCTAAAAGGGACATTTACTGGCGAAACTGAGTGCTGTGGCCTCGTGGTCTGGAGCATGAATTCGTTGTCAGCAAGTAATTCTGCAGGTTGTGGGTTCGATTCCAGCCTGGGGTCGTGGTGCATGTGCACTTGGGCAAGGCACTTTGCCACTCATTGCTTCTCTCCACCCAGGAGTAAATGGGTGCCTGTGAGGGCAGGAAGGTTATTGTGATTGGTCTAAGTTAATTTGTGCCGAAGCGGCAGCATTGAGCTGTACACTCTCCAGGGAGCTGAGATTGCATTTGGAATGCTACATTGGCCCAATGAGCAGGGTAATAATGATGTAGCGCCTTGAGCATCAATGAGCCTTAAGCCGTTTATAAATACACATTATTTAAAATTATCCAACTATAAAAATGAACTTTTTGAGCTTTTCAGCGCGTCCCTTTTCAAAAAGTCTGTAACTAGATCTTGAAGATTTTCAATAGCTATTACGATTTCTTGTGGGATGTTATGTAAGACTGCTTATGCAAAAGCTCATCTTGCCAAGTTTACACTCAGTTTGAGGCTGCTCATCCAAATTAACATGGTGTTTTCACATATCTCAAAATACCGTATTGCTTGACAGATGGACTCTTTGTAAAAAGGGACATTTACGGATCATATTGAGCTTACTTGCTTCACGTGCAATCTCGCCACCAAAGCTGTCCCTCTCTTCCTGCGGTAGCCGCTCCCAGGCGGTGTTCAGTCTGCGTTTCATTGCGTCTGTATCAGAGAATGTACCCTGGTACGCCCCTGGCTCGATAACGTGGACGGACACGCCATACTGCTTCATGTCACACCTTGTTGTTGACATGAATGAAAATACATTTGGGAGAATAGAAAATAAAGAGATGGTTATAACTTCCAAACTGTAGTTCCCAGATCATGAACACAACGTTGATTTAAGTAAGATTTGAGGCTTTGCATCGTGGAGGTACTAGATAATGAAAGGTTTGCGGAAACACCATGTGGAATAATTTCTCAACTAAGAGAATGGTTCTGAAAAGAACCAGAGGTATAAACTCGACGTTCCGGTCAGTATGCTCTGACCGTCTTCAGGAGAGTTGCAACGTTGATTTAGATATCAGTAACCTAGCTGATCGCGGAATGGTTCTTCGAACCGGATTCCATTGCCTTTTGACCCTTTATAGTAACCAAAAAAAAATAATTATCTGTTGATTCAAAATATTTCAGCTTACGTCTACAGTGTGATTTCGCTGCCCTGAATCTGACAGATGGGCTAATGGTACTGAAGGGAGATTTTAATTGTGATTCTCACTTAGGAATGTTTAGCTGTGCCCAAGGCCTTTTGACACTTGGGCCTAACTGTGACTGGGAAAGGTCTGGTTGTCTGACAAAGTGTGAGATTAACGTTTACACGCTGTGTTTCCGCTATCTTGATGATAAGCTATTGATACTGCTAAGTAGATAATTTGCAATGATGTTTACTGAACACATTTCACTGAAATTAACGGCTTCTATGAACTCAAATTTCACACAAGGTTCATAACAAACTACTTGTAATGCTAAATTGTTGATACCTGATGTTGTCTGAAAAAGCTTCTATGGCGGCTTTTGATGCTGTGTATATGGTCCCCGACGAAGGGAACAGCGCCACCGCGCTGGACACGTTGACAATACGCCCTCTAGCGGCGCGGATGAGTGGGTAAAGCGTGTTAGTCACTTCAATGGCGCCAACGAGGTTGACCTGCAGGACTTTCACAATGTCCTCCCTGTTTAGCCAATGGTACGGTCCCAGAGGGGAGATGATTCCAGCATTATTGACTAAGCCCCACAACCCTGGAGAAATGAACGGAGGCATGCAGACATGGTATCCTTCTTTATCATGATACAACAAAGCACGCCACCATGTGTTTAAAATGGGTAGCATTTAGTCTTTTTCCATGATGCAACAAAGCATGCCACCATGCCTTTAAAAGGGGTAGAATTTCAACATCATCGTTATCATCATGCAGCTATTGGTCTAATTGGTTGGAAAACGATACATTTACAGACTTTTATTTTCGTAATTTGTTGGTTTTGTTTGATTGTGTTTTTTTTTTACTCGGAGGTTTGAGGGATTAAATCTGATCGAGTCGCAAATCTGTATTGCGTGCTATCATTTTTTACTAGAATGAACTTAAGATTTTCCGAGTATTTTCATTCAGACAAGCCTGGTATTTATAGGTATCGCCACTGTGTTCGATATTACGTGATTTATTTGGATAGCAGCATAAGCATTTGCGTGTTTCACATCAATCGTATTAAATCATTCTATTTAAAACGCAGTCTCTGATTTCTGCGCTGCTGTGTTATTTGATTTTAGTTCCTCGTATTTCTGAACACAGGTAAAGATTTCACACGAGGAATGTTATTGTGAAAGTGTAACCTCAGGAAATACCTTGTCCCTCCGGTATGATTGTTTGTACTGCATCACGGGCTCTCCGAACACTCTCACTGCTTGTGACATCCAATTGCAATGTAGTCAACCTCGATGACGTCACACGCTTGAGTTTAGCAGCGCCTTCCTCTGTAAGGCAGGCTGCGATCACGTGACACCCCCTGCGTCGATCCAGGTTGCGGGCGAGCAGGTTGCCGAATCCAGAGTCGCAGCCCGTGATGAAGACATACTTGCCTTCGATGTCGATATAGATGCGGTCTAGTACCAAGACTACTACTAGGCATGCAAATACTGCAACTGCAGCGCATACGAGCACCAACATGCCTGATGTTTGTTGCAAGTCAGATTGCTGAGAACAATATTCAATAGAAATAATACGCCTAAGTATCATATTATTAAACAAGCATTGATAGTACGCTAAAATAACATCGATCAGAATTGGTATTATGACTAGTTGCAATTTAGTGATTTTAATATTTAGATAATAATTATCTTAATATTAAAATCACGTTTACAATTAATATAATTGAAAAGATATCCACAACACTGTAATTAAACTATCTCCTGCATTAGTGCTTCCACACACTCCTTAGACCTTTTACCAAAAAAACCCAACATAACACACAGACATCAGAGAGACAGAAGACAGACAAACATTATACAGACAGGAAAAAAAACATGAAAAAAAGTAAGACTGCTGCAAACTGCTTACTGACTGGGTGGACCTGAAATATATAAATCTAAAAATTAATGTGGCCTGACGTTGCGAACTTAGCAAGTTCTTCTTCAGAGGCTAAAACAGAAATGACAGAGGCACATACATTAACATGGGGGTGCACACAAACATGCAGGGATGAAAGAAGAAACACAAAAGGAGGATTAGGTGGGAAAGGTGTGGAAAGATGCAGGGGAGGGTGGATGAGAGAACAAAGAAACAAAGGGAGATGGCAAACCACAAGGGGTCTGGTATGAACAGGGGAGGGACCAGAAAGGGGAAGGATCAAAGGTCACAGGGAGTGGGAACGGACAAAAGAGTGTGGGAGTGAAGGGGGATTATGCGGGGGGGGGGGCAGTATGGAGGTGGAAAGGGATGAAAGATGGGGGAAGATGGGTAAACACAAACAATGAAGACCAGGTGGATTATCTGTAACAGAAGACAATGGGGGAAGAAAAAGATTAATCATTTCCAAGTTGGATGTTGAGACCACGTGGTTGAATAGTTCGAAGACGATTCATCCACACTTTCTCTCTGCTGAGGCGAACTGAGTCCTTGCGATGGCCAAGAGATTCAATGCCCTGCAAAATCATATCAGAAATGGAGTGGTTAGGCAGGTTGAAGTGATGACCAACAGGGGTGTCTAGTTTCTTGGTGTTGACCGTTGACCGGTGGGCATAGAAACGCTTCTTGAGCGTATTCTTAGTCTCACCTACATACTGCACTCCACAGACCCTGCATCCCCTCCCACCCAGCATGGTACTTTCAAGTGCAGTTCCAGATGTGTTGTCTGCCAGATTCATATCCAGGAGTCTGACTCCTTTTCTGGCCACTCTTCTGTCACTACCCACAGAACCATTGGTAACATCACTTGTAACACCCCTAATGTCATATATCTCATTTCTTGCAGGGTCTGTGGAGTGCAGTATGTAGGTGAGACTAAGAATACGCTCAAGAAGCGTTTCTATGCCCACCGGTCAACGGTCAACACCAAGAAACTAGACACCCCTGTTGGTCATCACTTCAACCTGCCTAACCACTCCATTTCTGATATGATTTTGCAGGGCATTGAATCTCTTGGCCATCGCAAGGACTCAGTTCGCCTCAGCAGAGAGAAAGTGTGGATGAATCGTCTTCGAACTATTCAACCACGTGGTCTCAACATCCAACTTGGAAATGATTAATCTTTTTCTTCCCCCATTGTCTTCTGTTACAGATAATCCACCTGGTCTTCATTGTTTGTGTTTACCCATCTTCCCCCATCTTTCATCCCTTTCCACCTCCATACTGCCCCCCGCATAATCCCCCTTCACTCCCACACTCTTTTGTCCGTTCCCACTCCCTGTGACCTTTGATCCTTCCCCTTTCTGGTCCCTCCCCTGTTCATACCAGACCCCTTGTGGTTTGCCATCTCCCTTTGTTTCTTTGTTCTCTCATCCACCCTCCCCTGCATCTTTCCACACCTTTCCCACCTAATCCTCCTTTTGTGTTTCTTCTTTCATCCCTGCATGTTTGTGTGCACCCCCATGTTAATGTATGTGCCTCTGTCATTTCTGTTTTAGCCTCTGAAGAAGAACTTGCTAAGTTCGCAACGTCAGGCCACATTAATTTTTAGATTATACAGACAGCGTAGAATTTTTTAATATAGGATTGGGACACGTTACGATGATATGCGCACTAAACTTCATTCATACTTTTATTAGTACATTCTTCATACAAAACGTTTTCGCGGTTATGTTTGAGAAGAACACCACAAACTCATGTTAATATTAACATAAAATACCATCGTTTGTTGATCTGAGTAGTATGATTAGTGTTTACATGAAGACAAAAAAGGAACCTACCTCCTGTGTACGGACTAGCTGGCGTGTGTGCAGTGCTGAAAGACCTGCAGTGTTTGCACGTCAACGATTCTTCTTGTAATAATGAACTTTGGTTTCTGCAGGCCTACCACAGGGTTAACGAACTTGATACACTTCGTGACTTTTTGTTTGTTAGAGATAGTCTTTGACCGGGCAGCTATAAATATCTAGCTATTTTTACCACATTATGGACGTGTTTGTTTGCCCCAACACAGGTCAATGACAGTTGAAGGCTGAAGGCTACGGGGTTCAGAATATGGACCCAAGTTCACAATTTTTGTTTGTGGCAAGTAGTCAGAGTGTATTGAGAAAAAACGGAGTGTTTCATATGAATCGATATTAATTACCTTGTCTTTCACAGGAATTTTTGAATTTTTCCAATTAGTGGCTGTGGTGAAGAGTTATGCCATCATTTTCATTGAAGTGGCTCATTGTCCAGTCTGCAAATGGATTTGGTTTTGCCTTTTTTTTTTAATGTGTCAATTAAACTTCAAGGGAGTCAGTCACCATGACTAGGTTTTGATTTGTTATTACATGAAACTTTAACCAAATATTTCCAAAATAACAGCCTTTATCATATCTCATTTGCAATTGTTTGGATAATTGCTACATACTTTTAATATTGTTTTAATTTGGGTTCAGATCATTCTGATCACCCTGTATTTTGTTATTTAGAAACATCTGTGATTGAAATTATTTAGACTTGTAGGTTTGCATGGTGGACATGGACAAAGTATGGAAAGTTTGCGATAACACCATGTGAATTTTATCTCTCTTGAGTTGTGTGATTCTGAGAAGAACCAGTTGTTTAAATTCGATGTTTGGATGAGTATGCTCTGTTTGTCATCAGGAGATTGCCTGACTCTTGCTGGTGTAGGGTTAAAGTAGTAGAGGCTTGGATTTAGCACCAAGGGATTAGTTTGGTGAGCCGTAAACATTAGTGTATACGTGCTTTTGGGGTGTGGCACCTTGAAAAAAACAAACAGTTTTGCAAATTGAATTAATAATTTTCTATCATTACATTAGTTATCAGCTTTCCAATGAGACATTGCACGAAAAAAAAATCAGCACACGACATGTAATCAATTGATTAATTTCAACTTCGAATTAAGAACAGGACGCTCCTTATTCGTTCGGAATAGCGTGCGCAATTTCTGAACCGGTGCTGGCCGTTTTAAACCTTTTTTGTTGCTGAACTTTACATTCCTTTAAATTTCGTTCGGAAAAGAAAATAGAATCTTTAAGACGGGAGATTCTAAGTTGGAGGGATGCCGTGTAGAATACTGAGTGGACTATGATTTAAATGCATGATAGTTATTTTATGCTCCGACAAGCACTAAAGAAAAATCGAAAGAAAAATAACAACAGATAACGCTTCTCTTTATTTATTATGCTTTAACTTGAACAGCTCACTTTATGCATAGTTAAGTTTTAGTTAATTTTAGACAAGTGAAGGAGTCTAATTATGGCACGATCCATTTTGTTTCTTTTAAATTAATCATACTTGCGTTGCACTCATCTATACTATTTTTAATAGACCGCAATCGTAGGCTTTTATCAGGATATAAGGGCCAAATCTATGTAAAAATCTAATGTTTCAAAAACTTCAACAATAAATCATTTATTATAAATCTCAGCAACATCCATTGCACTCAGTTGCGACATATGGAAATAACAAAAGATGGCACGTTCATTAAGATCTTCGAAGTTTGCTTCCAAAATATAAATACATGTAATTATGTTATTCTTCCGAGGTTCATAATACAATTTTAAATGACATTTACGATTTCCTTCTTGAAATTGTTCACCCTTATTGGAGTTTCTGCGTCAAGAATTAGAAACGGACGTTATATTTCACCAATAAAAACGCGTCATAAGATTTAAGATAATACTTTTAATCTGCTGTCATTTCTCTACTTGCTTCATTTGCAGAAATATTATGATAATTGTAATATTTAAATGTTGTTAGAACGGAAATAAAAGCACTTATTTACTTCCCGTTCACATCGGGTGCATACCTATGTTCACCAATACCTGTGTTCCTCTACCCTGACCCTAACCCCAACCCTAAGGATTTCGGGGAACATAGGTATTGGGGAACATCGGGTAGACCCCGTTTACATCTGCTGCACTAAGTACATGATGGGGACGCCACACGAATGAACCACGGCCAAACACAGGACTTATTGAACGAGAGATAAGACTTTAATGAGATGATAACGCAAGAGGTAAAAACAAAATGGCTGCGCCCAATTGGATACATTAACATGATACAAGAGGGCGCTAGATAACCAACTGTCGCTGTATTCCATTTCTCACCGTTCGTTCATTTTCACAATGCATTCTATAAGGCTTGTGTTAATATTAAGAGGTGGCTTTAGAGACCCTTTTCAGGTTCCGTTTCAATAGAAAACTGAACGCAAAGGCAAATACAAAATCCGTGAAAAAAGCCGGCAGGAGCGAGAAGAATTTGTAGAAGAGCTTCGCCTCCAATCCGGGCAAGTAGCGTCGCCATGGAAACCTGCCACACAGTGCGTGCTCCATAGCGTCCGTCACAAGGTGCAACTTCGGAGACGCCATTTCCAGAGCTTCCGCCAAAGTCAGCTCAACTGTTTCAAAAGAAAAAAAAAACAAGTCTTGTTAACACATAACAAGTTGTTCCTTAAATTAAAACTGGTTATTAAAGCAGCAAAACATAACTTGCTAATGTTGTATACAATCTTTTTTATTACAGCATTTTACCCACATAACTGATTACTACAAATATAGCGAGGGAAATTGCCTTTAAAAGGTTTCTTTTTAAAATGCCACATGTTTCCCCCTGCCATATCTTTATGCTTGTTTTTTAGTTTTTCTTTTATTATTACCTCCGCCAAGGAGGTTATGTTTTCATCGGTTTTTCAAGAAGAAAAACAAAATCAGAACAAAAACAAAGGCTTTTCCGCTGCCAACCTAGACTTACGTGCTTTATAGGCCATCTCGCCACCGAAATCCTGGCGTTCCTCCTCGGGAAGCCTGTCCCACAGCTTCCTCAGTAAGTCTTTGGTTGTTTGCGGATTTACGAACGAACTCTTGAAAGATCCGGGCTCTATAATGTGAACTGACACACCAGATATTTGACAGGATGCCCTGTGTACAAATATCGAGAAAACAGGACAGTGTCAACAAACCATGAATTACGAAAATTATGTACAATAGCCAAACATCATTCCTAAAGTGGAAAAAAAAGAAGTGTTATTAACTTGGGAATGGATGACTTGTGGTTGACTTGCTTTGATTTTTGATCTATCACACAAGAACCTTGCATACGTTTACTCAGCCTCTTTTTACCTTGTCAGATTTTACCTGGAATCCGGGTCCTCAGTGGCCTGACAATTTCCCGGGTCAAAATGACAATTTCCCGGGCCACAATGACAATTTCCCGGGTCAAAATAACACTTTTTCGAGTCAAAATGACACATTACCTTGGGGGAAATATGACACTTTTCAAGGTGAAAGTGACCCGGAAAATGAATGAATGAAGTCTGATATTTACCCGGAGAAGTGTCATTTTTAACCCGGAAAAGTGTCAATTTGACCCGGAACATTATTTCTTTTCACCTAGAAATGTGTTAATGGCAATACGTTTACTTTCTACAGTTTACCCCAACGGAATAAACTCACCTTACATAATCTGAATAGGCCTCCACCCCGGCCTTGGATACAGCGTAATAACTCCCGGCCGAAGGGAACAGCGCCACCCCGCTAGACACATTGACCACGCGTCCCTTGGCCTCCCTGACCAATGGGAAGAAAGTATTGGTGACGTCAATGGTGCCCAGGAGATTGACCTCCATCACGTGACTGACTTCCTGTCTTGAGTGCCAGTGGGGGAGACCCATCGCAGATATGATCCCGGCGTTGTTGACTAATCCCCATAGACCTGTCAGAAAGAAACCAAACTGATAATATGCCGAACGCTACAGAAGTGCGACGTTTCACGGGGTTGTCTCCAATGGGCTTCGTGCGCCAAGAAAGAGGGCGCCCTTTTACCTAGCAATGACGTCCCAATGGGTGGGACATTTAGCTGGTTGACGCGCACCGTTCCTTGTGTCTGACGCACGTACACGAGGGGATTTGTACTACACGCAGTGGTACGGCCGCGCGTCGCAGCAAAATTGCAGTCAGCGGGCAAGATGGCGTCGGTCGGTCACCCAAACTGTACTTTCTTTGCCGGTGAGGGGGTACTTGTGAATGAAGCGGAAAGTGATGGTTCCAAATAATGTCTCGTCCGCCATTTTGCCCATATAATTTGCACGGGCGATTTAGGTGCACATTTTCTTGTAGACATTTCTCAGACATTTAGAATGAATAAGACTGCAAAATGGGACGGTGTTTCGTAGCTGACTGTAGTTATAATTTAGAATGTGACGAATTCATTTGTTTTCATTTTCTAACTTTATTTTTCACTGATGAAAAATTGATGAAAAAGTGGGCAGCGTGCTATAGCTTAGCCAGTCCAGTTTGTGCGGACACATTATCCCGGGCAAAGCGGACGTTACCTCGGCGGCGTATGACGTAACCACTTCTACGGCGTATCACAACAGCCAGTCTTAAGGAAGCTATAAGTATTCGATGAAATTTTAAGATATGCAAATTGAAGATAGCAATAATATACAGTTAACGGTAGCACCATCTATCGAATCTCTTTAGTGAGTTTGTGAGTTTCTGAAAAGATCCGGGAACTCAACGCTTTGATCAGTACACACTCTACCCGTCGATAGGAAACTGCGGATGCTTAAGTATATTTTTATCAGACAAATACATGAAATTAAGTCATTGCATTAATCAAATTAAGTCTTTCTGAAATATATTTTTGAAGGTGTACCATAACATATAGCATTATAACACCTCACCCGCAGATTCTGTGTCTTGATTGGCCGAGAGCGAGTCACATGATACTTTCTATTTTTGCTATCTTTCTGTGCACGGCCAAAAGTACTATACCCGTAGCAACCAAAGTACTATACCATTAGCAACCAAAGTACTATTTCCACGGCGCGGCATTTGTGTGCAAATGCATGCTGGTGTGCGCGTTGTGCGTTGCACGCAGCGCGTTTTGTTCCAAAGAGAGCGCGCCACAGAGTTGGGTTCAAACATTTCGCGATGGGGTATAGTCCAGCGGATATGTGACAAAATATCGATGAATTGTGCACTTTTGCATAAAAGCGTTAAACTTGGCACAGATGTTTATATACATGCGAGAAAATTTTTTAGATGTGGAGCCATCGCAAATTTACCCTTTTAGGGGCGTGGCATCCATTTAAAAAAAGGGGGGCGGGACTTGTCGTGCCCGCAGTAAAAATGGTTTTTCCCACTTGTTACAAAAGCAGGAAACTTCACAAAGACATAATTATATAGATTATTAGTGTTTTCCAGATTCGGAGCCACCACAAAAGTACCTTTTTAGGGGCGTGGCAGCCATTAAAAGAAAAGGGGGGGTTTAATTATTATGCCAACTTTGGAAAACATTGTGCCCATATTTCATGAACAAATAAAACGTCCCGCAGACCTTTATATTCATGAGAAAAAAAATTCCAGATGTGGAGCCATCTCGAACACACCCTTTTAGGGGCGTGGCAACCATATAGGGAAAAAAAGGGGGGGGGCGGGGTTTTGATTATGCCCACCCTGGAAATATTGTTCCCACACTCATAGAGAAATGGAACTTTCCACAAACATTGACATTCATGAGAAAACAAATTCCAGATGTGGAGCCATCTCGAACACACCCTTTTAGGGGCGTGGCAACCATATCAGAAAAAGGGGGGGGGGCGGGATTTTCATTATGTCCACCCTGGAAATATTGTTCCCACATTCATAGAGAAATGGAACTTTTCACAGACATTGACATTCATGATAAAAACAATTCCAGATGTAGAGCCATTGCGAACACACCCTTTTAGGGGCGTGGCAGCCATATTGAAAAAAGGGGGGCGGGGTTCTCATTATGCCCAACATGGGAAAGTGTGCCCACATCTCATAAACGAATGAAGCTAATTTCCACAGACATTAATACTCACAAGATAAAAATCACACGTGGAGCCATCGTAAACACACCCTTTTAGGGGTGTGGCAGCCATAATAAAATGGGGGGGGGGTAGTCATGATGCCCCTATAAAAGAAAGTTGTGCCTACCTTTCATAAATGGATTAAATTCCACTCGGACAATACATTCATAAAAATCTTTTTTTTTAATGTGAGGCCATCACAAACCTACCCTTTTAGAGGTGCGGCATCCATTTTTAAAAGGGGGGGGGTACTCAATATGCACAACGTGGAAAATTTTGACCGCGTTTCATATAATAAAATCCACCTCAGATAGCTGTTTAATGTGTTGGAGTAGGGCCGCCTTTATAGTTGGAATTTACTGTTGTCAAACCCTTTGTTTTCTTACACTATGCATTCTGGCCTCATCTATATTAACCCAGTTACTGGTTCTTTCGTCTGTAGAATTATTGATAAACTTTCAACTGCATCAATATCTGAATTAGGGGTATAAACTGGGGTACCTCAGTTAGTCCTGGAAAGACTAGTGTTACTTCTTCAAATACATTGTTTCCCCTGCCTTTTTTTCTGACAGACCAAAAGGCATATGCAGTGTCGCACCTGTATAACGTATAATTTTTTTTAATGGATTTGGTCGGGGTAAAAAAAAACACTCATAAGAGCTTGATATACCATTTTTAAGAGAACAGAGGTGTTGTGTGGTGGGGGTACACAGATTCATTGAATGTGAAGTCATAGTGGACGTGTCCACCACTTTGTGAGGCGAGTACATCGTGTTGTTACCCAATCTGCTGTCAATGCAGCGCAACGGGTAAGGGGTAGGGGGATTTTACACTCCCCCCCCCCCCCCGTAAAAAAAGGATTTCCATGGCCCATTAATGTTAAATGTTAGAGTTTAGGGCTGCCATTGTGTGCTGTGTATTTGTAATTATGAAATCACTCTGGAATTTAGATGTGCATGATAATATAGGTGCAAGTACACACATTGAACAATATAACACGGGTTAGCCTACCGGTACTTACATGTACCCATGCTCTTTGGGGTATTGTATTACCAAATAATATAGGTTATGGGCCAATCAACATTATAAGAAATCAACAACAAAATATAAAAATTGCAATTGTGGGCACAGTGAGTAGGCCCCTCACACCTCTAAAAGGATGAGTTTGCTGTGGCTCTACATAAGAACTTTCTTTTATAGGGGCATCATGACTACCCCCCCCATTTTACTATGGCTGCCACGCCCCTAAAAGGGTGTGTTTACGATGGCTTCACGTGTGACTTTTTTTTTCTCTTGAATATTAATATCTGTGGGAATTAGCTTTATTCTTTCATGAGATGTGGGCATTTTTTTCCCATGTTGGGCATAATGAGAACCCCGCCCCCTTTTTTCAATATGGCTGCCACGCCCCTAAAAGGGTGTGTTCGCAATGGCTCTACATCTGGAATTGTTTTTATCATGAATGTCAATGTCTGTGAAAAGTTCCATTTCTCTATGAATGTGGGAACAATATTTCCAGGGTGGACATAATGAAAACCCCGCCCCCCCTTTTTCTGATATGGTTGCCACGCCCCTAAAAGGGTGTGTTCGAGATGGCTCCACATCTGGAATTTGTTTTCTCATGAATGTCAATGTTTGTGGAAAGTTCCATTTCTCTATGAGTGTGGGAACAATATTTCCAGGGTGGGCATAATGAAAACCCCGCCCCCTTTTTTCCCCTATATGGTTGCAACGCCCCTAAAAGGGTGTGTTCGAGATGGCTCCACATCTGGAATTTTTTTTCTCATGAATATTAACGTCTGTGGGACGTTTTATTCGTTCATGAAATATGGGCACAATGTTTTCCAAAGTGGGCATAATAATTAAACCCCCCCTTTTCTTGTAATGGCTGCCACGCCCCTAAAAAGGTACTTTTGTGGTGGCTCCGAATCTGGAAAACACTAATAATCTATATAATTATGTCTTTGTGAAGTTTCCTGCTTTTGTAACAAGTGGGAAAAACCATTTTTACTGCGGGCACGACAAGTCCCGCCCCCTTTTTTTAAATGGATGCCACGCCCCTAAAAGGGTAAATTTGCGATGGCTCCACATCTAAAACATTTTCTCGCATGAATATAAACATCTGTGCCAAGTTTCACGCTTTTATGCAAAAGTGCACATTTTTTTCACATATCCGCTGGACTAGTAGTTTGGAAGAGAGAAATACATTTTCCACAAATTTTGTATTGAAATTGAAGTTTATTTCAACTGTGTTCAGATTTAAATAATTTAAAATATTATAACCAAGCAGAATCTGTGGGTGAAGTGTTATAAAACAAATATTGAATGCTTTATTTCGTGGTGAAGTAAAACTAGCCTCCTTCGGTGATCCTTGGAGCATTCTAATTGTTTACCTATTCTATTTGTTTACCTTTCCCCTTCGGTATGATACTCGAAACACGATCACGTGCTATGAGAATGCTCTCGCTGCTTCTGATGTCCATAACAATTGTAGTGACCCTCGATGACGTCACACTGTCCAGCTCAGTCCTCCCAGCTTCAGTTAAGCAAGCAGCAATCACGTGACATCCTCGACGGTTGTCCAGGCGACGAGCGAGTAAGTTTCCGAACCCGCTGTCACATCCAGTAATAAGTACATATTTACCCTTGATGTCAATAAACATGCGGTCAAGCAGCCAAAAAGTTATGACCAGTATGAGTACCGCAAACAAGACTAACAGAACTGATGACCATGCTGCCATTGTGGTTCGCAATGCGCCAACAAATAACTGCACTCGTATTGTCGAGGGACAAACGCTACACTTGTATTGTCAAGGGACAAAGCTACCTGAGATGGCGATTCGCGTAGGTTTCAATGCAATACAGAAATGAAATGACAACAGCTTTTATGCATTGAGGAAGGTATTACAGGAATTCACCCAGCACCGGATTTCTCGTGACCCAGATGTGAACTTTGTATCCGTGCGGTTTTGATCTGAATCGCTTGTTTATCAGCGGTATCTTTAGACTAGCACAAACAGATTGAGTGCATATTGGTTTTCTGCTATCGTATGTTATATTCGCGTGTACAGGCAAGCTGCTATAGTCCCTACTTCGTCGGAATTCGTATGATTGTTCAACGAGTGAGGTCGCTGTTCATTTATATCATGGACGAAAATTCATATAGATGGACCTTTGCTTGTCGGCCTTACGGGTTTATAGGGTAATATAGTTTTTTGTATTTCCCGAATAGGCGGAATTAAACTTGTGTGTGTTCATTATAACAATAAAAATAACAAAGGATCACATGCGAAACCTGAAATGCACAAAATGTATGAAGATTCTATCAACTTTGCACTATACTCTGAAAAATTTCTTTGCTCTTTAAGTTTTGCAAGCGACCTATTAGTCCCTTTTGAATTGTATTTTGAGGCCTCAGATATTCATGAGGATCAAGCATGTTCAATAATAATAAGGGTTTCAATGTACTTGGCCGGGTTTAAACAAGTACGTTTAAAATCGTTTATGCGCCTGGTTGCCGATAAGGGCTGATCTATTCTCATTTATAAATACATTTGAGTCCAAAAATCAAAGCCTGTCAACAATTGTAGACTATAGATTAACAAAAGTTACTTCATGTTTGTGAACGTCCAACAAATAAAACGGTAAAAAGGGACCGGATTTTACAGGAGTCCTAATTTCAATTGACACCGCCAAAGTGTTTAAAACCAGCCAGCCGGTGTTTTACCAACCGTTTAAAACCAGCCACGTGACAGGCTCTCGACCAATAGGAATGAGTAAATTGTCAGTAACAAATAATGTGGTGCTTAGGCCTATATAGCACTTTATACTAACGGTCTCAAAGCTCTTCACAATTGTTTTCCCTGTTCATCAGGCCATGAGACAGCAGCTCAAGATCAGCATATTCTGGTCTCTACCTTCACAGGTAACCATTTATACTCCTGGGTACAGCCTAGAGACAATTGTAGTAAAGTGTCTTGCCCAAGAACACAAACACCACGTTCCCTGTCATCAGGGTTCGAACTAACGTACCACGGCACACGAGTCGAACATCGTAGCCATTATACCACAGCGCTCCATAATATTAGTATCGTATAATTTGTTTTTCATCATATCTAATTAAAAGAATGGGTTTATCTTATCTCAGTAGAAAACAAGAATCGAGTCGACGATCCAAGTCTGCTCCTGACAGGCCTTACACTTATATGGCCTTTGGGGTTTCATTAAAATAGGAATGGAGGAATTTGAGGTTTGAAATTAATATTGCGCAGTCGCACTTGTGACGTAATAAACACACATCTTAAATTGCGTTGGACTTAGTCAGTCTTGGTGTTTGTAAACAATATCGGTAATTTTCAACTTTCGCTCTAATATTTTGAACTCATTTTTTTTTATTTAAATGAAATTATCCTATAGAAGTAACTGCAGTATAATGTCACATTCTTGGAAACATTACAATACGGGAATTGCCTCTGATATTACTGTAAGAAAAGTTGATAAATATAACGGAGGGAATTGTGCTGGGAAAAGATAGTTTATCAAAGTTGTCTTTATCAGTTATCTATCAGTTCACATTCACTCTTGATATCGTTTGACAGGATGAACGATTATTACATATTTACACACTCATAAAGACCACTTTAAAGAAAATTAAAACCACAAAACATAACGTAAGATATTTTGGGGGTAGGCCTAAAACAGCACCAGGGCTGGCAAGGATTAGTTCTCAAGATCCGGTGCTCCAAAGTTCCACTATCCACTGACAGAAATCTCCCAGAATTTCATTTCGTGCAAATTATGGACATTCACAAAAATCATTTGCTCTATGGAGGTCTTCCATTTGCACTGACCTTATTCACAAGCTCCGGCGTGGCTTCGTTTCCGAAATCGTGTACCCCGGAACACAGCGTGCGTGACGGGAATAGCCCAGCTGTAATTTCAACCATACCCTCGGACGTTGTGTCGCGATGTCTAACACCAGACCATCGACTCAAGTGCCAAATAATAATTTCCGATTGTCTTGACCCCATGGAATGAAGCCAAGTGTCCGGTATTGACCCGTTGCAGGCCGATCGATAAAAGTCACTCAATGCTACCGATCTCCTGGTGCGAAATCAAATGTGTAGGCATGACCTATTTCGGGAAACGTAGATAATTGAGAATCTTGGCACAACAGGCGTGTGGCGTCAAATCGGGATAAATTTTCTAAAGGATTGACTTATTTGAAAAAAAAAAATGCAAAACGACCTCTTGTGTTAGCAAATGTAAAACAAGACAATTGATTTGGCTCCTTCTGATATTTATGTCGTATGTTTTTATTGTTTTAATCAAAATCTACAAAACAATGTGGATTTTTTAGGCGAGTAAGTTAAATCGTACCCGAATCCAGTATTGAATTGTGGCCAGATGATTGGTCATGACAAGTAGACAAATAAAACAGAAGATTTAGACAACTACCTTACAAAGTTGACATCTAGTGTAAGTATTGATATTAGTTCAATTAACACAGTAAGCTGGCCTGGTGTTTTGGTCCTAACAGAATGCCTTCTTCTCTGAATCAGGTATTGCTAAGGCCAATACTTCAGGCCAGCTCATTTGTTGAATTGCATACTTCAGGTCAATCCAGACAATAAGCTGTGTGTAGCAGTTTAATTCAGTTTCATGGCATTATTTAAATTAACAATTAGAAAACCGACAGGTGTATACCTCATACTAACCTCATACAATTCTTCCAGGGCTTTAAACTTGACCTGATATGTATATTTAGATAAAGAAAAAGCAATTTTCGATGGATTTCAGACAAAGCTGTTTCTTTCTGGTTAGTCTCAGGTTATGAATGATTAACGTGCATCTGAAGAAACGTTTATTCACTGCAGATCAATGCTTGCAAAAACCCCCCACATAAACAGGGAATGAAGCTTGTGGGTATTATTTATTTAAAGGGAATGTACATCATTGGCTTTTGCTGTAATTTTCAGAAATGAACTATTTGAGGGGTTAGTATAATAGATCAAATATTGTTACACTGACATTTTGAAGTTTTGTATTCGAAAAGGTTGGAAAAACCAAGAAAAACAAAAATGTTCAAGTAGTCTGGTTCCCTGACTCCACAAAAGATGAAATAGATCAATTTATAGATGATGGAAAATTGTAAGGCAAGGGAATCAGTCTAGCTGGCCTGCACCCGTTCATGAACATGTAACCAATAGCAAACACAATTTGGACTGAAAAAATGGTAAATTTGGAGCAGTAGTTGAAAAATAGTTAGGTTTTTCCAACGCTGGTCGGCCGACCACCGTTGGAAATGTATACAAAAATACCATTTTCTTGAAAATGACTTCACACTAGGTGCCATAATTTTACAGGATGCTTTAGACTGTCATTTACCAACATCTTAGTAAGGTATTTCGTAAAAACTTTGTAGTTTTATTTTTCGATGTTTGCAAATGTTGTATATTCCCTTTAAATGATTTGTGTGTGTGTGTGAAAAGACGTTTACACTGATCCTTCCTTTTTCAGTAAGCAGAACTTTATGAAACCTAAAAACAAAATCAGGAGATTTTCAATTTATATTGACTTAATTATTACTTGGAAATTTCAATAGCGTAATTCTGAACGTCCAAAACATTTTAATAAGTAATGTAAAATTATATATCAAATTAAAACTAGCGGAACAAATAAAGTGGGGCTATATCGGCTGACCATGCCAATTTCTGAAAATGTGATTTCCTATTAGGCATTACCTGAGCCATTATTTAAAATATATGCAATGATATTGATTAGCTTAACTAGTTTGCAAACGGGATAACCCGAACTGGGTGAATATATGTGATCAGCATTTGATTGTTCGGATATCCGAGTTTTGACTTAGGTGTAAAACATTCCGAAACAATGTCCTTGAGTATATAGGAATTGATGGTGTTTCACTTTTAGATATGGATTTCCCGTTCGTCTTTATTTAAAGAGGAGTTTGGTCCAAAGACAAGCTGTTTAAGCAACCAAAGCCCTTAACATGCAATGAACTGCTTCAAAAATGTTGGACGAATTGCTAACCTTAGCAGTGTGAACTCTTTTGACATCACGTTCGAGTGAAATGTATTCAATCCTATGGGAAAGTCATTTTTAAACCTGTTTGACTGAAAGATATGAAGGTTTGCATGGTGAAGGTAGCAATATGATAAAGATTTACGGAAGCACCGTGTGGAAAAACTCTAAATGAGTTTATGAAGTCCCCCATATAAGATCTGCCTGTCGTCAGAAGTGTTAAAAATAATTTTCACTTGGGTTTATCTTTTCGATAGATAATGGGGTGAAATTTCACATCTAGAAACAACAAACAAACCAGAACAAGACATGTAACATACCTTGGCGAGCAGGTTATGTATTTATTAACCAACAAAGTAGATGCCTGAGTCTGGTGTGTTATTTACCAAGTTTAGATGCAGAGTCAATCAAACTTGTTTTTTGCTTGCTGTTTGTACAGATGTTTTCTTTTGCATTTGTATTTGCAATTGTGAAATCAGATTTGGCATCCTGTATCTTGGGTCTTTAGGCAATACATAAAGATCTGTCACTGTCGTCAGTGTTAAGGGGCCATGCGATGTAAATTATAAGTGCAATGCTTGATAATGCACCTTTGTGTCCCATTTTGCCGTTTTCAAGAGTAGTTTGTGCCTTTTAGTTTTTCAATGTTAATGCCATTTTCCATATTCATGGGGAAAGGTGATGTCAGTTTAGATAGATACTTCAATGTTACAGCTGATTCAGCCCACAAAATTGCCAGAGTGTTTTATATTTGGATATAATGATTGTAAGCTTATAAGGAAACTGTTTTCAGAAATCTTTAAATGAGCATTTTTTGGTTTTATTTTTAATTAATTTATTTATTTATTAACGTTTGTTAATCTGTTTGTCTGTTGTTGTTTTCTGGTGGGGATACCAATTTGAACAGAAAACGCGAGGTTGAAAAGTGTCTTCCT